CCCGGCCCGTTGACCCACCGTAGCAAACAGTACGCACAGAGCAGTTTTCCAACGGATGGGGTGGAGTAGTTCAACCGCGAGCGCTTGCGGAGCTAAGGCTGAGTATTCTCGTTCGCGGGAGCAGAGAAAAAATTCGGCAAGGGGGGAGGTGTAGTGCACAGGCACTACATGGTCCACAGTTGCGGTACCCAGCGTGTAAGATAGAGAGTGAGGACAGCAGCCTATAAGAGACCTGAGGTTGCCTAAGTTAGCTATAGATGGAATTCGATAATATTAGCAGGTTTAGAAGCATATTAGAGTTGTAGCAGTTGATTGGTGCTGGGACTGAGTAGCAGCCCCCCGTCGCAGAGCTGTGCGCGTTGGCGCATAGAAGGTAAGTGACATAGTTGGGTCATGTTTGGCTCTGTGTATTCAATTAAGGATAGAGGTTTTGTGAATTAGAATAAAATTGGTACATTTAGGAGCAGAGTTAGTCCGAAAGAGTCGGGCCTTGCCTGCGGTCCGACCGCGGCAACCGGTGCCGGGATGGACGGCAGGGTGAAACCCACACCTGGCGGGGACGAACAGACTCACTGAAGGAAGGCGATTTGGAACGATCCTTCCTTCGGAAGTTCCGAAATTCAGGGATTTTCCATGGGGATAACTGAGAGTTAAGGGGTTTAGACACTCATTTTGTAGATCTAGCTCATACAGGGGCCTACAGGCCTATAGAGGTGACTACGTAGCCACGGCACGCGGCCACCGTGTGTTACACGACTGGTGACCAGCCATAATTGTTTTAACTGTATCGCATTCCGTATCCAGAGAGTTGCCATTGAAAACACAGCTTTGGCTTACTCAATTGCTTTTTATCAGCCAGGTTTCTTGTTATTTCGTCTCATGGGAACGGAATGCTCAAGAACTCTGCGTTCACACGCCTTGCGCCGCAACCCTGAACAGGCTCCTTGTTTCCCGTTGCCACTCTAAAGGACCAGTCGGCTGTGGCAGTGAAAATTATCACTGGTTCGGTGCCACTTCAGGGATCCCCCATGTATGAGTCAGCCTAATCTTCACATAGGATGCTGCCTCCCGGGGATTCCAGAGGTTGTCGGGTCTGCCCAAGGCCGCTTGTGCGCTACTGTGGCAGATTTCTTTCATTTATCATCTGCGTGTTCGCCTTCCTGAATTTAGCACTCTCTCAAGATCAAATAGAGTCTTCCAGTAGTGTAAGCGAGCCTCATGCCGCTTCATCCGGCCAAGCTGTTGCAGCGGCCATTTCCACTGTCCCCAATGTTGTCTCCCCCAAACCTGATACTGAGGCGTTGGATAATCGTCAAGAAGTTCCCGCCCTGTCTTCTCCTACTGCTGATGAGGCTGACCAAGGCAATTCGTCAACTTCCGCGTCAACCTCAGTGGATGATTCCGTTGGTGATTTGCCATCAAGCGCAGCTTTGCGTGGATCAGTCCCAGAGGACCCCGTTTCCTCAGCACCAGAGCCTCCTGAGCAGCAGCTAAGTCAAAGTACCTCTATCCCACAGTTTTCGCCTATGACAGTTACCATCGTTGTTGGGGCGGGTGAGACTGTGCGTGACTGCACAGAGGAGCTTCCATCCCAGAGTTTCCTGATGAGTGTCGCCAGACGCTTTCAGCAGCTCCAGCTTCTCCCCCTGCTAGCAGCCTTTGGTCAGCAGAGCATGAAAGTGGTGACGAACCGCGTACATTCCTCTACTCCATTGGTATCTACTGCTCCTCGGCTCCTGCAGGCGGATTCCCTATTACTGTTCCGCGATAGCTCAGCGAGAGAACGTTCCCAACAAACGATGCTAGTAGAAGTAGCTTCACGAACACCCATGTTCCCTCAGTTTGTGTGGCAAGGTGGCTCGGCGTTCAAGGCTCGGAATGCAGCCGTACAACCGAATCTCGCTTTGTGGTCTAACCAGTTGTTTGCACCCTCTCGCCAATCACGCCTGACGGAGCGGGCTGGCTCACAAAGCCAGCCCGTCTTCGTGCCGCAACGCGTCCAATCAACTCTCTTAGAGGGACTTCAGGAGCAACCACACTATGTGGAGTCGAATGGAACAGCTCCTCAGCTTGGAGGTTCCTTTTTGGGAAGTATTCTGCATGCCCTTGAAGGCTCTCCCATTCGAGTTAATTTAGGAGACATGGCATGCGCAGCACTTCCTACATCTGCCTTGAATAGAAGACTCTCCTGCTGGCTTCTGGGGGCATTTACTGAACGTATCCTTTGCCGCACTGCCTGGTTCGACCCTTGCCAGGCGATAAGTGAAGAAACAGCCCACGGGAAGCCCCCCTTATCGCCCGTAGTGTTGCCTCCAGGCGGAGCTAGTACCCTTTCTCTTCCGCTGAAGCGTTTACTGCATCGGACACGAGGCATTCCTAAGAAGATCCCCAAAGACATTATCAGAGAGGAAGGGGCTACCTACCAGTTACTGTGGCAAGCACTTACTCGTCTGGATGACATGTGGGCACTCGCCTACTGCGGTCGTGAACTACCGCCAGGAAGCGCTGTACCAGCGACTACAAGTACGCGCCCACCTGCAAGTGAAGAGCGGGGGCGACGCCTGCAGCAACAAACGCAAAGCCAGCCGCAACCAGAAGAGGCACCTCAAGACAGCGGGGAAGAGAAAGAACAAGATGAGGGGGAAATCCAAACTCAACCACCAGTGCCCTTTCCACTTTGGGGAGGCTCCTCTCTTCCTGGCCAGAGAGAGATTCCATCCCCTACTCTGTGGAATTTAGGGACGCCAGTAAAGCCTGTACCTGATGCTGCCGCCGCTGCTGAGGAGTCAGGAACTGGGGAGCCGCCACAATCTCCTGAGGCACTAACGGGACCGCTTGCCTCTTCCTTGTGGCCGCTCCAAAGCCGCCCTTCTCAGTCCTCGGGAGGAAGGGAACAAGCAACAGGACCGAAAAGCACGCACACCAGCCCGTCAGCAGGCATTTCACTAAAAGATAATGAGGCAAAAGCAACGCGGAAGCGAGGGTCTCCCAAAGTGTTACCTGACGGAGTGCCCCATCTGCAAGGTCAGGACCTTCTGCCAGGATGGCGAACGGAGCTAGTCTTGAAGGCTCTTTCCCCTGGTGTGGGAAACAGAACCAATGTCTTGGCTGTTGCTGGACGAAGGGGAACGGAAGTTCTGATTGCATTCAGAGGCACAAAGACACAAGTAGAGTGGATTTTGAACGGTCAGGCAGAGCACGCGTTTAACTGGTTGGAAGAAGGAGAAGGACGGACAGCTGCCGGCTTCTCTCACATCTTTAGTGCAGCATGGCCAGCTCTACAGGTATATCTTGCCTCAGTAGACAGGCCTGAGACACCCCTGAGCCGGATCTTAATAACGGGGTACTCTCTAGGAGGCGCAGTGGCAGCTCTTATGGCCTATGGCATTGCCTTGAACTATCCCACGAAAGTTGATGCAGTTATATTTGGGGCACCACGTACTGGGGACAGTGCATTCACCGCTGCTTGGGCTAAGAGAGTTAACGGACGAAACGTTGCATTCACTCTAGATCCCATCCCCCGAACGCCTTGCAAAGAGATGCCCGCATGTGACAGGCCAGGTACCAGGGGTCCATTGACCCTTCCCCAAAACTTCCTAAGACTAGCAACCCACTCTCCCAGAAGGAACGGAGCCAGCGGAAGGCCTGAAGGCACCAGCACAACGAACGGCTACGGGGATTTCCTTGGCCTTGTCTCGTTCGGACCAGAGGAGCTTGGGGTCTCGACACGCAACAGAATTAGTCCCATTTACGTTAGTTACAATCACATCTGCTCCTACCCATGTTGGCTAGCCTCGAATTTCAACCCTGGAGAACGCCGCACACTCTGCCAACTGCCAGATTTCTCCAATCAGTGGGATCCTGCCCTCTCACCGGACACGTGTCCCGCTCTTCTGTCTTGAGCACTTTGCCACATCGAGCTATGCACACACCTTAGTGCTGGTGGCACTGGAATGTGCGTTCAGCTCAAGTTTGTTGTTCTGTCGTAAATCATTCATATGAGGCACCTTGCTTTACTGCGCTGCTAGCGTGAATTGTGCGAAGACAAATTTGCCGTGGGATGCACTCCTGACGAGGTCCTCTCTCACACTCAGCAGGAAATATGTGATTTGGGTTTCTTGGTGAAGCAGCGAATAAACGCTTCTTCTATTCATCAGCTGCTTAGCAGTAAGTGAGAGCATGAAACCTGCTGTCTTCCAGCACTGCGATCGTCAGCAGCTTGCAAAACATTTCCTCATAAGGGTGGCACTCAGACGCAGGCACTAATACCAAGAGCACTCCTTTACTACCTACAATGTGGTCTTGGCACCCCATGGGAGCGTGTGCCGGAAACCTGAAACTTCTCTGAACGAGCAAGGCGTCAATCGCTTGTAGAAATTTTTTTGTTAATGCTGCTTTATCAAAAAATGAGTTAATAGACCGTAGCCCCTCCTTTTGGACGAGCCATTCGGACGTTGCCCAAGTGAGCTTGCGCTATGTGAAGCTACAAGCAACCCCCCAAGAACATATGGGTTCCGCCTCCCACCCCGACGAGTCGGGAGAGCGAAAGCCGTAGCATCAGTAGAGGTGAGATCGGAGCTTTTACTGCAAGGCCACAAAGCCAATAAAGCTGAATGGAAGGGCCGCAATTGTGCAACACGGGCATATGCCGCCTTGCAACAACTAGAACCGTGGATTGCAATGAAACGTCCGTGTGTAAATATCCGCATGTATATGGATGACATTAAGACAGGTAAATACTGAGCAAGCTATCTGGGCGCCTAACGTTTTACTCTCCATTGTGGCTAATGCTGGGATAATCAGTATCTACTGAATTTTGTGATTTGTATGTTTCGCCCCCCCAAATACACTTTATTTGGCACATGAACTTCCCGGCGCTGTATGCTGAGTAAGATAGTCTCTAAAGGCCTAAACGGCCTTCGCGGTGGAAAACGCATGGAGACGTATTGCAGGCTGCTATTTTAAATGCATACGGACTCTGGCCCGTTAAGCTCGCCAGACTGTCATTGATTTCCGACCACCAGCAGTGTGCCTGCCTACTTAGTAGTGTTCACGCTGCAGCTGCACTTGGATCCACTTGCCTTAGCAAGGAAGTCGCCTTCTGATTTCCTGTTGCCTCTTTGCTTCAAAGGCGTTTTGTTGGCATGGCTGGGCAGTTTTGGTTGGTTTCCTATAATTTATTCACCATGTTTTATTCTCTTCACTTAAACTCAATGATTACAGCGTCGGGTAAACCTTGCTTTGCATCGCGTAACGACACGATAGCGCAGATTCGGTGCATTTGCTAAAATCTGGAAATGAAAAGTTCCTAGAAACAAGTTCATGGTATATTTGTCGCACAACGAGTCGGCTCCTTTGCATAGGAGACTTAACGCGGTTGCGTCTGGGTGACTTCTTTGGTGAAGTCGCGCGCCGTGGGAGCCTCAGCCCGCCACTAGCTAAAGCCTTTGCACTAAAGAAACGCCAACGTCGTTGGACATACGCAAGGTCTCTAGGAGAACGCGCCAAGAAAAGGTCAAGCCTGCGGTCTCTCCTTCGTGCCCAAATTTGGGTAGCCTTCCCTCCCCAACCCCTGATTGGGAAGTGGGCAAATTACGGGAGCCTGCGTCGGATATACGTTTAAATGACGGATTAAAAATTCGTGCGGAAAAACTGTTCAACAGTGTGACTTGCCTACGCCGCTGGTGGTGCGCTGGTCGTGGCTAGCTCAGCACTTCAGCAACAACGGGGGTCAACTATGGCCATTCGAACGCTTGCAGAGCCATATGGAGCTGGAAACTAAGGCAGAAGTGGCACAAGACCAGCATCCTCTAGAAGTGTCGTCCACCGTTCCAGAGCGCTGGCCTCTGCAGACCCCCATGAAGCAAAGGAGGCGAAATCGTCTTCAGGATATGGAGTCCCAGAGCGTTCCAATCGCCAGTCTTCTACACCACGGGAATAGCCACCTGCACGCAAGACATGGAATCGAACCCCTCAAGCAACACAATGCCATAGCATGGTTTACCTAACCTTGCGACGTACAACAACAGCAGCTATACACTAAGAACGAATTATCCGCGCACATTCATCGCATGCCGAGAACAGGCACTCGACAAGCCCTTGGTCAGAAAACGCCTTTGTGCACCCTTCGGAAGAAAGCGTTTCTTTCTCTGAATCCCTGCAGACCACAAGCCAAAACATCCTCCAAGCTTCACAATACTATATAGCTAAAGTATGCAGCTAATTCTTATAGAGCAGGAGGCAAAACTATGCGCAACAACATAGCAGGGTGTCTTACCACAAGGCCTCGAGACGCGACTGGAAAGCGCTATGCAAGGCCTTGCATGCTTCCTGCCCGTCTGTGCAGATATCGTCAAGCGCCGAAAGGCACTTAATCTCAACAGCCTCTACCGCAAGCAACAGAGAGCCACGTGTGAGGGCCTCCCCTAGATCAATCTGCGTTTTCCGCGCACGCAACACAAGTAGCAAAGTCTAGCTAGGCACTTTAGCAGGGTTGGTTGTCAGAATGCCGCATTTCACAGCTGTGTCGACGGAAGTGGCAATCTCGCCACACATAAACGCTGTGGGCTGTTCAGGCTCTCCAGACACGAATTGGAGAAGATCGTTATGTTTACGGGAAGCGTAGGTAGCAATCATATCCTTCCCCACAATGGAATAGGCCTGGACGGTGGTGGCCCAGAAATGGCCGTCTCACCGTAAGAGAGAATTGAAGCACTGGGAGGTCGTCGGTAGATGGCGCTAAAAATGTCTTAAAAACTAAGTGAGGTAGAGACGAATCCTCCCCCCGATCATCAACTGACAAGACGCACCGCAATAGCAGGGAACAGCACACCCAAGTTGGCCCCACGCGAATGCGATTGCAACTGACGCCTACTTCTTTTGTAGCAACTTCAACCATGTACTCGAAGTATACTTACAGCAGACAGAGGTGACGTTCGTGAAGGCATGAAGGAGCAGGAGCAACTGGTCATGAAGTAACGCGACCCTCCCAGCAGCTGCATGTGCATGCAACAGCAGGGCCCTGACGGTGGACAAATCCGGGAAGGGAGGAGCCCCAATAGCCGGGTGACGGCCTTCTGTAGCTTCTGCTCCACTGCTTCTGCTGTCTGTCTCCGTAGAAGACTGACTGCTCAAATCCCCGCTACCACTAAGCCCCCTTATCCCGAAGTTGGCAAGATGAGATCCCGGAGCGACTCCTGCTGTGGAAGTGGCACAAAACGTCTCTTGCGTTGTAGGGGCACCCCCAGGCCCGTCGGTTGCGCTGCTTCGAGGTCCTTGCTGAGGAAAACCAGAGAACAGTAGCACCGCCTCGGCCTTGGCCAGAAGACAGAAGGATACTGGGCATTATACCCGTGAGTGAATTGAACATGAAGGGCGGCTTACCTGTAGCAGCATCTGTTGAAGCGACCGTTGCACAGCTCCCAAAAGAAAATAACGGAGCTGCTCTACGCTGAACATCCATCGTCGATGAGGTGGTAGAGCCTCGGAATTCACCATACCGCCAATGGTGCCCGAATTAGCAGATGCTGCGACAGCGCGTAGTACAGGGAAGCGAGACTGCAGCTTGCAGCTGGTTATGGGCAAGAAACGAGGTTCTCCAGCTGCAGCTGACGCATGCTGTGGCTGATTCCATTGTGAAACAGCACCAACTGTACGTGCTGATGGCGCATCCGCTGCAGCAATACCCATAGCCCCAGCTGATGTTGCTATATCCGCCCCGTATGGTTTTCCTCGACGAGACGCCAACAATGGCGTGCAAATTGCGGACTCGGTAGAAATGCCTCCTGGAGGGGGGCATGGCCTCATGATCTGCACGCGCTGTCGAATCGGAGTAGCTGGTTCAGGTGCAGCCGCTGCAGACGCCGCACTTGTTATCTTGAGCGAGGGCCCAGGAGCAGGCTGTGCATGCCGCTGCAGTTGCGTTTGCTGCGTCTCTTCTCTACTCCACGAAATCGTGATTCTTGTCGACGCCGCAGGATAATCAGCTGCTCCATAGAGGCGATGAAACACCTTGTTGTTGGTTGCTTGCGGCGACATAATATCTGTAGCACAATTGTCGACCGGTATTTGGAGAGCAACTGCAGCAGGAAGGGACCGCGGCCAAGCAAGCTCAGCTACTAGTCCTGTAGTGCTGACTCGTTGTATGCGAACGCCACTAAGCCGTTCAAACGCCTTCACAATGCTCTCCTTATGGCGGATATCCGCCAGAAGCTGCAAAGTAAGCAACATGAAATAAATGGGTGGCAAAAAATACAGCTCGTGCCTCTTCACGAAAGCAGGAGTAGCGGACAAGGGGTGGTCAGTAGTTACCATAGGAATACAGACTAAATAAGTAAAAGCTTCGGAGTCAGAATTCTTGCCCACCCGCAAGTCGTCACTGGTGTTGTCGAAGCCCCTGATCTCCGCCTTCATAGCCGCTATTTCTTCCGCCATCTGCAACGAACGGATGACCAAAAGGATGTTTCCGGTCGCAGTACCAACACAAGCGGAAAAGACCCTGCCAAGCAAACATTAACCCACCTGTGTCTCCTGTTCCAACAAACGGCCCAGAGAGGCCGCCGCAGTGTCGACATTGCTGGTGGCAGACTGCAGCGCGACGTGGCGCTCTTCCGCCAGAGCGCTACGGAAAAAAGAAACAGATGCAGTAAAACCACTACAGGTGAATTTCCAAAACCCGCTAAGGCCAGCCACGCACAGCGTTAGACATGCACAATGAAAGAATCGCCACAGACCACAGCTGACACAATCGCACCAGAAAAGCACCGAAAATTGCGCAGTTCCGTTGCACGGTGCCTCTGACAAGAAGCAGCGGCGGGGCAAATGAACCCGGCGGCTCCCACCGTTACAATCGTAGGAGGAGTAACAAAGGCGAACAAATCAGATAAATGACTCACACAAAGCCCGATTCCCACGACTCCCTACTAAGACGAAGACGCTTCGCCTCCGCTGCTCCCTCTGCCCTGATGGCTGCAGCCTCCAGCGCCTCCTCGACTTGCTGCGATCACAGATGAGGCGCAGATACGCAGTACGCCACTCCTTGTCCTGATTGCCGGTTTTGAAACTGTTTAGCTGGCGTTCAGCAGGAATGCCAACGGTTGCGATTAATACCTGTAGGTCCCGAGACATCTGTTGAGCTAGAGGCTCAACGTGGTTGCGCAGTTGCTGCTGGAGCGACTCTTCTGTCCTTTCACAGAGCTCATTCCAATCCCTCCGTGTCCTGGCTGGCTGCATAAGCAGCTGCTCTGCTGCTGTCGAAGCAACCCCCAAACCGCGCTGCATTAACCGGTGCTTTAGAAGCTGCTGTACCTCCGAAGGCTCGTCGCCTTCTTCGTGCATGGCGCCGTTGTCGATATCTTCGCGCTGCGTTTCAATCTCATGACGCTTTCTCTCGCACAACTGCAACTGTAAAAACGCAGACGCACGTGCCTTGTGTAACGAAAAATTGGGGTTCCCCGGGGCATCGAGTATACTGCAACCATGCAGATGGAATAAGGATCTGCCACGTGATGCCAGCTTCTTCATTACACCACTTGCATCTGCAGCTATGGCGTGGTCCGCTCACTTCTCTCAAACGCTCCTCCCTGTAATCAATCCATGAAATACGGGGAATAGTTGGATCTGCCCCTCTAGATAGTTCAGAAGCCTCTGTCCCCCCTGTCTCCGGTGCAGAAGGCCCCACTTCTACTGTCGGTTCTGATTCCCTTGCTGCGACAGGCGAGCCACTGTCTTCTCCAGCAATGACAGTGAGGGCCCTCGGTAGGCCCTGCAGCAGCCTATTCGTTAGAGCGTCTAACGCCTTCCATTGTGTGCGCCACGGAATGTTGCTGTTGTTACTGTTGCCCTCCTCGGTGTTAGCGGCTCTACCGCCGCTCAATAACACGCTGTTGCTACTGCGGCTGCTTGTGCTTTCTAAGTCTGCACTCCGAGAATCTGAATCCCTGCATGATTGTTGGGAGGGAGTCGCCTGAGAATGTGGCGCCTCACTTGGCACGCCGCTGTTGCAGCCGCTGCTCGAAGGAGCAACTGCCACACCGGGAGCAGCAGCGTCAGCAAGTGTTTCATCCCCCTGCACCTCTGCTATGACATTCAATACGCCGGGTGTTCTCACGCCTTCTACTCCTCGCTGCTGCTCATGGATACTAGAGGAACTGACTGTTGCCTCATCTAGTTGCCGCTGCGGCTCTCCAGCATCCAATTGTTGCTGCTCCTGCTGTTCCAACTGCTGCTGTTGCTGTTGCTCCGCCTGCGAACCCTCTTGCTTAGCTTCGCAGCCCTCCATGCTTAGGGTCGGTTCACGCAAGTCGTGGGAGGGTGAATCGGTCTCCTCCTGTTCCGCCTGGTCCTTTCGCTGCTCTTGCTGCTGGCCTGAGTGTTGTTCTTGTTGACCTGCTGCTTCCGCCTCAAGTTGATGCCTGACGCTGAGAAGGAACGACATGGCAGAAGTGCTCACGATTCTCGATCCGCCTCTGCCAGACGGGACTGCCAGCCTGGGAGAAAGAGGCGCATCCCCACTTAGAGGGTCAGGGCCTGCGAATGGTGTTACTGGCGTTGAGGACGTCTCAGAAGCGCCACGAGACTCAAGTTCCGCTTCATCATTTACGCTCTGCTGCTGCTGGTGTTGCGCCTGCTCCAACAGCTGGTCGCATGAGGCACCTTTACTATACGGGCTCGAGTAGCCCCCGTCAGCAACCGTTTGAACTGCCGCGAGGCCAGCAGTAGTATCGACCTCTGCAGGCCTATGAGTTTCCACTTCCGCTGTGCAAGCGAAGTTTTCTCGTCGCCCCAAGACGGACTCTGGGGGGAATCTAGTCTGCTGATCGGAAGTGCACGGTGGAGCATGCTCGTCATGCTGCTGTTGCTGCAGTGGCAAGCATCTTGCAGTTGCAGCATTTCCTTCATGACTGTTTACTTCATCATCGCCTACATGTTGAGGCGCCTTCTCCTCAGCTATTGTTGCTGGTGTGGCGCCCATTGTATCGCCGTCAGCAGCGGCTGCGAAGCCAGCAGTAGCACAAACTGGAGGGGCATTGACGCACGATGCACGGGCCCTTGCTGCTGCTGCGCGTGCCTGAGCCCCAGATGGCGGTCTGGCAGGAGCTTTCCGCACAGGCGTCGGATCTGCACGTAAGGGCTCACTAAGGGCCGGAGCCACAAGGCAAGGCGCTGACTGAAGCAACAACTCGGTCTCTCCTTCACTGCTCACCACCAGTACACGAGTGGGAGAGTTGCAGTAGCTGAGGCCTCCGCTACGGACCCTTACAGGGTCAGTATCGCCGTCGCCCTTGTCAGCTGCAGGCAGCCCTTTTTTGTGCTGAGCCTCGCCTGTTGCTTCCTTCTCTGACGCTGGGGCTGCTGCCGCTGTCGGGACCTGCAAGCCCTGTGACGCAGTACCCTCCCTTTCCTCCGCTGCCGAGCCATCTTTGCTGTCTACTTCGGCCGTCTCTGTTGCAGCGGTGACAACTTCGGCTGCAGCAACTGCAGGTCCGGATTTATGCAATGCAACGGCTATCTCAGTATTTTCAGACACTAAGTCGACGTCTGAAGTTGCTTCTGTTGTTGAGGCTAAGGCCAGCCCCGATATGGACTCCACTAACGTACTGGCTTCCGTGACTGTAGGCGCTCGCGTTGCTTGCGTTCCCGTATGCATTGTTGTGGTTGCTGCTGCATCTGCGGCAACCAAAACCTCTGCATCCTGGGAACCTTCAGCCGCATGCAGCCCTTTCGCAGCTTCCGTACTTCCTTGGGCACTCGAGCGGTGCTGTTGCGGTTGCTGCTGAGCCTCGTCGCACCCCCCAGTAAACTGTGGCTGTTCTTTTTGCTGCTGCAGCTGTTGGGTAGACTCACTTGCCGAGCTCCGCCTGCGGTCTTCAGAGGGGCGACGCGGAGGTTCAGTAGGGGCCGCAAGCATACTCTGTTGCTGCTGCTTCTCGAGAATAGAGGTGGAATTTGAACTCATTTCTGATGGAAGTTCGCTACAGTCAGCCACACGTGCGGCGACGCCCGCTTCTGAATGCTCCAGTCCTATACCAGAGCTCACAGGGGAGGCTTCCTCGTCGGCAGCAGGCTGCCCGCCGAGCCAAGAGTGTTGCTCCCTGCCTTCACTATCAGCCAAGATTTGCGCCCTCGGGACAGGTGTGAAGACCACACGGCGAACTGAAAGACTGTTCGCACTCCCAGAGGCAGATGCTGATCTCAAGATGCTTCTCATGGGACTGCTTCCTGCACCAAGACGCTCAGTAATTGGTGTTGCTACTACCGCATCAGCGGCTGCAGCAGCGGACGCTGCTGATTGTATGCATGAAGCCGATACTGCACCTATATGTTCGGACCTCGGCGGCGTCTGGCCATCCGCATGGTCCTTTCGTTTTTGCTGCCAGGGGGCTATATGGAACCGCAAGGGAGTAACAGGAGCCGAGTCAGATGAAATCGCTGCCGTCCGTTGAGGGCGCAGAGGGCTGCTGCTTTTCCTTAGGACTTGCTGTTGTCGCTGTCGCTCCTGCAACTGGACACGTAGATTCCTGGCGCTAAGAGGCGATGCGTTTCTTCTGGTGTTACGTCGAGTCTCCTCTCTCAGTCTCAAGTCCGACATAGAGGACTCCAAAGAGCTAGTTGTGCTACACCAGGACCTCACGTGCCTTTGCCATGTTGCATCAATGCATTGTCCACGCACCGAAGTCGCCTCTTCACGCTGCTCTGCGCCTGAAGAACCGGTGACAGGTGCTGTTTCGCGCGACCCGGGAGACATCATATCTTCTAGCAGTGGACTGGAACAACCCGAGGATGCCAAGCGGTCCACGCTCGAAGCTGCAAATGAGGACCTCCCATTCTTCAGTGAGGCATCTGCCTCTTGTTGCTGTTGCTGCTCCATTTGGTGTTGCACGGGGTCAATGTTCTCGCTGGCACCTGGGAACGCTGACTCTTTCGAAAGTCTGTTGCTTCGGTTTTCTGCCTCATCCGGAAGGCTCTTGCTGGTAAGACGAAATGGGGATGCTGATGGTCTACTGTGGGCTGATGATCTGCGCATGCTCGTCACAGCGAGGGATGGCAAGGGTAACAGCGAGGGGTAAATGCCTGTTCCCGCGCCTTCCTCCGTTTCTCTACTGCTTATGGCGATGTCCACGGATGCCTGCAAAGCAGGACTAAGATCTGGAGATGGAGATATTACGTTGTCCTCCCTCGTTGTGACGAGTGCTGTACGGACACAGACAGCAGCATCCCCCCTCGTGGGTGCTCCCGCAGAAAGAGCAGCGGGTGTAGTTGCTGGTTGTGTTGCAGATAAATCCTCCTCCGCAAAGGGGGAATCCACCATCTTGATTGGAAGACGAGGCCCCTGCAATAATAGGGGCCCCGCTCATTCGCCTAAGACACACACGCCACCCAGCGAAAAAAAGTGCCAAGCACTACGATGCGCTCGGGATATCCAGCGAAGTGGCGGTTGCTTACTTTATCAGGGCAATTGACACGAACTGTAATGGCGGCATGCAGGAATTAGACGCGGATCCCTTGGGAGTGAGGCACCGGCTGTAGTGCACGCGCCCTACAATAGAGCACATGTGGTATCCTTAAGTGTCTAGTTTCACCAAAGGGAACAATGAGAAATATAAATACTTATATATTGGAACTCTTTAGATAGAAAATAGGTCCAATTAGTTAAGAGTGCACGTCCGCCTACACGAGACCCAGGGCGGACCGTGAGGCTAACGCAGTTGCCTTGGCTCCGACCCTCTCCGGAGGGGGAGCCGGTCAGTTCCATTAATCTGGGTTTTTCCTGGGTAATATGAACTCGAATATGTTTTAAGAGTGATTATTTCCTTATTCAAATGGTATTAGGGGAGATTAGCTGAGTCTAGCTTATAGGTGCTGAGTGTGTTAAACCTGTTCGCCCGCTCCTCGTTTAGAGGAGCCGCGGAACAGGTTTAACACAAGGATAATATCTGCAGACGACAGGTTGAACAGAAGGCAGCAGAGGCGGCGTGAGCTGTCGCACGCGAAACGGAGAGTGGAGAAGGTAACGGAGGGGAATTCGTCAGTAGACAAGTACGGCAGTTGAGACCCGACGTACGTTATGCATAGGAGCGTACACGGGTCCTCTAAAAGGTAGCAACCAAACCTAATGCCATTGCAGTCCCCATTGGGTGGGGAACGAGACACAGCAAGTAGAGATGATGATACGTGAGGGCAGATCAGTATGGAAGAGGCTTCAGACTCTGAGGAGGCCCCACAGAAGACAAGGGTGCAGCCTGGTGTAGAGTCCATTAGGGACCAAGTCGAAGAGACGCAGCAAACAGAACACATGCTCTTGTAAAGGGACACAGAAGGGGCGAGAGGGCCTGCTAACCCGATTCACGTGTGTGTAAAGACGCCATGGTGGCGAGAGGCTGGTGAGACCGCAGAGTTTGATAGGTGCGGAGTATGGTGCAGTGTGGGCACTACCGCATTTCTGAGGGTAGATGTGGCTGGGAGCCAATGCAAGGCGTTCGTGGATTCGGAGAAATCTGAGATTTTCATTAGTCAGGAGAAAGTTGATCGTTTACAAATAGAGGCGCGCCGACCTTCAGAGGAGTGATGCTTATGGAGGTCACTGGCGAGCAGGTGAGCAATAATTGGGTCGTCATGAGTTCGACGATGTGGGGTGGACGAGAGCGTTCCACGGGAGAATTCTTGAAGGGGCTTGCACCCTGTAAAGCTGTGTTCAGCCTTGTTCCTTCGACCTGTCAAAGAGTGGAGTGGTATCTTCAGTAAGATCAGTTGTGGACCCACGTAAATTAGAGGTTGGGTAAGCTGACGGTTGCTGTGTCATATGCAGAAACGGAAAAGGGGGGCCACACTACGGGACTGCGCCAGAAGACCCCAGCAGGGCCACCGTCCAAGTGCCCTGAGAGTCACACAGTCCTTGTGCCCGTTTCGATTCGTGCATACGCGCTGTCTGGGGTGCTGTTAGTATTTCGTGTTGTGAAAGGGGGAGGGGTGATAGAGCATCAGTTCTGCGTTAGGGTGACATCCTTATAGTTAGTAGTTTAGTGTAGGATAGCATAGACACTCCCGCAGTTGTATGATACCACACTTTAGGCATGCGTACTAAGTAGTTGCGCACAAATAAGTACAACCACCGGGTTAGGGAATCCAGTCATTAGGTCTACTAATAAAAGCTAGTAGAAGGGAGACACTTATACGGGGAGGCAGTTTCAGTTCGTTGAAGGGGGGAAATTGTAGTGCACGCACACTACAATAGAGCTCATGTGGTTACCTTAAATGTCAAGTTTCACCAAAGGGAACAATGAGAAATATAAATACTTATATATTGGAACTCTTTAGATAGAAAATAGGTCCAATTAGTTAAGAGTGCACGTCCGCCTACACGAGACCCAGGGCGGACCGTGAGGAGAACGCAGGTTGCCTTGGCTCCGACCCTCTCCGGAGGGGGAGCCGGTCAGTTCTATTAATCTGGGTTTTTCCTGGGTAATATGGACTCGAATATGTTTTAAGAGTGATTATTTCCTTATTCAAGTGGTATTAGCAGAGATTAGCTGAGTCTAGCTTATAGGTGCTGAGTGTGCACCAGGTTGAACTACTTGAACTACTTGACTACTTAGCAGCTGGGCACGCTGTTCACTACACCAACTGCATTGGGGATTCCAGGGTCGGTGGAGTGGGCGGGCATGGAGGTACACGGGATTTAAGGCGCAGGCATACAAAAGCCACTCTGTAAAACAACCTTATTTAAAGTGCCTTTTCATTCTCATGCAGCAGTTCAAGTTGGGAAACGCACCATACACACCAGTGGTGACGGCACGGGCGAGTGCCTGTAGAAGGTGGTTCCAACAATGTGAGCGAATCGCCCTCTTTAGAAGGGATAGTTAATCCGCAAGACATTTAAAAATATACTAACAAACCAATATATCTGTGTTGGGTAGAAAAGGAGTGCTAGTAAGGATTGCCTTTCAATCTGAATGAGCTGCATCGCCAAGCATTTTCCTAGCTGCTGGACAGTGGTGTGGCGTGCTCAGAACTTGGGAAGAAAAAAACTAGCACTTCAGGATCATCCAGATGCCTTAGCCGTTATGTACATACGGTTTTATGCTGTAGATTTTATCATTGTGCTCGTGCGACTAGTTGCACACAATCTTCACTTTCCCTCGCTTCTTTCGGGCACTGCAGTGTGTAGCAGGGCTTCAAAAGATTAGTTGATGCATCCTTATTCAAGTCTCTCCAACCGAATGAAATCCAAGTAAGTGTTTAACAGCTGTGTGTATTCTTCGTGGGCGCAATGAAATGGAGCTTGATTGTGCTGGCGTCTTGGGCTGCCTCATGGCAGGTGTTGCAGAATTTGGTGCTGAGCAGCTACACGAGGTGCTGCAACTCATGAATGCACTTCCTTCCTTCACAAGAGCTCCAATGACTTTTGCAGATAAGGAAATAGAGACTTGTAGGGTGGCTTCACGGCAGCTCTCCAACCCGAATGGCTACCTAAGTGTAGGCGGCTATTGCCACTTCCACTCTTCACGTTTCCTGTTTAGGCCCAAAGGAGGTCCTCAACGGTCCCCTTGCACTTCCCTTCCATTAAAATTCAGTGTTCCAGTCCTGTGCTCTTGAGGACAACACAAGAGGTTTGGGGTCACCCGTAGTTTTCAACGCTGACGGAACTCATGACGGTGCTGAGAAGGCTGCGCTCGTAGATGCCCATTGCATGACAACCTGAATTCCAACGATTTTGCTAAGTCTTTTGGTCTGCGCTCGAGAGACCTTATTCACGCCAGCAAATAGAGGTTCCGTTGCAGTGATGCACGAAAGAAACTGCGCTTCTGCAGCACATGGTCCCAACAGCTATCTCCCCTGTTCATTCCGAGGGCACACAGTTCAAATGTGCTTGTCCGCAGATGACTATGCTTGGCTATGTTTGGGCATTGAACCTGCAGCCAAGAGTGTAGCAAACCAGAGTGGGACGCCGACGTAGAAAACTTTAAGACTGCAGCCTATCTACGCCGCAGGCTGAGGATGGAATGCCTAGCGTCCCAACGGGTCATGTCCCTAAATACTTCGAAGAGAACCTCCTTTGCGCTGGTTTGTTCTGTCTGGAGCATCGGGGGTATGGTGCTAATGCACCTGTGGCTGCGCGCATCCCAGGCAAAAGAGCGGTCGAGTGGCTGGCCTGAAACACCAAACGTGCACGGCACGGTTCACGCTGGTAAACGGCGCGGTGAATAGCGTGTTTTCGCGTGGATAACTCGCTCCCTGTGCATAATTGTGAGTGGTAGCTTACTTGAGGCTGCGGCTACGTGTTGCCCTGAGAAAGGACAGTTTCAATCCGAATCGAATGTTTGGGTTCCCCGTGGATGCGTTCTGAAAGGATCTCTACTTGCAGATTTTGTCTGTAGGCAGTGAACAGTGGACCATATGAAACGGATACACAGAAGCAGACAGTCGTGCCAGGCCACGCCCACCAGAGAAATGGAAGCGTGGATATGCATATTTGCACATGGTTTTTTTGGAAGCGTCGGCGTTATGTTCTGTGGCATTGGACGGGACGTTGTGGTCAAGGTTGTGAGCGATCCATGAAAAGGCACATGACTTTACGTTTCTGCGAGACCTAGAGACCCCTGCGTTAAGCAGCCCGTATAGTCCGGGCTCCAGTGTGTGCCTGTTCTAGCAACTAAGCAATGCTCAGGCTGGTGAGCCAAGCGTTAAATTGATTGCTCGTACTCTCGGGAAGGTGCTGAGCCGAATTTTCATCCTATAGTTCCAACAATTGCTGAAGCAGGGATCTGCACAAGTTCAACACCCTCAACACTCAGTAGAATCCAATGAGTTTACCGCCAGAGGATCATTGTGGGCCAGGCGTTACGAGTAGTTAACCATTCGTCTTCAGTGGAAATGGGCAAACTGACGGAGAGGAAGGACTGCGCAGTTGGCTGCAATTTGGCACAATTGACTAAATAGGTATGCCTTCACCTGGTGAAGCGCCTGCTCCCACCCTCCTCCCTACCACCACCTCCCGCCTACTAATGCAAGGCCCACATGGACGACTTGCCATCCGGCACAAAAGCAATGTGACTTGACCGCATTGTTCTCTGTAAAAAGATCAACAGTGATTCACGGTCGGAACCACTAGGGTTATATGGGTTTCAAAGTAATCCCTGCCACTTATCCAGTGGCAGCTGCGAGCTGAAAGGGAAGCAAAATGTTTCTGGAAAGAGTCCCTTAGAGTAGCTGGCTCACCTCCCGAGATAACCGGTTGAGGCAGCTTGATATGCATTGCAGCGCACCCTCCTGCAACTACAGGTTCAGAACAACCACACAAGCAAGCGCAACCGAGCCATATCTACTGCATGCGCTAACAATTTACGCAATCTTCGAAGACAATGGCATGCGTGCAAGCTGCCAACTGGGGCTGATCTAATGCTGGTGTGCCAGCTTCAGCCATTGCTAGAGCATGGCTCTTGCATTGCTCCCACAAAAACACGGTGCGACACCCCCGAACCTACTCTGCTCTTATTTGGGCTGGTACACACAAAATACCGACTATAATATCCCTCCGGCGCCACCCGCAATCATTGCGCAAGCGCAAATAGTATGGTTAACTTTCTCAAGGTGCAAGCTAACAAGGCACAGAAGCACACGTCGGCTCGAGTTCGGTGTATCATAGTCAACACATGTCAAAAATGGGCCCGAACATGTAAGTCTAGTCTCTCGGGTGTAGCACTGTAGTAAATGTTCACGTGGGCCGGCGATAAGCCACTACGTGTGTCAGTAGACTGCTGCAAAAGGCCCAGAATTTCTGTGTTTGCCTACATTCCGTAATGGTCTCAACTAAAAACTCCCCTGTTATTTACTCATCCTGTATTTTATTGCCCGATGTAGGGCCTGCTACGTTTAGCATTCCATTCCGGTGTTTGCGCAGAGGTAGCCAAGAAATAGTGGCTGGGGCTTGGGGGCGTGGGGTGAGAGCCACGGCCTCGTTGCCGTTCTCGTACGTTGAGTCGTTTTTGCCTTTTAAGCTGCAAAGCATTTGGACTCCTCATACGAAAAGACCGCGGCCGCTCGTCCTCACCTTGCTCCCTGTCGCTTCCTGACTGCCTCCATGGCATGCAGCGCTGTGCGCATGAACCGATTACACAATTCGTTCGATTTCTTTTCCCTCGTTTCCTATAGCGCTGTCGGAAATTGCAGGTGTTTTGCTGCCTAGGAAACACAGGAGAGCCGAATAGTAGGCCGATCTTCAGAAGGGGGCGTGGCAGGCCAGTTGGGGTCAGGACCACCAGGAGATTGGCGACCAGCAAGCGAGTTCCAGCTGTGCTGGAAGCACAGGCTTGGGGTACGTGAATATAGCGTGTAGGGGAGGGAGGAGAATATAACGGATGCTGTCTAATCTGTGCTGGCCCCTCTCTTGAGCAGTGAACTCCCCTGCAGCGGTTGACCTCATCGCTGTGAAAGGCATAAAACCCCACCACTACAACAACTCTGTTTTTATGTGGTTGACGAGGAGTGGAGGACGTAGAAAGTATTCTTACGAACTCCATCTTCATCTCCCGGTAACTAACTACTTCGGTCCTTCCTTAGCCGAGCAACCGTGACCGTGCATTCGGGGCGACCGCCCGCTGTTGCGTTTCCAGCCCCAAAAGAGGCAGCAATTGCAGCAGGGACAAAGAAAAAAGGTTTAGCTTGATCCTGCTTTGTCAAGATGGCGGACAAGCTGCTGAACCGGAAAGGGGATATGATTCGCGACCAGCTGGAGTGCAAGCCTGTCCCCATGGACACGAACGACCCGATGTACGACAGCGAAACAGAAGTAAGCTATGAAGCGCACTTCAATGTTACAAGGTGTAGCTGGGAAGGGGCATCTTAAGAAAACTCGTAGCGAGACAAATGACCTTTACGGCGAGTTTTGGTTCTTGAGTCCTCACACCGTTGATGTTCTTGGCGTGCACTACAGGACGACAACTGCTTCTACCAAGTAATTGAAGTAGCGGCGTGCGACTATCGCTCCACGATAAACAACCAGAGCTGCTTTTCTGTGTCACGAGAGCCTGGTGCACTTGTACGTCCACCTAAGACAGCGGAGGAGTTCCGCGCTGCCGTTGATGAGACGCTCAAAGGTGAGAAAAGGTGCAGCGCGGCCTCTTGTTGATTTGCGAACACCGAGCGTTTGTGGTATTTATTACTTGTACACGCATGTAGATAGATAGTCAGGAATGAGCGGAAGAAGTATTGATTTCATAGAAGCCAGATAAACAAGCGGGTTTGATTGCCTGCGTGGGGCCGTTTGCTCTCTTATGCGCAGCTTTCTTTGCCTGTGCGGATTCGGTCGACCTAGCCGCCCGGCTTCAAGCCCTAGACTGTCGATGTTATCACGACGCTTTTGTCGTTTACGCTGTTCGCGCCTCCCTTGATAGGAGCACAGAAGACCAACGGCGAATGAGCGCAGAATTTGCACTTCTTGCTGATAAGGGTCTTCTTACGAGGCAGCAGCTCTGCAGGGCATTCGAAAAGCTTGTGCAGAGTGCAGATGACATTGAACTTGTAGGCTGGAAGTATTAGTGCAATGCCCGTTTGTGAAGGGAGGACGTACTTGCGCGCTTTTCCATATGGGACGGTGCGCATGGGTCTTTTTGTGTTGTATTCGCGAATATGTTTGGACTCATTGCTGCCTCCACTGGGAGGAGCGCAGACAATCCTGAAAACGCGTACCCAGCTACCTATCATGCATGCTTTCGTTCGAAGTCAACATTAACCGATGCTCCGTGTGTATGCTGCGTCCAGGACGTGCCGGACGTGGCTAGCCGATTGTTTGCCTTCATAGAATGCGCTTTGCTTGACAACTGCATCGGCGCCGATGTTCTCAGCCGTTTGCCCACCTCATTTGTTTCAAAGCTCGACCCGGCTGTTGTAGCAAGCAACATCGTCGTGCAGGCTGCCGTGCGCCAGTAAGTGTTACTATACAGGAACAGGCCATTTATGTACCATGGTGGCGTATCATATTTACGTGAAGACAAAAACGGCAGTTGCCTTTGCATTTCCCCGCGGGTGCGCATTTCCACAGGATGCAAGAATTTAAAGCTGCCCTTTCTGAATTCTTGGAGGACGTTTTCGAAAGTGAAGGCGTGCAGGAGGCGGAGCTTTTCCTTCAGGCTCAGGACAAACCACTTTGCCAGCATGAATTTGTTGCGAAGCTCGTTGTGGCTTCTTATTCTAGGGGTTCTAGGTAGGGATGCTGCTCTGCACTCCTCGTAGCGTTTTCACAGGGAATCGTGGAAATTTCAAATTTCGCAGCAGTTTAGTGTCGCATACCCGGCAGCAAGGGATCTTGCAGTGGATCTTGCGTTTCTTGTCGCCCGCCACGGGAGCTTGTACTGTCCTCACCTTATCATTTAGGTGTACATTCTTCAAAGGTGCACGATTTTGCATGCTTGCGTCGTTGAACCATTTTGGAGGGACGTTGATCAGTCGTTGTTATGCGTGTCGGGGTGCACACGATGGCGTTTGCTATGCTTGGCAGGGACAGAGAGCTCGCTAGCAACATTTTGGACCGGCTTTACGGGAAGACATTGAAGCCTGACGACTTGCAGGTGGGATTCTCTCGTCTGGTTGGAGCAGTTGATGACCTTGCATTGGACGTCCCCCAGGCACATGACTTCCTGACAAAGAGTTTGGTAAGGGTTCATAGATTGTACCCTGTAGCTATTTGTTGATATCGCCCCCCATAAATGTTGGGGTTTGGTGAAGTCCTCCCACGTGTATATGTTTCCTCGTGAAAAGATCAAGGCAGAACGTTTAACTCGGATGAGACGTGGAGTTTGTGTTCTGTTTCTGTTTTATCATTCAAGCGGTGTTTTCCTTGCCTGCAGGCACGGGCCGTTGTGGACGAACTGTTGCCTCCAGCGTTCTTGGGGGACCGTTATAGGCTTCACTTCGGGGGGAGTGGAGGCATGCAAGTCCTAAAGAGGGCACAAAAGTGGCTTTGCGAGCAACCAGGGAAGGCCGCGAGTGAACGCTTTAGAAAGGTATCTGAAGCACACATCTCAAGCTATCATTTTATAGAAATAGGTGAACTTTGGGTTCGTAACCGTGCACTGCACGGGAACAAATCCACTTCTCTGAAAAAGCAGTGCATTGCACTGCTTTTGCCTACGCATTCCCATCCGTCTGCTTGTTATTTGAGTTCAGATATGGACAGGAACCGACCCAACCATGAGGGAAGCGCGTATTTTCAAGCATGAACTGAAAGCATGCATCCGCAAGTATCTCGATACGCTCGATGCCGCCGAAGCCGCAAAGGCAATCATAGATATGAACCTAGCGCCAGACCAGGTATGTGGCGATCCGCCAGCAACAGGCAGCCTTTAGTTCGGAGTTCATGCCTAGATAGCGAGTCTTGTATCTTATTTAGACAAGGGGAGATTGTCCGGCGAGGGGAGGGTGTCAGTAGGTCGTCTTGTAATTACCGCAGGATTCAGAGGTTGTCCGCAAGGCCTATATTTTTTCAATGGAGCGATCGAAGGACCCAGAGCAGGCAGCAAAAGCTGTAGTGGGGCTGCTCGAGCAATTACGTGCTCTAGGCGAGCTTGACCAGGAATGTATCATCCAAGGCCTGGCACAAATCAAGGACCTCCTCCCCGACGTACGTCATTTTTCAGCACATCATGATGCAGATGTTATATAAGATGTCTCGCTGGAGGCCTTGAGACGCACCATTTGACATGGAATGTTGCACTGATATGCGTGTTGCGCTTGTCCTTGAATCAGATCGAGTTGGACGTACCGAATGCCCAGCAGAAGATTTGCTATATGGTTGCTGCTTCTCGGAATAAAGGGCTACTGCCTGCTGACTATGTTTTTGCGGAAGAGGCAGTTGAAGATGGGCAGTGAATCAGTGTGACACTGCTTCCACTTTTCCCCTTCCAGCTCGTACCCACGGAGCGGGGGGCGCATGAGGACTGACAGTTGGCGGGGCTTCCTCTCAATTTGTAGTCTGGTTGTTCGCGGAGGCCGATCTCCTCCGTCAGCTGACCGTTTGATAACGCAGTTTATACTGCAGGGCTGTGCAGGCGCAAAGCTGGCTTGACTCCGCCCTAGCAGGCATGTGGCACAGTGCATTGTGTGTGCTGGCACGAGCCAGCGTAACACCATGGCGTCTTCTCCCCTCTGCTCTACACGTGTAGGGAGAGAGTGAGAAGCAGGAGGCAAATGGCAGTGGGCATTGACTAGACCATATATCCTGCCCCACGCGCGTGGTGATGGGCCGTATGATCCTTCACCACGCGGCACTTTCAAATGTCTTCCCAACACCGCTCCCCGCAGTAGCGAGCGACGAACAAGTCGGTGTCCGCACCTTCCTACAAACCGGAATGAATTGCCTTGCATTGCGGCATGGTACAAAGGTAGACTAAATACATCGGCTCTAACCCGTTGGAGTCTACAAAATGTCATTGGTAGCATTTAAATACATCTTCCCAGCACAACTGCCACAGGGTACTGTTAAGTATCATGCTCCTTACGCTAATGCCCTCACATACACACTTTCCTAGCTGTGTCTATGGTTTTGTCTCCATTGACACTCGAGGAGCTGCACCTGGGCGTATTTCGAAACTGCCCAACCGCACACGGGATCAAACCGAACTTAGCTGAAATAGTCAGGATGGAGACGTTTGGAATAACAATCTCCACAATTACAGCCACACTTCCTGCGGCAGCAATATAAACTAGCATTAACAGGATGTGCATTCGCAGCAGTCTGGCACTAGTGAGGAGCCTGCCGATGACACTCCGCGCACTGGCAGTGTGCGGCATGTGAATACGTAATGATGAACTCTGGCAAGGCCTGGGCCCGTTCAAAAACCACAAACTCAACTCCGTCCACTACGCCACCTCGTGTGCGGCATTCCGCCATCACTGCAACAATGCAGAAGAACAAAACGTAGCAGCAAACGACAAGCAACAAGCAAACATCTGTTGTGCTCTGGCTTGACTGACGGAGCTAACAGTCAGCTTCCTGAGGTGCTTGCTACAAATATGCGTGGCGATTTCTCTCAGTTGTACGCCATGTAGACGTTTACAAGCAATTTACCAGAATCATACGCCAACTTTGCTGTTGCGGAATTCGGCTTGTTGGGAGGCATGCGTGCATCCGGCATTGGAGAAAGAGTCTTGTATACTTCGCCCAGACAGACTCGTGCCAGCAGCAAGCAACGCGTAACAGGCTGGGGTGTTGACGATAGTACGCCTGAATGAATTCCCCTTATTCCAGCTTGCTGCACTTTCCCTCCAGTGGTGTCAGCCCTCTGTTGGAAGCTTGTCGGCAGCGAATTCGACTGTTTTTGGTTCTTCAGTGCCTGCCCAGAAGCTGAGAAGTCCTTGGACCGACTCCTGTTGGCCCCGCTGCCTTGCCTGGTGAGCTTTGCGCATACTGCTCGGAAGCGTCCCTTCTCCTTATCTTTCTTCAAAGCTCCATCTGGGGTGGTCGAAGATGCAGAGTTGCGTGCTGCCATGACCGCAGCGTTCGCGTTTCCCCTTCCGTAAGGCAGCCAACCGCCTCTACCAAACCGAAGATTACCGCAAGTTTTGCTTGTGTTCTGGCGAGCTCTTTCTCCGGGGTTTCCCCCAGTACCCATGCTGGTTGGGGTGCTCGTGAGTAGAGCAGAAGACGTGGGCGCTCCTACTGGTTGAGTCACACGAGCATGAATTAAAGGGACAGCTGGCAGAGAGCCGGGGAATGTGACTGCTGTAGTTGCGAAGGGCCCACTTGTTTTGGCTAAAACGTCGTTTGGGCGAGTATACAGGTCTGCTTTGCTTGCGTGAGGTGAAAAGTAAGTGCCTATGCCAAAAAGCTTCCCTGAAGAAGATACACACCACGAAGTGTCCCTGCACCCCACCAAACTATACGCACTCGCGCTTTGGTTATTTAGAGGGAGGAAGGGAAAGGCTAAAGTTATCACTGGTCTAAACTAAAATCTCGATAGTACCTCCGTTTTCTCCTCCTCTTCGAAAATCAAACCCGGCGAGAGCAATCAATCCTGCGCGCTCTTCGGTGCACCCATGGAAGAGGAAATATTCGTTCAAAGTTGCCTGCAATACATAGTGGAGAGAAGAACACAGGCGCAACTCGTGTGTTCTATTCATAACTAGCCACGCTCTATGCACTTATTGCTACCAAAGTCGGTAACGTCCTCGACGAACAGCTGATATGCCGTGAGATATCGTTAAACAACCGCAAACAAGCAGGTATTGGTGTTCAATAAATGCTGGTGCTCACCTGTGTTGGATGCACTTGAACCTTAAGAACTGGATTGGGAATGGCCTCATCGAGGTTACACCCCCCTTCCGAATTCATCAGCAAAAGCATGCTCCTTTCATGAAGGTAACGCCGCACCAAAAGACCATTGCAAATCCTTTCAATTTTGTGGATCTGCAATCCCAGTAAGCAAGCAAAGTACAGAAAAGACACGGCCAAAACACCGTGAGATGCTCTCCGTCAGTACACTGTTCTTGTACGAGTAGACTCACCACGAAGACGGGAGGCTGGTGAAAGGAAAAGCTATTGAAACGGGTAGGACTACCAAGGGCAAGCTTTCCATCCTTCATCACCAAATATGGCCTATACGACTGCAGCATGCCATGCTGCTGTGAAATCCCAACGGGCATCGACGCATAGCTGGACGGAGGCACAAAGCTGCCAACTGGTGGGCGATATACGGCGTACGGAGGCACAGATTCCCTGTGTTCTGCGAGGGAAGAGTATACCTGTGAGTCGGGCCACAACCATTCATAGGTGCCTATCCACAAGTACCCATGAGAACGTAGCTCCTAAAGGCACCATCCCAAGATATTCCCTAAGCATGAAATGACTGTGAATATAAGGGGTTAACTGCAACGGCACGCTATACTCTGATAATGGCGAGCGTACACCCTATCGGTGCTTACCGCAGCGACGCAGAACTGGTAAAGAACGTCTGAAGGAGACAGAACTACTCTTGCATTTTCGCAATTCAACGCCCGTCCCATGCTAAGCTCAAAGGACGAGAAGCACCGCAAAGCATGTGCCTGTGGGTGAAGCGGGGAGGTGTGAGTCATATTCGTCCTACACCTCCTGATGCTACGCCATTCCCCTGTGTCTTCGACTTTAGCATCCATAGTTCTGATGGAGCTTCGCCTGTGTTGTCGGTGGCTTTTATCCCAGTTTAACCCTATAGAATAGCTCTCCGTAAATGTGCAAGGAGTGCTGAAACTTCTGACAGGTTCTCTAGCTTCCTCAACATCCCCAGACTGTCTGCCGAGCACTTCAAGCAAGATTTCCTGGACGTTCGAACGCTGAGAACAGTTCATTGACTGTCCCTCTAGCTCACCCGGTAAGGCCGAAGCAACCTGCGAAGAAAGCAGGATAGCTAGAGCTTAGTCTTGTGTCCTGTAACGGTTGTGGGACAAACAATCATTGCAAAACTCTTGCAATTCTGCAGCTGCCGTAACGTAACTTCTCATGTGGAATGTGAAAGTACCTTAACTAGAGAGAACAAACTAATCCTCAGTCCTGCATGCTTCTCTTGATTCCCACTGCCCCCACCGTAGTCATCAGATGCCTCAATCATGGATTCCATGCCTTCAAAAAAACACTGTCCTCTGTGGCATCGATCAGAAATGCACTCACCACCCCGCGTCTGCGGGGGTGCAATGGCCGAGCCCCATCCGGCCCCCACCAACGCGAAAGTGTTATTTCCCCCGTCGTGTCCTACGCGGGGTCCTGAAGTATGCAGCGCTGAGTCCGTGCCTGAAAATCTAATAACCGTGGACTCCCGCAGTACGTCCTTCGCAGCCAAGGGCTTGAGCGACTGCAGCCCAGAAGAGTCTGTGATGCACTGTCGTGGGCCATCGGTAGCCGCCATCCCTCCTGCAGACCTCGGATTGCTCACTGCTGAACACTCAGCAAGTTCGTTTGCACAAGGCGCAACCTCCCTCAACGCAACAAGGCAAGAACCACGACGTCGGGGGCTATTCGTACTGCATATCGATGGTGGACACTCGGCATTGAAGAAAACTCGGTCTCCTTGGTGGCTTTTGCAGTAACAACAAGTGCATGGCCTTAATGCCGACTTCACTATGGCTGTGTCCACCGCTTCCATTAACGCTGAGCAGGCAATAGCGGACTGTGCGGCATTAGCCGCTACCCAAGAGGCCGCTGCTGTACGAATGCGATTATCATTGCTGCACAGAGCAGGCAGCAGCAAGCCGACCGCCGTGAGATGCCGCAGAAGTGTCTCTCGTCGCCGATCTGCCGTTCTGGTTGCAAAAAGAAACCCTGTTTCCCCTGAACTCTTCCTGCGTTCATTTATCCACCCATCCACGAGCCTTCAGCACACGAAAACAAACAATGGCCAGAAATCACGGTGGGATGGTCGTGCGGCGAGCGTATCTACTTTGTTGGGCATAGATCTGTTGGTTAGCTTGCACACATGTCGGCACAAGTGAACTCACCGCCATCAACACGCGGGCGTGCAACTCACTATGCAAATACAGTGGATGCCGCCGGTCCCTCTGGCCTACCTCAGGCGCACGAGCCCCTCTGCGTTAACTTTTCTTTCGTATACTTCAACCAACGTAGAAGGGGGCAGAGTGCGGCGGACTTGCCCTTCAATCTCAAGTGCAGGCCTCACATTTACTAAATAACCATCAGCTGAGCAAACCAAACAAAAAAGAATGTTGAGAGAGATGTGGCCCTGCAACCTGTGAAGCTTCTTTGGGACGGCTTCTGACGAATGTTACAGGCGAAATGAGTGCCATATATCTAAATGGGCTCACCGACTATTTCGTAGAGGACGGGACGGTCATAAGCAATCTCACATTCGTCAACTCGCTCCAAATGCCCATCAAGAGTCACCCAGCCCTCATCCGTGCACACGCGAAGGTGCACACGCCGGTTACTAGTGAAGTGAACAGAGTTTCTCTTTGCATTCTTACCGAAAGTGCGTGCAACGGCAGGTGGTTGAAGCTTGTCGCTCTCTCCTATCCCTGAAGTACCCAGCCCCGCTATCATACAGTCGTTAGACCCTTCCAGGCTGCCACATGACGGTGCACAGGAGACTAGGCAAGCGTCGAGGACAGGGAAGACCTGCCCGGAAAGGATGCGCCCGACTACATGGGACCCTAAGTGGGGGGTCGCGCTGCAACAGCACACACGACTCGTTTCTAGCATACGCGCTATCTCACCCGCAAACTGGCATCTAACCATGATGCTTCTGGAGAAGAAACCCCCTTCTCAGGCGAAAAAGATTCTTTTTGCTCCGCCCGGCAATAGCTATTTCCCTGCCTCAGGCTCACAAGTAGGAACATGCAGAAGTGTGCCGGCTCACCTCACAGGTATAGCACGAGCACCCACAGCGCGAAACAGAACAAAGGAATGCTCCAGAGGGTTGAGACCTCCAGCGCGAATGCTGATTCGGGTGACTATTCTGCTAGAGTCGGAATTCATGCTGTGCGTCCTGCTGAAGCGTGAAAGGCCCCCCACACCGGAGATGCCAACATTGGAAAGGTGAGACCTTGTAGCTTCTTTGAGGGTCTCCTCAAGCTTGTGAATGGATGCGGCCGATACCAGCTTTCCTAAGCTATTGTAGCTCATACGCTCCTCCGTCAGCCTGGCACATTCCTGAAAACTAAGAAAGCGGGTGGCACGACAAGCGTAAACGGTTCCCCAACCGGTGGAGATGGCATCGTCGGGTTCAACTAATCCTTCCTCCTCTTCATCCCCATCAACCGCTATGGGAATGCTATCTGGAGAACTGCCTTTAACTCGAGCTTGTCCTGAGGAAGGGTCCCAAGCCTGTTGCCGATTTGCAACTCCAGCTGAAACGTTTACACAGTCAGGTATGCGATGCCTAAGCTTGACGGTTCCAATCTCTTCATGTGCAGTCCTGCACGTCGAACCCCGAGCTGGCTGTGGGAGTCGGACCAAATACAAGGATGCGCCTGTTAGCCAACCTTCCGCCGTTTTGAGGCGCAACAGACACGATGTTTGTGCAATGTGAGCTCTGATGTCAAGTACCTGGGGAAAGGCACTAACACGCTGAGGAAGATTAATAACGCACGTAAAATGGGGATTCGACCCCCACCTACGTAAGTATAGAGCGCTACAGTGCGTTTTAAACAAGGCTTGAAAATGCACACTACTGTCCCGCGAGAGGGGCCACAGTATTTCCAAGGCATGACCCCTCACAGTCCCTTCGAATGTGGAATTTGAGTTGTTATTGGGGCTTTGGGTGCAGAGACGTAGCTTACTTTAAAGAATGTCCCAGGGAACACATACCCAAGTACGTCTGCACTGGGTTCCAGAGTGGGCTCCACTGGTAGAGGCAGTGTACAGCAGCTTCGGTATATTAAGGCGAGTCCCTGAAGCAGTGGGAAACAAGAACGTTCCAAAGACAGAAGGCAATAGTTCATTGCACACTACTGTTGACCATTTCCTGCTAATACCCTTTTTTCAGGAGTATACCCAAGCCACAACAACGAGGAAGCGCATTGCGCCTCAACAGGTTTTCGGTATCTCTCTAAGATGAACCAACACACCTCATTCGGCATAGGATGGTGAATCAGAGCTGCAATCAGGTCCTCCTCCATGTACTCCAAACAAGTTGCGTAAGCCATGCACAGTGGACCTCCTTTCTGAGAGTAAGCTGAAACCTGCCAGGGGCGCGGTCTGAACTCCTGGTGGTCTTCGGCGCAATCCACATTCAGTGCTCCCGTGGAGCTGCCTTCAGCTTCAACCAAACCACTGCTTGAAGGGCTCTGGGATTGTGGTATAGGCCTTTCGTGAAAAAACACAGCACTTCGGCCTTGAGGCCCATCAAGCCAGGGCGTCGGTACCGAGCTACCGAGTTGGCCGTCGCTGGGCGCTGGTGGTGGAAGCCGCCCCTTGTAGCACAGCCAAGCCCGTCGAAGCCTCCTTCGACGCTCCCTGTGCTTGTTGGAAGGCCGTCGATAGGACTTCCGCTGCGGATAGTCACAATGGTTGTTTTGGTCTGTGCCGGCCACGAGCCAGGACCTCCTCCCGTGCAAATTGGTCACGCGGGATCCTCTAAGACCAAACCTTCCAACGTATGTCTTCGAATGTGCTGTCCCCATTCCTTAAGCAGAAAAAGGGGGAGAAGCCAATGAGTACACTAGGGCGTAACTAAATACCCACGTAAAGACGTCGATTTGAATTGCCCTTTCGGGGGCCAACAAGGGCCTGAAAGCCAGTATTCTGATTGTGTGATGTGTTAAACAATCAATGAAAATGAATTGAAGAAGTGCAATACAGCAAAAAGGAGATCACGACACTGTTGGAAGCCCCATCGAATTGCAGCAGCACCGGACCAGCTTGCATTGACCCTGCTCACGCCCGAGCCGACCAAAAAGTGGCGAGAAAATGGTATCTCACCCTTACAGCCTGGTCAACTTTACAATAAAAATCTTTTCAATGAAAAATTGAGAGTCGGGAAGCCGGCGAAAAAAGCGGAACCCGTGGTGCTCTGCGTTGGAGGATACTCAACGAGCTCCTGGGGGGCAAGACAGACGGACCACTGCGGGACGCTTGATATCTCGCGTAGTTGGAGTGTGCTACTACAGCATTATTACTTCTAGACTGACTACTATGAGCATTAAGACAATCAAACAAATAAATCCCAGTGACTGACGTGTACTCAGTCATCCTGTCTAGTTCCCCGCGGCTCAGCTAGCCTCACCACTCCTCTGAAGTGTGCGTGGGGGCAATCCAGTACACCATTCACGTGGAGTCAACCGAAATGCTACAATCTTTAATCGGCACGTTAGTTTAATTTTTCCCGCCGCATAGCATCCGAGCTGGGAAGGAAGAGGGTGGACACCAACGAATGCGTCCTCTTACGGGGATAATCTCTGCCTGGTACGGAATATCCCAGTCACAATGATTCCCACTGCTCTAGTCGATCCACGTTTGAGGTTTATGGCGGTCCCTGGGAAGCTCAACTATGCAAGGCGTCAAGCTGCTGGCCACTAGCAGTGACGCCGACAGTATTTCTACCCAACAGGGATATTCAACTAGTATGTGTGCTGCCCACAAGTCGATGGGACATATGAATCTAGCAGCTACACCTGTCGCCACATACAGTGTGAAAAGCAACTGATGAGCACAGTTTCCCTAAAAAAACCACCAGTATTGAGTGTGTGCATCCTTTGAAACGTGAGCACCAGACGGTCGCCGTACAGCGGCAGTCACAAAACATTCGTGCAAAGAGAACTGTTGGGCATCCGCTATCTATGGTTGAGGGTGCTTCAACAAATACGGGAGACCGGTATCCTCAGCGTCATGGAATATTGGTTGCCATCTAATCACCTGATCAAGTATTGGAAGTGGTGAAGTACAGATATCTGTAAGCCAGGAATGCATCCAAGACGCTGCAGAGGGCCACACACGTAATTCGTCGAGCGAAGCATACCAAATTCCACAGAGCCATGACACACGACAAACTGCATCGGGAAGGGCTGAGCATGCGGGTTTTGCATGATCTAAAAAGCACTTTGATGCGTTATTACAACAACCAACAATGTTACAACATCCAACGCTCAGGAAATGCTCGTCTGTAATGTGCGTTCAGCCCTAATATCTATGCAAAATGATTGCGGCTCACTTGAAATGGTTAAGAAGCGGCACTCGCCGAACCACGAAGTCCACAGCCTCGATAGGCCGAGCCAGCAACTTGTCGAAAAACGGAGGGCGCAGTAAAGCGTAGGGCAGCCCCGCTAGTCTGCATGCACAGCAGCACGGTTTCGCCAGGCAAGCCGTGCACGCATGGGCAGGGACGGCAAACGACGAAGACAAGAGTTGAATAGATCATAGGTTAGCAACTCACCGGCGGTGAAGCTCCGCAGCCTCAACAGGGGACAGGTGCTCCATAACTTGGGGAGACCCATGCAGCAGCGAGATTGAGTTCGCTTCGATGACTGCACGAAGAAACAGGAATTTCGCAACCACTAGCAATATAAAAGGGAACGCCTCCAATATACGGGTTTCTAATGGGCCAGTGGCTGCTACTCTGCGAGAAACTACTGCAACAACTAACACCGAGTTGACGCCGTGAAGGAGAGCTCACATGTGGCAACCAGCCATGGAGTCCACGACTTGGTATTCCTGGCCCGTCTTAGAAGATAAAGGTAAATAAAAGGGCGAATATGGTACAGAACCTCTGCCAAAAAGGGCCTGTAAATCGAAATAGGGACACTGTGAAAGGTGATTTAGCATGAGCTGCATTACCTCAGCGGCACCGAGTTATCAGTAAGATAAAAACAGACGACGTAAGCTAGCAGCTGTCTGCAGTATGAAGCTGCCCAATAGCCATGGACCACAGGTGTGACACGCTATTGTTGGTACACAAAAAAACGCATAAATCCAGTACCTCCAAGCGGTGGAGCGCAGGAGGTTGAAAAGAACGCGTAGACGGCAGGGGGAAGCATTGGCCTTAAGCTCATTGAATAGCCACACAGCCACGAGAAGCGCCCACTGCCGAGGAAGCTGCCGTTCCGCAGCTGCAGAAATCGCTGCCTGATGATCGTTGGCTACTCTGAGAACATGCCAACGAACTTTGGCGAAACCCAGAGCCTCAACACTCACAGCACCAACTCATCAGCACCAACAGGTAATACGACTACTGCTGCTGGCAAACCCAAGGCCTAGATACAGAAACTTCGGAGCAAACGACTTGGTGGCATGTGGCAGGTATGATGAGCAAAAGCAACTCCTGCCTGCACTTGAAATACAGCAGTCTCGAGGAGCGAATCGAACAGTCCAGCGTACTGGCGCGCTGCTGATGGAAGGGACGGTATTTTCCTGCCGGTGCGCCTTCCGTAAAAGGGCCGCAGCTTCTCGCTATCAGAGATTGTCTAAAGGAAACACGACACACACGAGTATAGAGGCAGCCCTGTTTAACATCTAATCACGACTGCCACAGAGCCCCAAAGTACAATGGGCAAACTTGCCAAAACGTTCTTGCTAAATTGCTCATGGAGGAGGACTCGAAGTTCTTCTTCTCTAAAAGTACTTGCATCGAGCGAACCTGCTTTTCCTTCTGCGTCGCCAAAGCCTGATATATGCTGTGTTCGTCGCAGTAGAAGGCAAAGGGGGTAAGAGCGCGGATTATCAGCTTAAGCACGAGTTTAAGCAATTCCAGTCGAAGGCACAGAGCAAATCGCGGGCCTTCTCCTCCTCGCCGCAGAGCGCTGACCTCCAGTACAAGCTGCAACGCACGGACTACCTTCAGTGTAAGAGAAATCATTTCATAAAGCGCAAGCCGGACGGAGGTTGGCAGGCCGTCTACAGTTTTTTCTTGTCTTTCCGCAGGTGGTCCGTCAAGAAAAGGCATCGCAGTAGTTCGGGATACATCCGCAAGTCTTGAAACCTCAGAAGTCTCCAACGAACATTCTCTGCGAAGCTTCCACTGGTGGTGCAGCGCCTCGGCCTGTAGCAACCCCCCTGGAGGGGAAAGGAAGTGGGAGCGATAGATACAGAAGACGTCAAAGAGTCCCTGAATGATCAGAAACCGCCGCTCACTCTGATCATCTGAAAACCGAATAAGACACCAATACAGAGCATGAAAGTCCCCGCACTGGTCGTTCCCCTACGCGCCAGCAGCCGCAGCAGTGACAGCAGCTCCTACAGCAGCGACAGTGAGGCATAGACGCCATCAACATAAACCGCGACTCCAATGCGTCACCTGTTGCATGGGCAGGCAGAACCTGCAAGGCGAGTCTTGTGACATCCTCAACGGCCCCGCCATACATCTCAAGGATACAGCGGTGCCACTCAAACACGCCCTGCAGCAGTCTCTCTTTCCTCCACGGTCTCTGTTTTGCAGGGAACTCGGGCTCACTCAGTTCTCCCCGGGAATCAGGAGCCTTGGTAAATTCGTTTCCTTCACCTGGGCTCGTGGCCTCCTCCTGCTGCTCACCACAATGGAAGGTAAAAGAACCAGCTATGGATTTGGCATACAGGGATAGGCGAGAAAACAGACCCTTCCGGTTTGCTTTGACAGAATTCGTCCCTATTAGAGCTTCTGGGAAGCTAAATGCATCCCCACAGCCTGATTCAATAGTTTCTCTGTATCCTATTCCGCCGAGCGACCCTAAGCTGCTGTTTTCTGCGCCAGCGCCATCTCCCGCTTGGGCGGCACTACCGATACAAATGGGGTACCCAGCGGCTTGTTCTGGCATAGCCTCAAAGGCAGGAGAGGTAAGTAAAGACGCATAAGTCTCTGTTGCAGCAGAAGAGGGTGGATACAGGAGGCTACCCTTCCTTTCTTCCCGGTCAGCCGCTTCTGTATCCTGATCGCGAGGCTCTTCAACGCGAATCCACTCGCCCTCACTCTCGCTTACCGGAGAAATCCTGGACAAAGCTGCTTCCGCACAGCTAACCGTTGTCACCTTCTTCTGCTCTGATGGCAACCGTTGCTGTGGGGATAAAACTGGGGTTTGCGGCTGTTCGTGCTGCGCTTCGTCCGTTTGGTTCCGCTGTGCCTCTTGCCCACTAGGACTGGAGACCTGCAGGTTCTTTAGTTTCGACAGCTGAGTTAGGCTGCCGCAACATGACTCACCGGACCTTTCACACAGTCTTCGGAGGTGTTTAGCGCTATCCACGGTGTCAGCACATCGGCTGCTGGGTTGTGCTTCCGGCAGAACAGGTATCACGGACCCCCCTGCATCTGGTGAGTCTCCTGGCAAGCTACGCGGACTATGAAAGGCGCATGCATCTTCCTGTGAAACTTCCAGTGAGGCAGAGTCACTTCCATTGGACGTGCGTATACTGTGCAGAAGTATCGGGGGGGGAGAGCCAGGATCTTCTTCCTTTTCCGTCAGATCCCCCCCATGGGTGCTCAACGCGCTCTCACTCTTCTGGTAAGCTGGGTTGGAGGGGTCAGGGAGGTAGGATTTCGGCACTTTCGAAACGTCAGGTGCAGTACTGCTGCTAGAAGGGCAATCAAGTGAAGGTGGAGCACCTTGAGGCGCATCCCTGCGAGGTCCTCCAGGGCGAGGGTTCGCCCAGCGCTTTTTTGGCATTTTGACTTTGCATTGAACCACCTGTACACGAATGTGGAGGAGGGGGAAAACAAACCAAAAAAAGTAACCCACCCGCCCTTTTTAGAGCGGGGTGCCCTTCACAGTGAAAGGCAAGGAATTCCGCTACGGAGTCAGTGTGCACCTGCTACTGTAGGACAACATCCAGGGGAAAAGTGTGAGTTCCTGTTGAGGGACTAGGCCGAAGGAAGGGGGATGCAGACGAAGACACTGAAGTGGCGCTGCTTCGAATTCCAGGAAAGAGGTGCTCAGGGTAGCCACAAAAAACCCAACCTGAGCTGGAGGACAGACACCGTTTTTGCAGCAAACGCGTGATAAGAACTTGTTTCACGCCCAGAATCCTGAAAATTGTGCGTCTCACAGAGACCCTGGTTGCAACTGGGGCCCCCCCAAGCCCCGGCCTGCCGCTGTCTGCTCACGGACCGCTAAAGTGACGGTAGAGCCAAAACTGGTGTGGCCAGTGCGCTCTTCTATGTACAAGCCCTGCTCCCAGTGCCTCCGAAGATTATGAGACGGAATTAGCTCCAGTAGGGAGCCTGTAGGTTTCACGCTGCACAAAACCGCCCATCTAATCACAGTGTAGTGGCGTAGTTGTAGTGCACAGGCACTACAATGTGGCTCTGGTGTGATCTCTAGTAGCTCATTGACCATAAAGAGAATGATTATGACATTAGCAACTAGGAAAGGGAATTAATGCTGCTAAATCTTCTAAGAATCGAGTACCGTAGATGGATCCAAAGGCTAGTAGGATTACCCCCGCCAGCTGCCACTATCGGCAGTGTAGCGCAATACCTAGTCACTACTTGGGCACCAGGTAGGCCCTTTTAGATATATGGTTGAAAAAGGAATAGAATTATTACTATATAGGAGTATTATGTATACAAATACGACTTTGGTGGATGGCAGTCCACCATTCTATAGTGGGACAGTTAATGGGAATCAGCCGAAGTATAACTGAAGAGTTGGGGGCGAAAGCGTAAAGAGCCAGTTTGTGACTGTACTGAAATATGGAGAGCACAGCTTGTGGGAAGGACAGTGGGGTCCTTCCCCGACACAAAAATTCCATTGCAGACTGCATTAGATGATTACCAGGAGTCGACAACACCTAAGGTGGCCTACCTCAGGAGGACTACATTCCACATTCCAAATGAGGATGAAAGGCATATGATGTGTTTCCTTCGTCATATGGAGATGATGTTTTTCGATGCCGGTTTACGTCAGGAACACTGGGGACAAGAACTGCGCCGGTACTGGACCGGGGATGCATTGCGGTACTGTTTCTAACTGCGCGATACTCGGGCAACTATCAGGAATTGGGAAGCCCTCAAACACTCTATGCTCACTAGATTATGTGGGGTCCCGCATGACGTACTTGTTTCGTGTTTATATTGAGTCAGATGGCAGGGTAGTGCTGTAAAGTATGCCTCCTACTTGTTGTCAGCGGTTCTGTGCCAGGGAGAACCCCTACTGCGCGAACAGCAAGTAGACATTTTTTTACCTAACCTGAATGACGATGTCGGATTGAAGGTGGCAAATTAGGGCCAAATTAGATTCACAACTTGGGAAGACGCTGCCAGGGAGTTAGAGAAGGTAGTGGGGTGTAGAGAGGAGACATTGGCACATCTAAGGGAAACCAGGCAGTATTTAAAGGACATACATCAGACCGTTTGAGGTGAGTCCTATAGGGACAACGGAAAAGTGATAGAGTTAATCCACAGGATAGGCGAGTCTCAAGGGAATATGCATGTTTCGAGTGCACGGGCAAGGGGCACGTGGCCTCGCAAAGCCCCTGTCGCCAGGAAGCTTCACGTCGTACAGGGGAAACGTGTAGGAAATGTGGGGGTGTATGGCATTTCGCCCGTGTAGGAAATGTGGGGGTGTATGGCATTTCGCCCGAGGCTGGGCCCCTCCTGAGACTGTTAGCCGGGCCACTAAAGAGGCCCGAACAGCGGCCAGCAGGTTTTAGCACCAGAGCCACGGGGTGTTTAAACGATCGAGCCTAGTCGTCCAGGGACACGAACGCACTAGGCGATATACTGGTGATAAGGGAGCATTGGGTGCAGTAGCGTCGGAGCCTAATACCATAGTAGTCTCCCCGGCTTGGGATATGCATGGGGGAACAATGAGGCAGAAAGTGGGGAGACCCCAACAGACGTCGGCCGAACGGCCGGCCTCCCGCAGGTTTTGTTTACTCTTTTTTCTGTATGCTGTGCTAGTATCAGCGTGTGAAAAAGACCCTCTCCAGGGCAGCAACAGCAAGCAAGAGCCCACAGGGCTTCGCAGAAAGCCGCCGTGCCTCCACGCAACGAAAGGATGAAGCTTCTCGTTGCTCCGTTGGAGCTTCCACTTCGCGTTGCTCGTTTGCTGTCCCACCCTCTGCTGTCGTTGCACCTGAAGACGGGAGTCCGGATACCACAATGCTCAGTTCCACTCCGTGTGGTTCTTCCCTGGCTAGCTGGCCGGCTAGACGGATGGCTAGGTGGCTAGCTAGCTCGCTAGCGAGCCACACTGTAACCGCTACCTTCACGAGTGCAGGACTAGTGGCACAGCATGTTCCCCAGCTCAGCATATGAAGTGACCATTTACAGAAAGCAGCCCTGCTATAAATCACTGTTATATTGGGTACGAGCCCACAGTTACTCACCCAACACAGCAGTGTTAGGTGAGTAACAATTCAATGCAGCGCTCCACGTGTACGCTACCGCGCTTGATTTTAATAAGTGTGTACCCTGGACGAGTTGCGTATAGAGCTACGTTACGTTACAGCGCATGCTAGAAACAGCTTCCGTATGCACGAGATGCCCGGTACAGCCGCCACCACGCCTTCCCTTCTGATAAGGATGGTACAGGAAGCAACTGTTGCATTTTGTGGGCACTCATCAAAAGGATTTTACTCATTGACCCTTCGTCGCAGCGCCCTCCAGAAGTGGACGGACGGTTAAGGCAGAAAATGAATCCTGGGTGCATTGAAAAAGCCGGGCATGTTAAAGTGTAGTGAAACGCCCAAAATCTGGTAGCCTCACAGCCGGAGTGCTGATTGTGATATTCCCGATTGAAATTTGACTTCGGCGATACTGTCTCAAGATTGTTCTTCTTTTCCGAAGGGGCAAAAGGCGTCTTAACCGCTGATCACTGCCCAACGAGTGGCTTACCAGTTACGTTTAAAAGCTTGTACCTTCCGATCTTAAGCTTACGATGCTGCTAGGCGTTACGAGAGTTGCTGATCCTAGCTGAGGATAGTCGTGAGCTGCAAATGTGTCAAAAAACTTGAAATAAGGGTTGTCCAAGAGGATATGCTCCCCACCCCAGTTGTGAGGCACTACGGGCATACCGGCACAAGTGTGTGGAGCTACTGTGAGAAAATGGGGGCCTCATATGTTGCAGCACTCCTTAGTGTCACTGCCGGTGGGGCTCGTGTCCCTCGTGTTATTCAGTGACTACTGCGACCTGCATACAGCCAAATACTTGGGTCCCATAAAATCGGCGGACCCAGCTCTCCAGTCTACAGGCGTTTTGGGCGCAGAGGCCCCAAAGCCTAGATATGTAAGAGTTCAGGCTGCCTATCATGAGTCGCGACATGACAGGTCATGGAGCAAGACAGCCCCATATGCAAGCACAATCAGGTATTTTTTACTGTCCTCGCCAACACGTAGGAAATTGGTGAAGGCTGATGCTTGGGTGCAGGGTCCTTACTTACACGCTGGCTGCCTACTGTGGCCTACTATATGTTCGCGTTGAAACGCTATATGGAGTGTGCTTCACCTGTTAAAACGCATCTCCACCCGCAAGAGCACGCTACCCCTCTTCTAACTCCCCTCCTAGCAGTGTACACATGTACTAAGTACTTACATTGCCCTCAGTAACCAGTCTTCGCACGAGAAGCCACGCCTACCCAGTTGAGCAGAGAGCATCCTACTCCTCCTTCCACGTGGGAAATAAAATGACGGAGTCGATTAAACAGACTGTTCAGCGAATAGACTCGCCATAAAAGAACTATATATGATAAACACTTCCCAATCTGAAATACTCGTTCAACACCCTGAGCGTGTAAACCTGAAATCTACGTGCTGCACGGGTATGGTGTTCTCTGAAAGCTACTCTTGGGTCTCCGCGGACGTAGCCATTATATGCCTCGCTAACTCCACCTGCCTGTTCCCCTAAACTTTAGGAAAGCATTCTACGTTTGATGGTGCGGAATTGTATTTAAGTGCTGGCTGCAGGCTGTCTCTGGCAGCTGCACCCCCGAAAGACGCTGCTACGATAAGCCCCGGGAAATGCATCCGTAACTGCCGATGTTTCTGGGGTGAGTGTTGCCCGAATAGTGAAAAGAAAATGAGGTGAAAGCTGTTAAGCCCTTAGGACTTGTAAAGGGATCAAAGGTACAGAAGTTTGTACCGTAGCGCATGCGGACTTGAGGCTGCGGCAAGTGAGTCGTCTTGGGGCTCTAAAAGGGCTGCCAGCTGCCGTACTCTATGATGTGTAGGGATTATATGATAGTCTCAAAAAATAAGCTGCGTGTAACAAATGTCTGACCTACTCGCCTTGCCGTCCCTTTAGAGCTGTGTGCCCAAAGGGAAAGCGATGGCAGCTGGCCGCTCGCCGATTCTGCGCATAAGCCCCGTTGTCTCGTTAGGAAACGACTGCTATTTGGGATGAATGGGGTCATGGGAAAACCAAAAGAGGCTTCATGTCACTGGTGCTTCTGCGGTGTACATTCTGAGGCGGGTTGGACGCACAAGGTAGCCTTGGGCAACTTGCTCAACGTTGTTTTTTCCGGTGGTTTTTTGCATACTCTGGTCCGCAGATGAACCTCCCACCACATTTCATATGCGCATAAGTAATCGCGTCAGCTGCCACTACAGGCTGGCGCCTTCACCGTGCGTGTATCTTATGTGAGCTGTATCTGTAGAAAATGGAATTCGAAAATTCAAACGCCTCCTCCGTGTCGGATTCACCAACTGGGTTCCATGACAACAGCAGCAGCAATAGCAGTGGTAGTGACAGAGGTGCGAGGCCAACAAACAATCAAGATAGCCCTCCCGCAGCATTCGCAGACAAACCCGCGGACACTTTGGGGGGGATTCCGCTTTATGGCGAAGCTGAGGGTTGGGGGCAACCGAGCAGCGTCAGTTACTTAGCAAGTCAAGGGGTAGCAGCTGGTTCAGCCAATGCTCAAGCGAGCGGCGAGTTTGTGAGCCTCCCTTCCCACAGTAACTCCAGCAGCAAAGTCATTCTTTTGCAGCAGGGGCAGGGCAGCGGGCCCACTGTGGGTTCCTCTGCTGCGTCAGAAGATGCGACAGACGAGTTGGAGCCTTCATTTACCGTCCTAAATGCTCTGAAAAGGGAGGTATTTGCAACGTCGGCACTCTTACGCTCCTTGCGCGTGCATGCGGTATCCCAGACGCGTGGACTCTCAGCAGCGTCGCAGCAGCATCTTGCAGCAGCTGTTGCCCCTTTAGTCAAGTCTTTTGAGCTGCTGAATGAAAGGCTAGCTGCGGCAGAGGCAGCGAAAGAGCCACCCCCAGTGGAATTGCAGGAGCAGCATATTCACCCCTTTCTTTTCGTGCTCGCACAGTTGCAACTGCAGCACAAGCAACAGCAAGGCCTCAACAAGCAGCAGCTGCTGCTGCACCAAAGCTGCATGAGGGCTTTAGCCTCCGCAGTCCTGCGATGTATGTACTCGCAGTTCTCCCGAAAGGCTTGTTTTTGTTGGTGTCTTTCCCCGTTCATCACTGTATCTGTTCCGTCGCGTCGAACATAGCTTCTCGAAAATTTTCTGCTATATGCATCGTGCAGGCAAGTTAAGCTTTTCCTTGTTTGCCGTCTTGCTGTGTACGTGTGTTGTGGCTTGCAGCACTTGACCAGTTGTTAACTGTGGGACTTCTTCGCTGCCGCAGCGCCGCAGGGCGCCGGTGTTTGCACGCTTTAGTCGTGTCTCTGAGAAATTGTGCAGTGCAGGCAACGCAGCGGTTGCATTCGGCTCCAACGCAGTCTTCTGCAGCCAATGCAACTGCGGCTGCTGCTGCGGTTTTGGGGTCCGAGGCATACGGCGGCACTTATTTTGCTCCTTCTTCACCTGCTGCTGAAGAGGAGCTACTGTTGCTCCAATGCCTAGATCTCCTCAGCAGTTCGATCCTTGGCCCTGCGGGTGTGTATTGCAGCAAACAATTACCCTGAGTTCACGGGTGTATGCGGAGGCTACTACACAGCTGCGTCTGTTCTGCTTAGCAAAGGCCCAGAACTGTCCGCACGACTCAGGGGGTTATCATGGCTGCAGCGCAGCACATGAGCCTTGTGGCTAGTGCTACTGCTGCATGCAACGAAGTTGCGTGTACTTTGGTTATGGTTTGTCTCAGGACATGTCTTCTCCGACGCTTGCGTCTTTAGCACAATCCAATGTTGCGTGGCCGTCAGGTAAGCCGAACATGGGCCTGCCGAAAGGGGTCTGGATGCCGTCATGAGCCATGGCTTTTTGCTGTCCCATGCCTTTTGCTCGCTTTAGCGATTTCTTGCTCTTCGTACTCCTAGCAACCTTGGCACATATATGGTCGAGAGGCTGCTCCAAGTTCCTGCTGAGTAACGGTTCTTCTTGCGTCTTCTGGTGTGGTGGTGTCTTAGTAGCTGTCCAGCAGGATAGCACAGGCATGCAGATACTCTGGCACCAGGCGTAATATGCCTTCCTGTCCTTTGCCTACCTTGACGCTGTATTCTGTGTTTGTGTGTCTTATTTCTGTGCAGCCTGTTGCACCGCGCCAGCCCTTTGTTGAGAAACGCAGCAGCCTCCCGCGCTGTCGCCATTACCCGTAGTCTCTTTGCTTCCGAGAGCCTTATTTCGCTCTCGCGTCGGCAGGGACAGCTGCAAGGGGGAAACGGGGCGGAACCACAGCGAGGGAACACAGATATTGAGCACGAAGTGAGACTGGAGGAGCACCCGCAGCAGAAACGGCTAGAGCAGCATGCATCTCCTCCGCCGCACTTCATTGCTCGCCTGGAGTCGGCAATGTCTATCAGGTCCACAGACACAGCATATTCTCCTACATGGCATTCAGCTATGGTGAGGCTCCAGCAATTCTGCTGATGTTACTTGAATGGTGGCTGTTACACCGTGCATTCAGCTCTTGGGCGCACAATTGTTGTTCGTTTGGGACCATGTGCGTGTGGGTATGCGCACGTGCACATGCTCACGTGGAATTATATGCACGTCATCAAAATACACGATCGCGTATACACAGAAGGGTTGGGGTATGTGCCGCCAAGAGAACAACGTTGACAGGTGCAGCCGCACTTCACTCCGAGCACTGGGTTTGTTCACATTCCTTGTTCGGTTTACAGAAGGGCTATGGGTTAGAATGCCGCTTACGAATCCTAGGCCTGGTTGCCAGGCTGTTGTCACATGAAGAGCCTCGAGGAACCCCCAGCAACTTAGGAAGTAGCAGCAGCAACAACAGCAACAATAGCAACAGTACCTACTCCAGTGGCGTTGGTTCTGGAGGGAGCAAGACTGATTCTGCTCTTCCCCCATTCGTTTCAGTAGCCGACCTAGGTTCCTTGCGTGCATCTCCAGAGGGGTCTGGTGACACAAGGGGGGAGGAATCAGCGAGGCAAAGTCGACCTGAGGAGACGCTGCATGCCTCCGTCGCATCAGCACCAGCAACAGGAGAGGTCTCTGTTGCTGGTGGTGGCACTCATCACACGTGTGCCTCGTCCTCGGTGGACAAGGATTCTCGGCCCGGCGCATTCAGTGGTATTGACCGGGTGAGGCAGCTTGACCATCGTGCACTACACACTCCGATGTGTCGCAGATTTAGTGGGCGGCTGATTACCTCTTATGTCACACTGAAGTATGCAACTTCAAATTGCTACGGGGTTGGTCTTAGCTGCAACTACGTTTACGCTCATGTACTTCAGGAGTTTGAGAGCCTTCTTGGGCACCATGGAAAAGACAAGTCGTCAAATATGGAGACTAGGCTGCTCTGCCTGCGCCTGCTCTGCGTTGTTATTGAGGCTGGTAGGCTTTGCAAACTCATGGGGCAGCGGCAACTGTCTGCCATTCTCAACCGTTCCCAGCAGTTGGGCGCAACGGTAGAGGGAGGAAGTTGAGGGTGCCTGCAACACAGAGTCGAGTTTAACTACCCTTACGCCAGGGGCGACGGTACCGTGAGCACGAAGGTGCAGCGATTAGTATGAATAATTGTGTGTCCTGCAGGAAGGGACAGTTTTTCGCTTTTCCCGAAATTGTTGCAACCGCTTCAGACCCAAATCCTGCCTCTTGTTCTTCAGCAGGACACTCGCTCGGCGCCTCTGATGCTGCTTTCTCTGACACTGAGGTGATTCGCACTTTTATATCGTTGCTATTATGCAGTTGGGCAACCAAATGCCGATGGTAACCACACCACCAGTGGAGCGCGTGTGCATCGTGTGGACGCAGGGTAGTGGGCGACTTCATTGTCTTCTTGCGCCCATACATCAAGGATGAGATAGAGAGATGCCTCTATCAGTTCCTCAGGTAGAGAATCCCAGGCTAGAGTTGGTGACGCCTCACGTGGATGCATTTCACTCACGAGTACCCATCTACTGCTACAGACTTTCTCTCTGCGTGACATTGTTCCTTTTGGCCCCTGCCACAAGGTGGTGGTGCAGCCGCTTTGTCTGTTCCTCTTGGCCTCGTCGTTGCGTCTCCCGTTTTGTTTTTGCCGTGTTGCTACGTTCACGTAGCTGTTCACCATTGGTGCGCATGACTGTAAGGAGGATAGAGTCTTGGATGCTGTGGTGCTGCAGGCTAGCAACCACAAACATTGGGGGGCCGCCTAAGACCTTAGCAGCTGAAGCGCAAGAGGTGGCGCTGGACATGCTACGCGAGCTGTGCAGCGACGCATCGTTTGGCTTTGAGCTAGTGCTGAACTACGACAGCGACATTCGTCGATCGAATGTCTTTGGGGTATTGGTCACGCTGCTGCTGCAGCTAGCAGCTCCTCGCGTCCCTTCTCTGAGAGGAGCGTATCGCTTTGCAGAATATGACAACGAAGGTGGCGGTGGGCTCATGGGGGCTTCGGGAACACCTTTGTCGCATGCAACTTTGGGGCAGGTGGCCACTGGTCCCGAGTCATCTGCATCTAAAACTCCGACGCACCAGCTGTCACCTTCAGGGTCATCGCCTTCGTCTGTTAGCGCCATGGCGGTTGCAGAAAGCAACAAGTCTCACCATCATGGCGCCTTTCACTTGAGAAGGGCCCCTACGAGGTCGCCCTTGAAGGCGTCTCGATCCGCAGCAGACACCAACGTAGCGGCATCGACGGAAAACTTGGCCACAGATGCAGCTGGGGTCACGCGCCCCGCAGGCCTGTCGAATGTTAACCGCTTGGCCCTGGCAGGTGTCCTGCGCCTCATTTCGTCTTTAGCCTCCCTATGCGACAATGTGAAACACAGAAGCGTGCCCGAGCAGCAGCAGGAGGAGGCGAAGGAGTTTCATATTGACACGGCCCAACTCAACAGCGAATCTGCAGCCGCCTACTTCTTGCGTGTGCAGGAGATGTTACCCCTTTCCCAGAGAAGGAAGCACAAGGCTCTACTGTCATATGGTGCCGCAGTTTTCAATTCTAACACAAAGGAAGCGATTTCTCAGCTGGAGGGCCTCGGGCTTCTGCCGACGCCCGCAACTCCAAGGAGCACCGCCCTTTTCTTGAAAGAGACAGGAGGGCTTGATCTACGCGCTGTTGGTCTCTATCTTAGCTCTAATAAGCCATGGAATGCCCAAGTATGTTTGTGAAGATATATCACCGCCGCGGGAGCAACCCGCCCGCTCTGCACACAACGGCCAAATCCTCGCCGCATAGATAGGTAGGCACGCACTAGGCGTTGCCGGTGGTTTTCTTACGTGGCATTTTGTGTTTGACTGTTGCTCCAGGTCCTGCGAGAATTCGTTGCACTGTTCACGTTTACTGGTGTTGGTCTTGTCGCTGCGTTGAGAGACTTTCTAAGGACGTTCCGGCTGCCAGGGGAGTCGCAACAGATCGAGCGTGTGATGGAGGCCTTTGCTGACGAATTCTTTCGCCAACAGCCATTGGTTAATTGCCCATACAACAAGGAAAAGCTTGCATCCACAGTTGCAGACGGTGCAACAACAGCGGCAGCAACAGCAACCACAACAGCAACGGAGTCGCCCGCGCCAGCCGAACCCAATCCAACAACGCGGCCAGCATCGTCCCCGGAGCCCTTGGAGCTGTCTTTGTGGCGCTGGGTGGCAGATGAGGGGTTCTACTGTCTGCTGCGTGCTGCGTCCCGGAGAGGAGGTGCTGCAGAAAAGGGCCAGCAGCGAAGCAGTGAAGACCTTGCCCACCAGCTCTCAGAGTTCACCCCTGTAAGCCTATGCGTAGCACCAATGCACTCTGCAAACATTGCACCATGCGGCGGTGGAAGTATCGCCCTCCAGTTGTGGCGTGACCTTGCATTCCTTGGGCTTCATTAGTTTTCTTTGGTCGCTGTAGCCTAACTGGGATGCGTTTTTAGCTGATAGGCGTTCAGGTTAGGCCCGGATGGGTGGTCGTCTAACTTTTTGAACCAGTGCTCGCGGTACCGCTTCTGCAGACACATGTGCTTTAATAGAATTACAACTGAAGTATCACGGTGCAGTTCTCTTTTGGACCGTTTGTTTGGTTGGCTTCTTTACAGACGCAGCCTCCTCCGGGGTACGTGCTCATGGTTCACAAAGATACGGTGTTTGTCCTATCTTATTCCATCATCATGCTGAACACAGACCAGCACAACTCCCAAGTCCGCAGTAAGATGCGAGTGGAGGACTTCGTGAAGAACAATCGAGGCATCAACAACGGGTCCGACTTGCCCGCGTTCTTCCTCCAGAACATATATGTCTCGATCAGGCACCAGGAGATCAAGCTGAAAGAGGCCCCATTAACGACCAGTTCGCCGCCACCGGCTGCTCAGGGGCAAAAGGCGGAGGCTGTAGCAAAGGAACAACAGCAGCAACCAATACCCGATATTTTTGACATTCTTGCGGACGGGTGGACTCCTCCAGAAGGTGCTGGAATGGGTTGGGGGGCCTTTGCCTCTCCCTACAACGGCCCCAAGGGCGCTGGGGCATCTGAGAGCCTATGGGACTACCGCATTGTGTTGAAAACCCGTTCCTCTCGAGCGATGGAGAGCAGCAGTACAACGGATTCTACTTCATGTGCGCCCGGTGCAGACACCCGTGATGTGGAGGGACTGGAGATGGAGATGTTTCGTATCCTGTGGAACGGGGGCTCTCTTGCCGTGCTCAGGGGGGCCTTCGAAGCATCGCTTGACCTGCGACAATTGGAAGAAATACTATGCGGTGTTCTGTCTTTGGCTAGAGCCGCCACAGTCCTCGGTCAGGTTGTTGCCTTGAACACAATTGTAGCGGAGTTGTGCAGCTACTTCGTCTATTCTGTCCCCGCGCATTCTCAGCTGGTCCTGGCACCCATTATGTACCTTATTCGCCGATCTGGAGCTTCCCTTAGAGAGGAAGGTTGGGGGGCAATTTTGGAGCTGTTGCTTCGGCTGCATGCGCTGGACTTGCTACCGCCAGCCCTCATGGGTCTCGACGACTTCGAAGGATCAGGAGGCGCAGCTCTTCCTTCTCTTTGTACCATGACGCCTCCTCCCTTTGTGCCCCCGGCCTCTCGGAGAGACAGAGCAGCAGGGAAGAAAGGAGGGGGATGGCTCGGGGACTTAACTTCCATTTTATTCGCCCTGGGAGACTCTGACGAGGAAAGCGATGGAGACGACGGCAGTGGCACTCAAGGGCACATGGTTGCGTTGTCAGAGGTAATGCAGACACTTCCGTATGCCGGTTTTTGTTGTTCTACCCTCAAGTGGCATCTACCTCGTAGACAGCAGTGAGTTTTCGCCAGCTGCACATGCTTTGCGTGTTGACGAGGTCCAGCGTGCAGAAGCGTGACAGTGTACGGACAGGTGGGCGAACTCGTAAGCGACGGTCTAAGGAATTCATTTTGGTTGACGTACTGTGAGCTTTAGTCCCTTACAGCACTTCTTTGGAATGCGTTGTTCGTGTATCTTCAGGAGCTGAACTTCGCTTGTGACGGTTTATATGTGTTGAGAGCTTCTACGGACTTTGCGTTGCTTCCATCGACTGTCGCAGTGGCAGCTGCCTGTTCTGAAGTGGAGGCAGAACGGGACATTGCGGAGGCTCCCCATCTGCAGCGTGCTCCCCTTACCCAGAGGGAATTGTCGGTGCCCATTGGCGCCGTTGGGCCCGAACACCAGTTGCCACGGGGACCCAACGAAGTGCTGCAGCGAGAGCAGCAGGCGCACCAGCAAGAAGTTCCAGGGGCAGGGGCCGGTCCTCCCTCTGTTTCCCCAGAGGATGAGGAGGCTGCGGCCGCCAGAGCCCCTTACCTGCGTCTTAAGACGGTGTTGTCTCACGGCATCCGCATCGACATGGCAGTGGCCGAGTACGATCTGTTAGACCCTCTACTGCTCTCTGCAAACCGCATGGCTCCCTAAGGCGCCCTAAGGCGCTGCTCTTTTAAACCCGATTACACTTTGGGCGATCTGCGCTCTGGTTTGGTGTAAATGTCCCTGCAGGATTTTCCGTCAGGTTGAACCTGTTTCCTCGCTGTCAACAGCAGTTGTCCTCCTCGTGCACATTGTGTTGGGTTTTCCTTCCGTCCGCCAGAATCCGGGCGCCTCTCCAGACTGCCCGTTGCAGGCGCAGCAACCTCAACAGCAACAGCAGTCCTCCTCCGACGGTGCACCGCCGCAGAATCGTGGCTATGGTGAAGCAGCGATACGTGGAGGTGGAAGCAGCAACGCTGCGCCATCCAGTATGGCCTCTGGGCAACCAGTCTCTGGGGCACACCATCAAGGGCCCCCCCCACTACAGCCACCCGAGGACCTGGCCTTGCCGTCGCTTCCTGGAGCTGAGCTTTTCATGCTGTCTAGCTACCTGATTGATGGGCAGAGACGATATCTCGATGATGACAGTTCCAGACACAACAGTAGCGTTAGCAGCAGCATAAGCAGCTCTGCTGTCTCTACTCCGGTGGGAGGAAATGCATCATCTGTGCAGTGTCCTGGATTTTCTTCCTACACTTTGCCCCCGCCTGTATGGTCTCCGTTACGAGCCGGCACATCCCCTCAGTTGATGACTTACAGGGCGTTTACAGATCGGCTTTTTTGTTTGGAGTTGCTGGGAGCGTTGATGTTGAGCGAGCTAACACCTGGGAGCCCCTCCATGCGCCCGTCGAAGTTTTATGGGCTGGCTCTTTTGCAGAACTTCCCTTGGCTGCTCTGTGCTGTGTACCTCGACACGTTCTTGAGGCGGTACTCTATAGGAACTGCTGCCGGGGGCGTTCCTAACCCGCTCGAGGTTCTAGGGTTGGCAGGGCGAACGCAGATGACCCAGCAGCAGCAGGAGGCAACAGCAGGGACAGACGCCAGCATGGCTTCCTGGGCCACAGCTGTTCTGAATGCATGCAGCAAAGACCCGCTTGCTCAGGCTACCGTGAGGAACGTTTGCAATGTTTTTCAATCAATAGGTTCTCGCCGGCTCGTGGATACGCCCACAAGTGCGTCGCTGCAACTGCCTCCACTGCCTTTGTATATCTGTGTGCAGCTTCGTGCTGCATTTGGTTCATGTTCTTTTGCTTGTTGGGTGTACGGCTGTTGTATGCAGCTCTGCCGCACTGGGAGCTACTCTTCATCGAGCGACTGGTTGTAACTGTGCTGAGGATATGTCTGCGGATACTCTCCGATGAAGATTCTCTGCTACTTCCTGTGTACACAAGGACAGGGATAACGCAACTGGGGGCACCAAATACTTCTGGTTGCACTCCCGCGTGCCAGGTGGCAATACATTTGCTTCAACTTCTAACCCTCCTCCACCCCAATATCTTCTGCATGCACGTCCAGCGCATTTGCCAATCTGCGACTGTAAGTTTTCCATGCAATTTAGCGGCTCTGCCCTACTGCATCATTTGGGCACAATGGTTGGCGTGTATATTTGCGTTTCCGTCAGTAGGACTTGTAGCTATTTGCAGTGTTCTCTGTCGCGAGTGTGTCTAAATTCTGGCTGGCGAGCCATGCTCATTGTCCTGCGCCTGATTTGTTTGCCTGCCTGCTGCGGTCAGATCCTCGTCTCCAGGCTCAATCTGAGAGCTTGCAGCAGCCCACTCCTAATCCAAGTCCTCCTGGCTCTGTATCAGCGCCTTGTCCCTCTGCCTGCCTTCCTGCCGACTGCCCCATTGCCGCAGCACTTGACACAACCACAGCCGCAGCAGCATCTTGCCATGCGAATCATCAGTTCCCTGTCCGACTGGATAAGGGACCCCGAGGCGTTAGCTTTACTTGTCCTTCAGCACCGCAACCACTACCAGATGTTGCTACAAACCCTAATGGCCATTTGCATCTACGTCCCGCCGTTTCCTTCTGTACAGATGCCCTGCTCTGCCGCAGTTGAGCGGAAAACTGAGGGAGATGTTCAGGACCAGCAGCCGCAGCCAAGTGTGAACGGTGCCTCGTCCTATGAAGCCAACTGTACCTCTCTAGCCTTGCTGGGGTCCCTAATCCCTCTAATTGGAGATGCGTTGAAATCCAAGGGAGCGGCGGTTGCAGCGTGCCTCGCTGCTGCAGCAACTTGTGCTGGTACAACCAACGGCGACGGCTCTGCGAAGTGGAAGGCTCGACTCGATTGTCAGGCAATGTGGCTTCAGGCCATGCAAGTATTAGCTATTGTCTGCAGTTTCTCTGCACGCCCCGTGAAGGTCAAAGCTCTGGCGGTGGGTCCGACGTTGCGGTTGAGTGACATTGTATGCAACTCTAGAGGAAGGGGCAGTTCGCGTGTCCTCACCAGACAGGCATGCCACTCAAGTATAGAGGCCGCTTTGTCTAACACTGCCGTGGCTGAGAAGTCAAGGTCACTATTTGGCACCATTTAGCGGAATAATGTGCTGCTGCCTTGAGGTTTTACAGGTCCTGCAGCAGATGCTAATTCGCTGCAACACGAAGCAGTCAAACGCTGCAGAAAGTAGCAGTGTTATCGTCAGCGCCCGGACTGGAAATACTGAAGGGGTTCTGAAGGGGCCAGACAGCACATCCACGCCTGCTGCTGCATCGGAGGCGCCAGGTGCAGCTGTTGCAGCCGACTACTGGGCTACGGCTCCAGAAGATGCACATACGTGGAGACTTTGCTTGCAGTTGGTGGTTTTCCCTCTCCTCAGCCTTCGTTTTGACTATCCCTACACGCCGCCGCCACCAGGTGACGCACCCCCACCTCCTCCTCAGCTTCACCAGCAGCACGCGAATGGCCAGAGTACGGGGGATTCCATGTATATCATTACATCAGGACAAGACCAAGAAAAGCAACACCGCGACACCAATTTTGGGATGCCATGGATGGCTCAACCGACCAGACGACGACTGACCCCGGAAGTTGCCATCAGCACGCTCGGCCTGGACGAAGTAGGACAGGCCAACGCCCTTGTTGTTGCTTTGTGGGACGACTTGTGCTGCAAAAAGACGCATTTTATGTTAGACACTCAATGCTCCTGCAGTGCTCTGCTTTTTCTCGGCGTCCTGTACTAGTTAAAATTGCGCAGGCAGTCGTGAAAAACTCGATCAGTTCGTCATACGTAACGACTTGTTTTCTGCAAATGCCCTTCTTCGTATTCTTATCCTGCATGGATTTAGGCGTGCATAGAAACCATTCGCTTTGGTCCATGGCTCTGCTCTCCCGCTTGTTGCATTTTGTGTGTCTAGGTGTATCAGAGAAAGGCAGCAGCAGCTAGTTTGGCTTGTCGTTTTTTCCTCACCAAGATGGAACTTCTTCTACAGCCGTTCAAAGTGAGGGGCATTTATGTGGACTTCGTGGCTGTCGCGCAACCATTTCCATCAGCAGACGCGTCAAAAAACAAAGGACTTCCAGGAGACCATCCAGGAGGCATAGAGGGTCTTCTACCCCCTTTGACCCAGTTGGTGCAACTGCTCGTTACCGAAGCCAAGGTAGGCTGTGCCTGTTCTAGCCATTTACCCTAGGGGGGAGTGGACATATGATGCTGGCTTGTGTGCTTTTGTGGGAGCTGCAATAGTTCTGCTTATCAGACCTTTCGTAGGCTGCTGCTGTTCCCATGGTTTTCTCAGCAAGCCCCTGTTATATATCGCGATGCGTTTCTGGAGAGCATGAAGAACACACTGCTGGTCGTCCTCACTTGCCCCTTCGTCGCAGCAAGCGCCATACCGGCAGATTTGAAGACGCGCATATCTCCAGCTTCTCTACTTCCAGTTGTCTTTTCCCCGAAGCAGCAGCACCAGCAGCAACAGCAGCAAGAGCAGTTGACTGCACCGAAGGGGGAAACCCAAGAATCTACAAGCGTTGACCAGGCCATGCAGCTTGCAACGAAGCAAGAAGCCTTGCTAGGGACGCTGTCGTGTTTAACGGATAGCCAGCGACTAGTGGTCTCTGCAGTTTCACCTTTCGTCGTTTCCTCATTCCCAAGTGTGATACAGGAATTACTTCTAATACTTCCTACCCCGCAACCACCGCCGCCTCCTCCAAGTCAGGAACCTGCTACCTGCAAGGACCTGGGGCCAAGCACTGCAGCAGAAGGGGACAACGAAGTTCTTCCAGGAGGTTGCGTCGCTTGCCACGACAGTGGCAACGCGAAAGATGCAGCAGTTGCAGCGGAAAACCTCGGGGAAGTCAGTAGTTGTGGCAGTGTAGTTGTATTGCCCCCCGGCGATGGTAATGCTTGTGCATCGTAGCCTCTAGTTCGATATGTTTGATCAGGAGAACGGAGTCCGTGGAGGGACCATGTTTGGACTTGCTGTAGCTATCAATTATTATTCGGGGGCACACCTACCTACCCTGCACTTAGTGTGGAGCGGAATCGGCGTCAGTGCTATCCTCACAGCAGGTCCTTTCTCAAGGGACTTGTTTGTTAGAGGGATACTCAGAAACGTAGATGGTTCATGGAGAGCTTCCGGGTTCGACAGGTTCGTGAATGTCGAAGCGCAGCTGCTGTTATTCACCTATTTCATAGTTTCCTTCGACCACTGTATGAGGATTTCACTTGCGTTCATGCATAGTGTATGCTTTCACTCATTACAGTTGTCAGTTAGTCTGTTTTGCGGAATTTTATATTATCCAATTTCGTACGAGCATTTAACACATTCCTTGGCCCAACTGGACCGAACCATTCGTTTTTGCGTTGGGCTTTCCATTCACTGTGGAGAGCATGGGCTCTCTCTAGGTACAGCACTTCGTCTTAGCTCGGGCAACAGCAGGTATGGTCCCTTCTGGAGGAGCTTATCCTCCAAGTTCAGCTACAACCTGCTCCAGCGGAGGGGGAAGAGTGTACTACTTGACTATTTGCAGAGAGCAGCCTAGCGCAACCTCGGCTTGCATCGAAAATGCCTGTTCCCCTCGGAGGGGGCGTAACTGTGTTCCGGGGGGTAACAGCACTCAACCCTTCGTCTATCCTCGCCCAAGAGTCATAGGCAATTGAAGAAGCCATATACTGTTGTGGGGCCCGCTTACTCAGCTTGCCCTTCATTTGGAGCTAAGCTTCCAAGTGCTCTGCCCTACCGTCCCGTTGAATGTTTGCGACTTCCGGAGGGCCGGTCGCTTCTTCTTTTGAGCACTTCCACGTGACCTAAATAGGCAAAGAAGCACCAAGCCCTGATTGCAGTTACATAGCGCCATGTTGAACCTTACAGTAATTTATCGGTCCAGTTCTGGAAGTTGCTGGCCCCGTGTTGGCCGTGCACTTTAGCTTGCTCTACCCACCACTCTCTACCAAGCCCGTGCTGTGGATGAAATCGGGGAATGCTTTAATAAGCTTAGATGCTGCTGGTTAGACCAGCTTTATTCACTGAGTCCCATGACAACCCTTACGGACTTCACCCAGACGGCAACTGTGGCGTGGTCTGCCCGGAGTTCCCGCGTATTCTTCTACTTGCATTCTGGATGCCTGCTTTGGGTAAGTGTTCGAGCAAGTGGATAAAGCATTTGCGCATGCAGCGGAGGAGGGACGGTTTTGTTTGCGTTGCTAAGCAGCAGCGAACTGCGTTGCAACGCACATCCACATCCCCTCTTTCCAGCCGTAACCGTAGTAACAACAAGGTTTCTGGAATCCATCCTTATTTTCAAGAGATCCGGTCTACACAAGTCCACGCACCCTGGACTCTGGGAGGCGGTGTGACATGGATTACAGCGCGCCTTGCTGCAACTCATGGAACTGAACAACCCCCATACTGCCACTGTGGGCAATTATTAGACTCTATGCATGCAGGATGTTTGATTGGGTGCAGATTGCCTGCTGAAACCAACTTCATCCGGCCTTAAATACACCGTCTCGCAGGCCGTGGGGCGCCGTGCGCAGGACCCTGGGAGGTGGGGTTGGGGGGGATAGGGGTTCAGGTGCCTTCATCGAGATATTATCTTTACTTTTATTCTTTGCAGGCCAGAATGGTTCCAGGCTAATATTGGAGTAGTCAGCCCTTCTGGGCATGCGAGCATCTGCCACAAAATATTTGATGGAATGAGCCATTGTGCCGACACCGCTAAGACGTCTGTGTTGTCTTCAATAACAAAACTCCTATACCGACTCATAAGCGGATATGGCAAGAACTGGCAATAGGATCGCTGCAAAGTTGAGGAATCCGATTTCCAACTCTGTCCTGGAGATTTGGGGCTTTGGGGCTAGGGTACTGGTACTATGTTGAATATATGTTACTACAACTGGAAAGCAATGAGGCAGTGTTAGATATGAGCAGCTATATAGAATTCTACTGTTAGTTGTTGGATCGAGGGACTGACTTCCAGCCGCACCTCCTTAGGAGGCTGCACACAGCTTCAGGGAATTGCTGTGGAATCTCAGGGAGCCCGATTTGTTCATCTCGCATTGGACGAAATGAGCCATATAAGAACATTTTGCTACTAAGAGATGCAGGGTTTTGCTTGCCGGAGCGATTGTCTTCACCCTCACCGCGGCGAGTCGGTGGCGCCACTTGTACCCTTGAGGCCTCTGGATGGCAAATGAGAAGGCTGAGCAGTTTGGCAACTGTGCCCCCGGCTTTATTGTTGTTAAGACTCTTAATACGCTTAGTAGACAGATACTTAATGTGTAACGGGTATAAAGAGGCAGACGAGGCTTGTGGATCCCTCGTAAGGATCCTTCGTATCAGGGTCTGTGCTTTTGTTCCTAGACACGACCTGGGTGGGGTTGACTTGAGACAAAAATGCCTCAGAGTATGCATACATACCTGACCTTCTGCTGCAAATAAGGGCGGTGTGGGGTTGGGTACTTCCACCTGAATTAAACAGTCCTCAATTACGGAGGATGCCTGAGTACACAGCGTATATCGTCCAATCCGCTGAAAAGTTAAACAGCGTAGTCACTAAGCAGTGGTAACTAGAGCCTTTCTAGTTGTATATTCTTGGAGACGTAGCTCAGCGACTCTATTGCATTCGTGTCATCTGTCTCTCTCCCAAACTACTCAGATGCGACCTTCGACGAGGCAGGCCCTGCTGCCAACAAAATAAGAAGGCTCAGGAAACAAATAACAGCACAGGATAGAGAGCTGCATCGCCAACAACGAGCACGCTCCTGCACCATCGTCCAGAAGATAGTGCGGGAGGAATGGGCTGCTGTTCGCAATGAGGGATTCAGTACTACTTGCACCAAGAAGAGAGATGACTTTGTTCAACAGCAGGAGCGCTGTGGGTCTCTGTGCAGCTGTAGCATTTACTACTGCTGCCAAATACCTCTGCGTCTGCAACTACACTAAATACGGTGCTTCTGGAGTTGAAGTCGTGTCTTGGAACGGTTTGGAGCCTTGCGGAAACTTGCAATAAATGGGTCCACATGCATATGACTATTTTCTTTCACACTGCCTTCAGCATCAGCTTGTGAACTTAAACGTTTATTTGCCATGTGTTGCAGCTGGAGCTCTTCCTGCGCATATATCTCGCACTAAGAGCGATGTTAGGGACCTCAGAGCAGCACTTAGCTGTGACACCCGTGCTGATGAAGCGCATCAGCAACAAAATGCATCTACCAAGCCGCTCCGCGGCGTTGCTCCGTCAACTGCAAGGTAATCGACTTCCTGCAGGAAAAGCGTTTATGGCATTCGTTTTCTAGGAGCTAAGCCATTTTGCTGCTGAGGTGCTAGGTGTCTGCTACTGATAGGTGGTTTGCAGGCCAGAAGACCAGACAGCCGCATCAAAGTACCCTCCTCTGAAAAGGCGAAGCCTTAGCGTATTCGAGCAAAAGAAAATAGAAAAGGCACTTCATGCACAACAGCAGGCAATTTTGGAGGGGACACCACAGCGCATTGCAGGGAGGGTTTATTACGGGCCTTCATTTCGCTGCTCTCCTTCGGAGGTAAGGTTTAAAGGCTTTGAAGCCGGAGGAGTGTATTCACAGGATGTGGAGGTGACCAATGTGAGCTTGGGGTTCAGCACATTTCGAGTGCTGCCGCTCCCAGAGCAAGTGGAAGGAATCATCTCTGTTGCTTTTGAAGCAGCAGGGAGGATGTCTGCCGGACGCAGCACGCGCCTAACTGTTACATTTACCCCTAAAAAGGAAGACGATCTGAAGACGGAAATCCTACTACTTTCTCCCACAGGTCCACAGTTCCTACCAGTCATATGCTCGCGCAAAAGGTCTCTACTGTCATTCCGCCCTCAAAAGATATCCCCTCAAGCGCTGCTCAAATCACTGCACACTTTGGGTGTGCCTGCGCGAGGGGATAGGACGGGAGGATTTGAGACCAATGTTAAAAGGAAAGCGGAGGGAGACAACCACGAACCAATTGAGGGAGCAAATTTTCATTCAGGCAGACGGGCTCAGGTTTCGGATGAGAGGGAAGCCAAAGACGGCGTAGTGTATCTTTCCGCTGGAGATATCCAGTTAGGCGAAGTGGCTGCAGTTCGCTTCAGACTATCGAATACAGGGAGTCTCGGCACTGCATACCGCCTCTTCCCTGTATCTCCGGAAGGGCTGCCGGAGCCATCGGAGGTAGACACCTCACCTAATCAAGGGGGCGAGCAGGTAAATGACACAGCGGGCCCTTTGCAAGATCTGCCTGAGGATCCAGCACCCGAATGTCGGAACGTAGATGACCCGGTCATGTTTAGTTCTACAGAGCTGTCCTTAGAGGAAAATCCAGGAAAGGAAACCAGCGCAAGTCCGCCGGAAGAAGACTTGCGGAGTCTTAGTGCTTCTGGATGGTTGGAGGCACTCCAGGGCGAGTCAGTAGTGTTGGCGCAACGACTTCGGATCTCAGACAAACAAAATACACTTGCCTGGGCACGAATCGTGTCTAGCGGCTTAGGTGGACTGTTGGAAAGTAGAACAGAGCAACATCTCCAGGAAGCATCCTGCACAGCCTCTCCCTTGCAGCTTTCGCTCCGAAGTACTCTTGTTAAGAATGCAGCCGGCGAGCTAGATGCCCTCCAAACGCAGGAGATCACCATTGTTCATGCGCCGACCCGCACAGGGCGATTTATTGGATTCTTTGCCCTGCAGTTCTCTGATCCAGATGTATCCCTCAAAGCACTCACTGTTCCATTAAGATAATTTATGGCGAAACCAGTGACACTTTATCCAACTTCACTGAGCTGGCGTCGCTCAGAAGGACTTTTATTAATTAGCTGCCACACTATTGTGAGCTGACGGGATTTCGATGATGCTTAGTGGAGGATAGTTCCATGTTTCTTGGTGCCCTCAGCATGAAGATGTGACGGTTATAGTGGACGGACAGTGCGTCTTGCCTCCAATCTGCATGGACGCGCCCATGCACGACCTCGGGATATGTGTTCCAGATCGAGGGTACCGTCAGCACTTTCAAGTCACCAGCAGCAGCACCCTGACCCGCACGCTACAGGTGGTCTCGCCGGAAGTAGAAGAGGGAGTCTTGTGGGTAGAGCCACGTTGCTCCTTCGTACAGCCCAAAGGTGTAGCTTCTCTAACAGCGCATCTTTGTCTCTCCTTCTCATTCTTCGACCGCCATCCCGAATACGTTCAGCCCCTCCCTCCTGCCATTGCCAAGACTAATCTCAAATCTGTAGCATTCAAGATACCAATTCAGATAAGGGCAAGCGATCAAATTCTTTGTGCGGAGACAGCCATCACAGGTGTGAATGAGATTGACAGAAATGCCAATCGTGTAGGCCCTTTTTGTGCCTGTTCATGGCGTGCCCAAAGAATAAAGGCATCCACAAGCAGTGGAGGCGCTAACGGGTCCTTTGGCTGCGCTCCACACAAAACATGGAAAATGCGGATTGTGCTTGGTTGCGAGAGAGGTAGTAACAAGTGGTACCTCGCCTTCTGCGACGAGGATTTCTTCCGTGCAGGTGTCCTCACTGAACTCCACTTACGCCTTTCTCGCACGACCTTGAGCTTTGGGACGTCCGAAAACACGATTCGCCGAACCCAACTGATAAAGGTCCACAACCCTTCTTTGTTGATTGCATCATTCGGTTTCCGTTCATCTGATCGCGCTCTGCGGGTATTGGAGCCCCCGCACTTCTCAGACCTTAGTGGAGGTATGAATAGCCAGATAACGAACAGTAAAGATAACCAGCCTCGGGCAGCAGGCATTCCATCTGCCGCCTTTCCTCGAGACGCGAACAGTGACGCTGTGTTCTTCCAACCACTCTTTTTCCAGGAGAGAAACCATATGCCCAAAGTGGTCCTATGGGTTTGCAGAATTTCCTTTGGACGATTGCCAAGACACACAGACACCGCCTCCCTTTTTGGCCCTTCGGCAGCTTCAGGAGACGGATAGCAAGACGTGGGACGAGCTGCATCACTATCTCCCCCACCTCGACTGCGGGGGCACGGGCATGCTACTGCCGGGGGAGACACGAACCTTCGCTGTGGTGCTAGACCCAACAGAGCTAAGGTGCGACGCCCACGCCTTGCAGCTAGCAACAGGAAAGGCAGTAGAAAGGGAAGGCGAGCTTCGGATGCGAGTCTTGCTGGCCAGCCAAGCTGCATACGAAATAAAAATACCTTGGTCCGTTACTCTTATCGAGTCTCCTATTGCGATCTTGCCTGCGCCTACTTTGAAGCTTCCCGCAACCCCTGTCGGTCAGAGTTTATCGGCAACGTTAGAGTTGAAGCTTCTAGCCAGTCAGCTTGCATTGGGGAGAGTAGAGGTCGAAGGAAGCCCCAAGCACTCTGGATTCACCGAAATTTCTTTAAAGGAAAACACTCAGTTCACAGCTATCCTCGTAGAAGTCCAGCAGCCGCCTTCAAGTCTGAGTGGGCTCAGCATTACGCCAACACGAGTGTTGCTTTACTCCAAAAAGCGCTGTGCTTCTCTATTTATTTGCTTCAACCCAACCAATGAATACATGCAAATTCAGCAGCGGATACCGCCAGCAGTCGAAACAGAAGATGCAGCAGCTGACCTTGAAAGGCTCCCGCCCCTTTCCACTGTACCTGAAACTGTGCAATCTGGGCCACAACCGAGTGTTCTTCCGAACAGTGACAAGACGCAGCCTGCACCATCAGGTGGAAGTCACAAAGTCCGAGAAGGACCTAAAAAGTCTGTAAAAGCCGATGGCAACACACCTCTCGAGTCTAGAGCAGGTGCGGAAAGGCGCCCTCATAAAGATGCAAAACCTAAACTGACTAAACCAAGCCTCAAGCCTGGAGCAAGTATTGGAGATGAAGGAGAAATTGTCGCATTGGGCCTCCCAGAAGATCCTTCAGAGCCTGGTGGCAATGGCCACCTCTTGGCAACAGCTAGTGCAGCAGAGGGGTATAATCATGCTGCTACTACCATGCCAGAAAGGACTGATGACATGGCACTAAGAGCGGCTCTTCTGAAGATTACCAAGGCTGGGGGCGCTAGGTGGACTAGTTTAGAAGAGGATGGGGGAGGCGACTTCTTTGCTTTCGCCGACCCACGAGCGTTCCATCACGGGCGGTGGCTCATACCTCTAAAAATGTGGCGCCTGACACCCAGGCAGGTCGATGCTTTGCTCATTGGAAAGGAAATAGACTCTTCTCCGCACTTGCCCTTGGGTAGGGCTTCACAGTCATTTATCGAGGTAAGGTTCTCTCTTGGAGAGTGTCAAACCCAGCGACATATTATTGCTTGGTGCCCGCCTTAAGGTCACTTTATCTGGTTCTCGTGATGACTGCGTTTAGGTCAGCACTTGCGCAACTCCCCCACTTGTCGTTGCTTCCTCAAAGAACTTGGACTTTGGCTCGGTGATGGTGGGTCAGCGGGTATTCCAGCAGGTGTACATCACCTGCGCTCCTTTTGCACCGCCCTGCTCCCACGCCTTCCATGCCTTGCCCCTGCCGTTGGGCTGCAGGTTCAGCCTGATCAGCGCTGCTAGAGAAGTCTCACCCGAACGCCCACTCTGCCTCACCATTGCATTCCAGCCCAATGCCCCACAGGCAAGATACTCGTCTGACCTGCAAGCACGCAAGCACAAGCACGCGATCCCTCTTGGTTTTCTGCAACAGCAGGCTGGTGCAGATTGTCTCCTGCGCAGAGCTCTATGAGTTCTCAGATATGGTGCGTCTTCCTGCGAGGAGTCCGCTTTGAACAACGACTTGTATACAGTCTTTGTTTTCATTACAGAACTTCGCTGCCGACCTGACCCTTCAGTCAGCACGCACCCGGATAACCATCTCCCTGAACGGCTCAGGAATTCAGCAGACAGTTGACGTAGTTCCGTTCCAGGCCGCCTACGACATGGGGGCCGTGCTCTGCCCACCTCAGGGCAAAGGTATCTCCAGCTTAGGCAGCAGCAAGTTACGCAGCAGCACCAAAGCTGCAAGAGAGACTATCGCTTAGTGCTTTACCTTTCCTGTCATGTACGGACTTGTGAAACTGAGTCGATGACGTATTTCATTACATCATGCTGTTGGGGCCGTTTTTGTGCAGTCGTTGGGGGATAGTGATCAAAAAGGCTTTTCCGTCTAGTTTGGTGATGCTTGCAGGGGCTGTGTGCGCGTCGTCAACGACCTACACCGTGTCCTTGAAAAATAGAACATCCACTCCGTTGGCCTTCACTATTGTTCCTAAGCAAAGCCGATACCCCCAACTGGATTGTGCCAAGGCTGGCACAGGTCTAAGCTGCTTTTCGTGTGACTTACAGCAAGGTGTAATTCGCGGGTTGAGCTCGGTGGAGCTAGTCTTCCACTTCCGGCCGCAGCGCCCAGGTGCAATCTTCTCCTTCTTTGCCCCTTTGCTTGGCCTTTTGCAAGAGCCTCACGTCATCATGAGTACTTCCTAAGTCTGGTGACCTAGTTTATTTTCGTTGAATGCGTTGTAGAAGGCTGGCTAAGAGGCGACTTCGAACTGACGCTTGCCACTGAGGGACACGCTACGCGGATTTTGCGTTTCTTTGGCCTTGCGACTGCAAACCCAATCTACGTGGCGGTGCCACTTGTACACGGTGGTTCAGTTTGCCCCCCAAGAGAGGCTGAAGCCTGTTCTTCGCATGAGGGCGTCATCGACCATGATCGTAGCAATAAATGCTGTTGCGATGGCTCTGTGGAATCCAAAAACTTTGAAGATGCGCTAAGGGTTGGTAACACGTGCCTGGCGTGTTGCATGGAGCTCCTACCAAGGCTTTCCGCAGAGCGTAATCTTGTGTGCCCTGATGAGCTGGATTCCCCTTGGAATCACGCGGTTGCAGAAGAAGGAAATCCTACTCCCAAACTGAAGGCGCAAAACCCTTCTCATCAGCAGGCGCAACTGGCGGGTAATGACGCCGGCCCAGAGAAAAAGCGATTTGAATTACAGCAACACCAACAGAGCCAGCAGTTCCTGCATGTCCAGTTCGGCGTGCCTTCCAGTGGTAGGTTGTTTAAAGAATCAGATGAGTTGGCAAGTCATACACACGGAGATAAAGCAATTCGAGACGGCAGCAGCCAGAGACAGTCTACCGGTAGCCCTCCACCATCAGTGCGGGAGGAGAGGCAAAAAGGAGACACAATGGGGCTGCAGCAAGAATCCGATTTGGTAATTGACAATGAGGTAACGCGTACGATATTTGTTGCTGGGGCGTGGAGTCCAGGACGCCAGGGCTTGCCTCCCTACGCCTCCGTCAAGGGTGAGGCATGTGGGAGTTTCGAAATTACTATTGACCCTTCACTACATTCCCGATTATTTACATTCGAACCATCAAAGGGAAATGTCTCACCTGGAAGCCAGCAAATGATTCGTGTTTGCTTCTCCCGGCAAACCCCAACAAATGGTGAGAGAAAGTGTGTGCGATTCACTCAGCCACACCCACATAACCAAGGTCCGCTTGCAAACAGGTCATGCTTTGTCCAGTTGCCCATTGCTGGGCACGTGTGCAATCGGATTGTTTGCTAGTCACGCATCCAGTTTGCTTTCTGTGTGTTTGGGCCTCTAGCGGAGGAACGCATCCGCTCCGTACTTGATCATCTGCCAACGGCGATTCTAAAACAGCAGCAAGTAACAGCTACAGCCAGATTGTGTTACCGCGGAGCTGCAGGTGGAGGGAACCCCCAAATACAAGAAGTGGCGGTCATTCGTCTTAGTGCACCGCTGTGAATACCTTGTCGCAGAGGACAGCACATATTGCTAAGGAGAGCGAAGCAGAACTTGATTGCCATCAGGCACCTGCCCTTTCAAACAATGTATTTTGAAATAGATGGAATTACTATTTTCCCCCTTCGTTATGCGCAAGGTTACAGCTTATCGCTACTTGACACTAGGGTCTTCGTGTGCTGTTTTCTCTTGCAAATCATCCCTCTTCTGCGGGATCAACAAGCAAGTTGTTGAATCCGTACATCTAGAGGCAGGCGTATCCAGGTGTATCCTACGCAAAGCTCTTCTAGCAATTGGTGTCTGCGTTTAGGTGACGGTGCCAAGGCTTGTGAAAAGTTCGACAGTACCAGATACTCCGCACATGCAGATTCCAGGTTTGGGTTGATCACGTTTGACCCAAATTCGTTGAGATTAGTGTTTCGGTTTTCTACGTATTCAACGCTTGGCGACCTGGTTAGTTCTGGTGGTACATAGTGGCGCCGTGCGGCCAGGCTAGGGCTGGCGGTCGGCGTCCCATAGAAATTAAAAGCTGCACGTGCTAAAACACAAATTTCTGTTTGTTTCGTTTGACATAATTTAACGTGAATGATGTTTTACATCCTGTACCGGTTTCGAAGATCATAAAAGCAGCCTGCAACCAGCCCTATGCTCGTAACTGTGCCCAGTCGAGGTGACCTCGTCAACCTCAGGCTGCTGAGGAGCCAATTTACTTACCTATTCAGTGGGTGGAGGAGAACAGTGGTTAATTGGCAGAATGTTTTTGTGTGCAAGAGTAACGGTGGACTGGAACCGGGTGTCGTTCTGTTCAACCGTGGGTCTGTCTCCCCGGCAATAGGCTGGACCGGAGCAGCCCTTCCTGAGCGGGAAGGCCTACACGGTCCTGCTTTCGCTGAAGGAAACCTCAACTCAAAGACTTTGTGATTTTGCAATAGTTGGAAGTGATTTACTTTGGACTGCTCAGTGAATTTGTTCTTCAACACCATAGTGCCAAATAGATACACTGTAGCATAATAATGCACAGGACAACACGGAGAGGGCAAGACAAACCGCTGATCACCCGGATATCCGAAGACAGTAATAGTACAGAGCTTGTGGTTTTGTTGCAAATCGTGTTCAATCCCTAGCGCGGATAGGCCTCTCCTCACATCTTGCGGAAAACGCAACGCGAAACCGGCATGCCTTGGCACGTGCAAAAAGCCAAGATACCTAGTGCTACAGAGTGCCGTACAGGATGTCAGAAAGGGGTGAGGGCGGTGGTAGGTGGATTCCGAGATCAGGCCATAGGGTGGGCTCGGAGGGGCAGCGAGAGTGGCGTGAGAGACGAGGCGAGCGTAGGCAGGAACGGTGGTATGGAGAGGGTCAAAGAGAAGAGAGCCGGCGGCATTTGGGACCACGCAGGAGAGGAGAAGGCAGGGGGATTGGGACGAGGGGAAGAGGTAGGGGGTTTCGACCAAGCCCTAGACAGCGTCCTCTGACTGAGAGCCTCGAACGCGCCCTCGAGCCCACGAGCCAAAGGAGAGGCCAGGTGTTGTGCAACGCATGGATCATGAGGCTAGAAGAGGGACTTCAGGCTTGGGGATACCCTCTCAGCATAAGGGAGCGTGGGACTGAAAGGCCGGTAGGTGCTCGTTTATCGTGTCTGAATTTATGTCATTCTCAATGTCACCGGTCAGGTTTGCAGCTGCTCCCGAGCTTCCTTATGAAAATGCAGGTAGAGGAAAGGAAGGAGCGCAGAAAGGTCTTGGCCCAGCTCTTGAAGGCACTTACTGGAATTCAGGAGCCACCAGAGCGCCAGAAGCCGAGACGGGTTATCTCTAGAGGTGCTCAACATTCGGAGCTACTGCGGTGGATCATCGTCTACTCAGAACGCATACGGGAACTAATCCATGATGAGCCAACCCGCGAAGTCGCCGTGCGCGATGGAGACGCGCCACTTAAGGTGTATAATGTCACTTTTGGAGAAGAACGGCGGGTATGTCGACATCACGCGATGGAGATGAGGCTGACGCTGGCTAACCAACTAGCACACGCAGAGGAGGATTCTCGTGTTTCGCGGGGGGCAAATGAGTCCTACGATCACATGTGAATGTTACTGTGTGTAGCTTACTGGAGCTAACTGGCGCTTTTACTTCGTTGCAGCCATGATGATTACCTTGGAGGCGGCGAACTACCAAAGGGCTTTGGGTCAATCTCAGTACATTAGATTGGACCCTCGTTCGCTTAAAAGTGACATGGAACTCTATGGTGTTGACGCAACCCTGATCCAAAGCGACAAAGGTGCGCATTGCTTACCAGAAGTCTAACGTGTGTCCATATATGGTGGTATGTTGCCATTGGAGTTGTTTCTACAGCAAAACCGTGTGCTCCTCCCCCCCTAGTGCTCATTGCCCCTATCATTCCCCTGATACTCCCCGATTGTCGCACGCTCCAGTGAGCACACAACCGAAAGACCAGCGCTGCATCTGTAGAGATTCAAAGCAAGCGTATGCTAGCCCTTAAGCAAAACATGTGCCTCTTGTTTATCCGTCTCGAGATTGCAGCTTGGCTGCTGAAGGTGAGCAGACACGACCGCAAGCTAGAGGCAGGTTTTCTAGAAGATCGCCTGAGGGAAATGGACTACCAACAGGCCCAGCTTACCTACAGGAACCGCCTCTGTGTTACAGTACACAAAGGAAACCTCTACAGAATCGTAGACATCACGGACACAACGGCTGACAGAGTCACGTTTGAAAAGGGCGGCTCCACCATTACTGTAGCGCAGTATTTCAAAGATGCTTACGACGAAAATGTGGAGGGTAAGCAGTTGGTCACGGCAAAAGAGGCCCGCGGAGGCTCCAGGCTGTGCTACCTGCCTGCCAATCTTCTCAGAGTTATCGCACAGACCCCCCAGGTAAGGCCTCCTACGTAGCCTTCCGCGACTGCGAGCGAAAAGCTGTTTCCCTTAATTACACGAATACTGTAAGGAATCTTTAGAACGATTTGCCACGACTAGCGCATCGGCGTAGCTGTAGGAATTCGCTTTTCTGAAGAGATTGTAGTGTAGTGCATGACTGTTACAGCTGATGGAAGGCTCGCGGGCAATGATGAGGCCTAAAAGCGCTCAAGAAACCCTAGTGGAGTGCACGGAGCTGGTAAAAGATATACTCCGCACGCCAGCAGTGAAAGAACAGATGGCAGAGCTCAAGGTGCACATCGGGGACAACGGTGGACTCCCCATTGACGTCCACAAGGACGTAAGCCTTATAGCGTAATATGGCATATGCAGCGTGGCTGCCGTTGCGACCACGAATTCGCCCAGGCAGAGCTTTCTGTTCAACATGTACTTGCCGTTGCTCTTCGCAAACACCAGAGCCTAGTTTGGGTTATCCGCAGATCACGAGCCTGCGTAAGGTTATGGGCGACGAGCCCCGCTACGGCGAACCGCGGATTTCGTGGGGTTCTGAAAGAAGAGAAGAGCAGCAAGACACTTCCGTCGAACTCTGTCCTGATTTTCGCGCTAGGCTTTGCCAACATCTTGTGAGGGTTCGCTTACAGCCGCCAATTAGCTACGAGGGTTGGCGATTCCAATGGGGAAGCGCACGGGAAAAAGGCATCCAACATGCCGAGAAGTTTTGCCTCCTCCATAGATGGCGCTTGCTTACCACTTGGACAGTGCCCTCTTTGATCCTGTTCACTGCGACCCGCAGGTTCTGCGACACAAGGTGCCACTCAACAGTCACTGGATGCTTGTTGTCTGCACTGGGCGCAGAGAACACGGGAGCTCCAGGGCTGTGGAGTCCATCAAAAATACTATTGAGCTGACGCGACAGAGGTAATTATTGTGGGGCGGAGAGATTGCCTGGAATGTGCTTGACGGCGGGCAGACGCCAAGCGTGTGGAAGCCGCAGACGGTCACACACAACAACCCTGCTGGATATATTCTTTGCCCTCAGCATGCTGTATACTCCGACGTGTTTAGAAATTTGTGGGGAAAATGACAACTAGCATGCTGCGTAGATGGAGTCGTGCGGTTCACGCAGAATTCGCCACAGGGGCCAACTAACTGTCGACATGGATGCTCCGGCTTGTTGTGAGCATTTCATCCGAAGCGAAGCGGACTGGAAGAAGGGGAGGGTTGAAAGGACAAAGAGAAGTTTGCTAGATCTGTTCATACGACAGAGACATGGTCTTCGAGGAGCTATTGTCCTGCTCGCTTACGATTCGGACGACACGAACAACAGAGTACGGGTGGCTGCAAAACAGGTAGGAGTTGCACAGTGCCTTTACGCACCTGATGGCCTTCGGCGCACTTAACCCGTACCAACTTACTAGGCATGTAGCGCTTGCCAACAAGCGCGACTCAACCACATTGGATACGGCGACTTACTGCATGGAAGATGTACTGGAGCACATATATGCAGGTTTCAGTTCAACGGGACTTTCCAATACAGTGCTGCAAGCTTCAAACGCTGCAAGCATTCAAGAGTAGGCCGGAGGACAAGTCGATGAACATGTGGTGGAATGTTTACCTACAATTCCAGACGAAGATAACTGACGATTCTCTTCGTTCAGGAATTCCTTGGGCAACGGACCAGCTCCTGGCACCTATTAGGGAAGGCGTGAGACCGGTGAATACTCTTCATTTCCACCACATACGACGCATACAGAGAGTGATGCATACGCGAAATTAGGCGAATTTGTGGCTAGCGCTGAATGGTTGCTGCAGGCACTTGCGCGTGCGTGCAGCCGCAAATTTCTGAGGTCGTGAGGGTCATTGGTATAGCGGTTAATTCATTCGGGCACGTATTTCATCACGCCTTGCCACCGCTTGCAGAAATTGTCGACAAACAAAGGGCACCTCTAAGTCTTAATTTGGTAGCGTTATCCCAGTGCGATTAGTTCACTTCATTGGCGTGCTCGCGGCCTTTGAGAGCATCCGGGGGCTTCAGGCGTGAGGAATCCGACAAAACTAGTTGATTGGTGACATCTGAAAAATCCATTCTCCGACATGCAATCTGTACAGGCCACCTAACGCGCGCTGCGGAGTTGTAGGGATTGTTGGGGGAAGAAATGTTGCCCATACTCAGTTCGTGAGCCACATCGGCGCTTCTGCACCGGCCAACTACCGCGCCGGGGTCATTAAGGACATGGCAAAACACTTCAAGCTATTCTGGGAGAAATTAACATTTGAAGAGAGCACAAAGCCGCACAAGCGCGCACCCTCTCACCTTCTCATATATAGGTCTGCTCCAAGCGGGAGCTCGCAAATAAAAGAGGTCCTGGCCCAAGAGGTAACAGCCATCAAAGGCATCCTCGGTACTGACCTTGGCAATTTTGAATTCGCTCCGGAAACCGGTGAACTGACAGTCGAACACCCTATGGCTACTGCCTTCCCCGATGCTGAATTTGCACTTGTCCTGACAGTCTGTCCAGCTGCTGAGATGCGGAGGTCTGCTGGCAAGGCGGAGGAAATCACGCATCACGCAAGACCGGCGCATGAAACCCTTACTTGTCAAGGGGCTGCCATTGGGTCAGATGGCCGACGTACCTTACAGTTCAAGCTGCAAGAAGGGACTGTGCCTCTGCTTCAAGCGATGGGCATACTAGTCTCCGAGTTTGATGTCCCTGGAGCAGAAGCGTTCGAGGTGCGCATGGATCTTTTCCTCTGAGTGGAAAAGCTGCTCTTTGTCCGCTCTGCAGATGGGCTGTTGACTTCATGTTATTTTTCAGAGTATGCACCGCTGCAATAACACTTATCCCTCCGGTAGCCCTACTGGTTTTCATGCACGCAGCTTGAAGAGGGAGCGGACGGAAAAAGAATTACACTCCCCGACAACCATCCCCTTCTTATATACGCAAAAGCTAATTCCAGATGGCTCAAGAATATCTCGATGGAGTTTACAAGTACCGCAGATGGTCCCCTTAGTAAGTTTGCAGCACAAGAATCCCTTACCATCCTAGCAGTATTCCAATCGCTAACTTGCAGCAACGTGCTGCCGTTTCTGGCTCGCAAACGGACACCGGTGCCCAACGGCAAGGGTGCACGTGATCCAAGTTGCGTGGAGCCGTCTTGGCAGATGGATTCAAAGGGGTCATTGTCCCAGTGAATGGAGAAATTTACGCGGACGTCAACATCCAGGAAACTGAGTCAAGGTCAGGACCTGAATTGGGCCCAGGGGACACCATTTATCTAAGACAAGCTGCAATTAGCCAACTGGTTCAGGTACAGCTGCATGCACCTACGACTTCTGCTCCTTCACCTAAAGAGCACCCGGATGCCCTATCCTTAGCAGCTCCTGCAGGCAGCCACGCCTGCAGAGCATACCACAAAAATCTCATACCGACAGCTGTTCGCTTACCACCGGACTGGCTCGTACAGACTTGCGCACGTTTCAGAAGGTCTTTATCAATGTTCTGGTGAATCCACATCGTCCAGCCAACCCAATGAAGTTTTTCATGAAAGGGAGAGAGGGTGTACAAGGGCTGCCAGTTGGGGCTTACATCGACAGGTGGGTCCCGTCGTCGTTGGCTTGCAAGCAATTAACTTTTTGAACGGACAAAAGAACCGGGGCGAGCTGTTTTGTTTTTGCGTCCCGTCTGCGCTGCTGCTGCGGTGCAGCGGACCTATCATTCCTGTGGCTACGAATACGGAGACTCCTGAGGAAAAATTTTTAATAGGTACAGCAGACCCAACCCGAGGCTCTCCTTCGGCGTCGGAGTTTCATATTGCGCAAAGTACGCACGGCACGCCTTCTTTCCAGCTTTGCCCTTGATATTCAACAGAAACAGCGTTCTTGAAAGCATGCACTTCGCTTCTTGCAGCTAATGATGCTCCATGAAGTGCCACGATGCTTGTGTGCCGTTTCAGATGAAAGCGGTTGGTCTAAACATTACCTCGCTGTGGTTTCTTACAAGCTGTGTCACATGTACTACAATTGGGCGGGTGAGCACACGCCGGTTTTGCAGCCTTCAGCTAAGCCCGAGAATGTACATGCGTCATTACAACAATTCTCTCCAATGGGCATTTATTATTATTTCAAGTGGTCTTGCATTTGATGGTTGGTAGAGGCCGACTTTGTGCCTTGTTTCCGTTTATGTGTTGTTGTCGAAGGAACTGTCAAGCACCCACACCTGTTGCAGATGGCCCTGGCAATTGTGCGACAACACTCTATTTACATCGCATCGGAAAGCGGGTTTGGACTAGAGTCTGAATTTGCACCAGAAGGAGAGCTCGAAGAAGAGCCCGCGCAAGAACGCCCTGCTTCCCCTGAATTGGGCGAGGAGCCCGAAATCCGCGAACGCATTCAAAAGAGAAGGCAAGAGACGGGTCAGGAGGCCCTTCCAAGGACACGCGAACAACGAGAAACTGCAGAAGATGTTGAGGAACGGACAGCAGGCCTGCAAAATCTCAGAGAACTAAAAACCGCTCTCGAAAATAGAGACAGTGTCCTCATGACCACCGCCTTCATGCTTTAGAACGAAGACGCTGGCCGCTGAGCTGTACAGCTGCCAAGAATGCAGCAAAATACATACCCACCGTACCAGTTACGTAATTCGGTGTGGCGGTACACACACACACACACACACACACATACACATACACATACATTCACACACACAGGAGTGCCCGAGCGCCTCGTCCTCTACGGGGCCTGCGTCGTGGGTAAGCCAGCCCCATGTTCTGCGGGCCGAGGCACGAGTTGCCCACTCGATCACAATTGTTGTCTAAGATCTCCCTTATAAATATAAAATACTCTTTATACTGTGATTTATGACTAAATCACTCGGCAGAGACTCAGCGGGGAGCCTATTGTAGTGCCCGTGCACTACACTCCCTCGAGAGGCATCGGCGTCGGCGGCGGTCCAGTCCCTGTGGGGAGAAGTGCATGCAATATGCCAATTTTCCTCCTTGTATCGTCTTCAACGAGTCCCAAACATACGACTTTAATTTTATACTGATTAAATTACTGTCACTTTAGGACAAGACCGACACGGCCGGAGCGAGCGCCTCCTTGGCGCCCCACACGCCGTTGGGCCTGCGGTTGTAATCCCTTCCTTTCTCTCCCCCTTTCCACAAATTATAATTTTGTTTTGTAATTCAATTTAGATTAGATATCCAGGCATTGGCGTTTAAATGCCCAGCGGGTCCTGCGAAAGAGACGAATGCCGGCTGTAGCAGCGCCATCTGCGGTTGTGGTTGGCTATTTGCCCTTCTTCCTTCCCCCTTCCTCCCACCGCTTGTGTTCAACGACGCAAGCGCACTAGGACGGGGGAAAATATACAAAAATGCAGCAGCAGCAGCAACTGCGGCAGCCGGAGGTGGTCTTCAAGTAGGCCGTCGCAGCGGTGCTGGCCCAGTGGTGGGGAATTGGAAAGTTAACCAGCATATACATATTACAGACATAGAAGCACTTTACGTACACGTAAACTAATATAAGAGGTCTAATAGTGTGTCGGCGTTTCCATGGAAGCTTCTAAAGCAATGTTCGTGCGGGGAATCTTCAGCGTCCCACCGTCCACGTTCGAGTGCTTAGACAGGTGCTGCTGCTGCTGCTGCTGCTGCTGCTTCAGGACCCTCTTAAATTTGGCTGTTGAGCAAGGATGGGGTGGCAGAGAATCCTATCGGAAGCGTCAGCAGCTGTACGAAGACATCATCACCGAATTCCGCGACAGTAAGCCTTACCTCTGCGTTTTTCTTGTTGCTGCACTGCGTGTAGCACGAGACGCAGTAGAACCAGCGGATGCGGCACCAGAAGCAGCAGAAGCCTATATGGCAGCGAGAACACCGCACCCTAAAAAAGAGCGGTACCAGGGGCAAGCACCGACACACCAAAAATATATCCCGCCCTCCTCCCGCCCCCGCTTCACACCACCACCACCACCACCATCACACACACACACACACACACACACACACACACACACACACACGCACACAGATGACAGCAAATGCCGAAGCACCACAAACGGAAGTAGCCACAGAAGTAGCAGCAGCGTTAAACAACCTAGCAGCAGCCGCAGATTGAACTCCACCACAAGACGAAAATAGGCACTGGAAAAGGGAAAAAGCCCATTGTGTTGCTTGTGCGGTGTACAGACAAGAAGGTGGACGCTGACGATTTGGCGTGCAGCCTCTCGGAGCGACTCAGCCGCGAGTTTTCGGTTTCTGTTGAAGACGACAGTGACGTAAGAAAAGCGGAGAGACGTATGGTTTGGGGTGGTTCTTTTATTCCACTGTTTTTCATTTAAAATCAGTCGCACACAACCTGTTGTATTCTGTTTTCTGCAAGTGAAGGGGCAGTTGTATGCTCTCGAATCTCCATCTCCCACCTTATGGTCTGCTGCTTCTGCTGCTGGTGGTGCTGCGTCTGTACAGCTGGAGGTAGCGCAGTTGCTTGTAGATCTGCACGAACAGACTAGCCGCGGCTGCTTCGATTTGGCTGCAATGGTGCAGCAACAGCAACAGCAGCGAGCCGCAGCTGCTGCGCAGAGTCGGTGTGGAAATACCCCTGCAACAGGTGGGAGCATGCGGTCTCGCTTCTGCTGCTGCTGCTGCTGCGTCAGCGACTGCTGCTGCATTTGCTGCTGTACTGACTACTGCTAATGTTGCTGCTTCGGGGGTGTGTGTGCCCTCCGTCCTGCTTGTGCATTTGCTGCTGCTGGTGGTGGTGGTACCGCTGCTGCTTCATTTAGGCGACTGCAACATGAGCGATTGTAGCGAGGAAGCCCTCGAGACCTTGATGTCATCTGTGGATATCGGGGGGAGTTCAGAAGGGGGCATTGGTACGTTTCCGAAGTCAAGCGAGCGCTTAGGATATGGGTTGAGGGCTTTCGAATTTAGGGTCTGGTCATGCGTTTAGGCAGAAGGGTTTAGTGTTCAGGCCTGAGGGCTGGTTGATCAGGAGGCGTTTATAAGAAACCGAGCAAGGAAATTCAAAGGGCGACTCTGGGGCTGTCTGCCTTTCTTGTGGTCTCTGCATGCAGCTTCGCGCACACGATCGCGTCTAGCAGCAGCAGCGGCGGCGGCAGCAGCGCAAGGCGAAGCACAAAGAGAGCAGGAGCAGCAGCAGGATGCTGACGGGTGGACTACTGTGCCTGCAGGGGGCCGCAGCAGGAGACCCCGTTGAGTTTGCTGGTGCAGGTGCAGCTACAGCAGCAGTAGCAGAAGCGGCAGCGGAAGCAGCAGGCAAAGCTGTTGCTGTGGGGTGGTGCTGCCGTAGCAGCAAAGAATTAAAGTGTTGACAGCAGCGTTTTCTGCTGCAGCAACGGCAACAGAGCCATTTAGTGCAGCAGCAGCCACGAGATAACCGTGGCTGCTAAGGTTTTTTTTGCTTCGACGTGCACGACGCACGATGTATCTATTAAGGCAAAGATACTGCTGATTTGCAATGGCTTTGCTTCGAGTTAATTGTCTAAGGTGTAAGGTCTACGGGTTGTAGTTTAGTAGAAGAGAGCGCGCAGGATTCCCGCAGCTTCAAATGGGTCCAGGAAGAAGCTCCGCTGTTCAGCAGGCGAACAGGCGATGGCTGCTGCTGCGGCTGCAATCTGCAGATGACAAGAACAGCAGGAACAGCAGGAACAGATAGACAGGCACAATAGGAAGTAGAGACAGATAGCAGCCGCGGACGAGCACACAGGCAGTGACACTAGGGGGGCATCCCCAGATAAGGAACATGAACAAGAGATGTACAAGCAGAAGAATAGACAACCCATACGTAGGTGGACACTAATAGCAGCACAAGGAAACAGATATAGTAGAGGAGGAACTACAACAGGCAGCTGGCGGCCGGAGGAGAACCACCTGCCCCTCAAGCTGCACATAGCTGCAAATACCTGCGCTGGCTGAGGACGCGAAGCAGCAGCGGCTGCGGTTGCGTCTGTAGAGGAGAATAGCAAATGCATCCACGCTTCGGAGGCCTTTTGCTGTGACTCCCTCAAAGCTTTCCACTGCTGCTGCATGCGCAGTTCGTACCTGCAGCAGCACCAACAACAGCAACAGCCGCTTGCCTTATTCTTCCGTGCATGTCGGCGAGGCGTGAGGACAATGGGATGTTTCTAGCAGCTTGCGTTTACAGCCAATTGACGAATAAGATGGAGTGATTCCATTTCTTTAAAAGCAGGAGCACAACCTTGCCTACTCCCTTTCATCTGAGGCCCCTGTTTGCTGCCCTTCGCTGGGGGAAGCGATGATGGATGCCTTTAGAGTGGCGTCGCCAGCAGATATCCGAAGGTCGATTGTATCTCCCCTTGAGACCTTAAGCCAGCATCCCCCGAGCAGAAGCAGCAGCACAGCGGTAGCAGCACAGGAGCAACGGCGACGACAACAGCAGAGCAGCAACACAGCAGCAACCCAGCAGCAACAGAAGCATTCACAGAATAAGTACCAGAAGTCCCCGTAGATCCGCCAATAGCAGCTGTTGCTGTTGCTGCAGCAGCTTCTAAGTAAGCAGCGAGACCTAAAGTGTTCTGAACGTGCAAAACCTGAGACATCTCCTGCCTTCGCCTTAGCAGCACACGAAAACGCACTTTTAGCGGTGGCAGATAAACAATTGCCTGTCTCCACGCCTTCGTGTAGTGATCGATTTCCCACGATTCTTCGGGAGCAGCACCAGCGAAAGCATCTGCTGTTCCTGCTGCAGCTGCTGGTGACCCACAACAGGCGCCACCGTGCACCTGCTGCTTCTGCTGCTGTTGCTGCTGCTGGTGCAGAAGGTTCCTGATGGATTTCGGCTGCGTAGAGATGGTGAAGTTGCCGAGAGAGAATTCGAACCAAAGTGCCAGCGTGTTTGCCGTGCCGCTGCGGGAGGCTTGTATGGGAAGGATCTTGTGTGCTGCTGCCCTGTGTCTGTTTGCCTCCCCACCTGCAGCAGCAGCAATACCCTCCGGAGTAGCAATTGCAGCAACGGCAGCAACACCAGGAGTGGCGGCAACAAGAAGAGATCGTACAGCAAGGCCTAACCAGTCTGAGAGTGCATTTACTTAGCAGCCATTCACCATTAGAGATAGAGAAGACAGGGCGACACCACGTAGCAGCACCAACAGCCACGCAAAGCAGCAGTTGCACGAGAAGCAGAAGAAATAGCAAGAGTGTTACAACGAGAGCAATGACAGGAGCAACGAGAGCACACATGGCAGCAGCAGCAATTCAACTAGGAAGCACAGGTGCTGCAGCACAGGGAGTGCAACAGTGGCAGCAGCAGAGAGAGGGATGAAGGGGAGGGAAGGCACACAAAATTTGGAGCTCCAGAGAGGGACAGGGTCCGTCAGCAGCACAAAGTCCTCCTCATCGATTGACACTTCAAAATACTCCCCTTCGTCAGCTGTCGCTGCAGCAGCAGCAGCGTGCCATACCCCAGGTGCTGCGGCCGCTCTTGGAGTTGTTGTTGCTGTTGCTTCTGCAGCGCCGGTTCCTGCTGCTATCACTTCCCCAAGCTGAAGCACTACGCCCATCACTCGCAAGCGGGACAGCAGCAAAGTGGCTTCCCTTTTTCTCAACAGGGCCTGCAGCGGCAGTCAAGGAACACAGCAGCAGCAGCAGCAGCAGCAACGTGGGGTGCCGACACGACCGACCCAAGACGAACACACGGACAGCAGATGGTCTGGGTAGGGATGTTTGCAGGGTACCACTAATTCTGGATCGGGTTGATGCTGCTCAACGTTTTGCAGCACCTACTGCCCTACTTGCTGCTGCTTGTGTGGGTGTTGCTGCTGCAGCAACTACTGCAGTGTCGGCTGCTGCTGGAGTTGCTGGAGTTACAGTTGCTACTACAGCATCTGGCCCTGCTGGTGTTGCTGCTTCTGCTGTCGTTGCTGGTGCTAATGCTGTTGTGTCGTTGTTCTTGTTGCTGTTGCTGTTGGTGTTGCTGTTGAGTATTTGCGTGCCGCTATGAGTTACCAGTGATGCATATTTAGAGAAGATAGAAATTCCTTCGCCCAAGCCGGCATTGTCCAGAGCCAATGATGCGAAAAGGGAGGCGCAGACAGGCAGCCGGAAGAGTCCTCCAGGGGTCACGGCACCGTCACGCTGCTGCTGTTGCTGCAGTTGCTGCTGCAGGTGCTCCTTGATATTGCTCCCAGGCTCCATGTGGTGTACTTCTGCAAAAGCCAGAAGTACCGTGGTGTCTTCAGCATCTGGAAACGCCGCAGCAATAGCCACACCACGAGCAGCAGACGTAGTAGCAGCAGCAAAACGCTGCATTACGACTGTGGCTGTATGCGTCTGTATGCGTGTTGTTTCGTCTTTTTTTCATAAGCATGCAGTTGCCACGGTGGACTGACTGTGGGCTCCCTATTGTTTCTCTGTTTAAGTTGAACAATTAATTATTTATATATTTATTGTATTTTTTAGCTTACCTTCCGGGGGCAAGAGGGAGAGGAGAGGCGTTTGCACAGCCACCATTGCTTCCTTTACCTTCGCTCTCATCAACAAGGCAGCCTCAGTACCCCTGCTGCAGACAGCTGAACCTCGCTGCTGCTGCTGCAGTGCTGTTCCTGCGTCGGCTGCGCCGAGCTCCTTAAATGATCTCCACCCTCCTGAAGGATGTGTGAGTTTCGTAGGCTTTGCCTGTGGGGCCCCGAGAGTTTGCTGCAAACCAGAAGACCAGAAGACCGCCGCGTTGTAATGGTAGGCACCCCGAGCCCCTAATCAGATTATCCCCAAGCAAAACAAGGCTTCCCTAGAACCTTAACACTAAACTCCCCTCCATGGAGAGCAGCACCCTAACGAGCGGTAGAAATGACTAAGGACTCTACTGTCCGCGATCTCGTGTTGACTCTTCGCTCTGATTGCCGACGAAACACGGCGCCAGGGAGAGACGCGACAGCAGCTGCGCCCCCGTAGAAGCCGCAGCAGCAGAAGCACAGCCAGCAGCAGTAGCACAGCCAGCAGCAGCAGCAGCTGACCCAGCAGCAACGGCGGAAGGAACAACAACAGTGGTAGCAGTCTCCTGAAGAAGTTGCAGCAACTAGCACTGGGGGTTGTAGAGGCGCACCTCGGCGTTACAGAGCAGCAGCTTCTTCATTACCTCGAAGGCGCCCGTTAGAGGCTCAGCGGCAAACAGCTTTAGAGGCAGTGGGGTCCCACACAGCCGAACCTCCCTCAATTCAGCAGCACAGTAGTAGGCAAGGGCTGCTGCCTGCAGCGCCAACAGCGGCAGCAGCGCGCAGCCGCCACTGCACAGCACAGACAAAGGAGGCGACTGCTTTACCGCCTCTGCCAGCTGCTGCTGGGGACCCTTGGGGGCCCCCAATGGACCTGTTGCTGCAGTAGCTGCCTGCAGCAGCCGCACGCGCCTCTTAACGCTCTTGTCGAATGACTTGATTTGCTGCTGCAGCAGCTGCAGCAGCGCAACCTGCAGCACTGAAGCCGCAAGCATTCGCAACAGCGACGGGGATCCGACCCAACCAAGCTGGTCCCATGAACGTAAAAGACACTGCCGCCACTACAATTGAAGGAGTAACAGTAGCCGCCGCAGCAGCAACAACAAAACAGGTCTGCAGCAAGCCCCAGCAGCAGGCAGAGCTGAAGAGCGGGACAGCCGTCGAAGGGGTCCTCACAACGGTACCGGCCGCCCCATGCGTGCTTGCCACAGTAGCAATGGCATACGCAGAAACACTAAAATTACAAGCACCAGCATCGAAAGTAGCAACAGCATCACCAGCAGAACATACAGTGAACCAAGACGGGATCGCGAGCCAAGTCCAGCTGATGAGGGGCCACAGCTCGTCGTTGTTCATCTGCAGCCGACACTCGGCGTGATGGAGCTACTGCTCCTTGTTCTTCTGCTGCTGCTTCTGCGTCTGCCGCTGCTCCAGTGGGGGAACAAGGGAGACGGGAGGTCTCTAGAATTCTGCAGATAAGGGCAGAAAGAGAGACAAGGGACAACAAAAAAATAACGATAAAGGCGAAAGAGTGAGAACATATCCACTTGCATAAGCAGAGCAGGAAGACAGCTGCAACAGCAGCAAATCGCTGATGCAGCAATCCTTCACAACCTCCACTCTGCGTCGTACAATTCTAGGTTTTAGGGCTTAGGGTTTAGTCACCTGATGGAGAGCCTTGTGGGCTTCTGCACCAGCTTAACTCGAAGACGTTCCCCATGTTGAATTAAAACAGGAGACACCCAGAAGAGGCCCTGCTTCACCTGTCTCTTCCCTCTATGCCTCCCATCTGCTACTGCTATTGCTGGTGCTGATGCTACTCCTTTTTCTGTCTCGCGGGAATAGCTGTCAGGTGTTTCTGCATGAGGAGAGGTGGAGAAGAATAGACGCTGCTGCTGCCGCTTAGGCCGGTGCTGGTGCTGCCAGCCATTGCGAGTGGCGGAGGCGGACCCGTTTGCATACACGCATGCGTGAGCATTTTGGCTGCTCGGAAGTGTTTTCTCCTTCTGTACACCGCCTTTATTTGCTTCCGCATCTGCTGCTGCTGTGCTTTCTTCTGGTGCTTTCGCTGGTGTTGCTGCTGCTGGATGGTGCTGCTCGAAGAACTCGAGCCAAAGGGCGAAAGCGTTTACCATTCCGGGCCTTCCGATCCCGTCGAGATACATTTCTACGGATTGCTGCAGCGGAATGTCCTGCAGCAGCAGCAGCAGACACCACAGCAGCACTACAAGCAGCAAACACACCAACAACCAACGCACACAACTTCCTCACAGCCAACACAAGCAGCCGCTGCTGCAGTGAAAAAGCGGCTGCAGCAGCAAGTGAAGCAACAAAATTACTGACAGCAGTAACACCAGGTGGAGTAGTAGAAAATGCAGCAGCACCAAAAGTGGAAGCAGCACCAGAGGAAGCAGCATGAACAGCACCTGGTCAAGGCTCTCTAAGGGGCCGTCAAATCGAAAGGACAGCACTGCCTTTGCCTCTGTACGCGGTGTACAGATATCTCCGTAGATGTGGCAGGCAGCATCTTGTGCTGCGTCTGGCTTTGCTGCAGTTGGTACTGCTGCTGCTGCTGCTTCTTCCTCCGTTTCACACGAGCACAGCTGCAATGCAACTGAATCTGCATGTGCCGTCCACCGAGCTGCTGCCTCAAAAGGAGCCAAATCAAATTTCCTCAACTTGTCCGCTGCTGCTGCTGCTGCTGGTTCTGGTGTTGCCGACGCAGGTCCTCCCGTTTCTGCTGCGGCTGCTGCGGTGAGAGGCTGAAGGTGCGGAAGGCGAACTTCAAATGCCTGGATCCAAACCTTCACGCTGAAGCGAGCACAAACTCACAAACCCTAAGCCCTAAACCCTAGACCAAAACCCCCCAACTAGCAACCCAAAGGCCTAACTATAGACCCAAAGTTCTAAGCACTCAAAATCCATCCCAAGATTAAGCCCTCATTTGCATCTCGACTGATACCCCAAACATTAAACCATAAATCCTGAAGCGCTCTCGTTGCAAGTCGATCCGCTGCAGATTCCACAGAAGCGGCAGCAGCGGCAGGTACTGCTGGTGCTGCTGTTGCTGCACGTTTTATGGGTTTTCACCTTGAAGGAAAAACAACAGGCCGGGAGACGCAAAGGGATCGAACATGCCGCGTAAGCGGCAGCAGCTGTCTCCCCAGTATCCCCACCTCAAACAACACGGGATCTAGCAAGACACAAGAAAATGGCTGCTGCAGCAGCAACGGAGTGGGCGTCTTGCTGCTGCGGCTGCCGGTCCCTCTGCTGCTGCTGTTGCTGTTGCTGCAAGCCGCAGCACCAGCAGCAGCAGCATTCGTGCTTTTCGCCACCTCCTCTGTCTCCCGCTTCTCCGTCCTCAGCTTCTGCTGTTGTTCTTCCCCCTCGGCTTGTTGCTGCTGCTCCTGTTGGTGTTGCTGCTGCTTCAACTGCAGAAGGTAAGGGTTAATAGGCAAGATGCGCGAGGCCTCCATAGCGCTCTCCTCACTTAGGACTGCGGCGTATGTCGCCACTGCAGCACAGCGTAGACACCGGCACCGCTAATTCCCAAACCATACGTACCAAACCCTAAACACGGTGTGTGCAGCAGCAGCAACGTAAAAAGGGCCTTTTCTTGTTTACAAAGAGCGGAAGATTTAAACAGAGGAAGGCAAGTAAAAGAAAGCGGGGCGTCACTCCGTTGCCTCTTTGTTTGCTCAGCTGAGTTCATCCGAGCAGCATCCAACAACGAGCTGCAGTCCCCCATACCGACAAACAGACAATGCTGCTGCTGCTGCTGCTGTTCGGCTGGGGCAATGCCTGTCGCAGTTCGGTCCGCGTCGCCTATGGTGCCGCGACTGCTGTTGCTGTGTCTGAGAGAACTGCTGCAGCAGCTACTCATTCTGGTAGTGCAGCTGCTTTTGCCGCATCCGCTGCAATTGTTGTCGCTGCTGCCGCTCCGGCTGCTGCTGCTGCACTCCAGCAGATGCCTGATGGTTCGCTGAGCGCCCAAGCGAAAGGCGATGGCAAGCGGGCAATTTGCTGCTCTGCGGCAGCGCTGTGCTTCTCTTATATCCGTCCCCATCTGCAGCAGCATCAGCAAAAGGATTGCATCGTCATGCACAGAACGCAGCAGCAGCAAAGCCACAGCAACTGCAGAGGCCGCAGCACTATCTGAAGCATCATCAACTGCAGCAGCAGCAGCAGCCCTTCAAATACTAAAGCCCTAGGGAGGCGGACGGCAGGGGAAACTGCAGCAGCGAAATTTGAAGAGGGAAGTAGAAACAGCGGGAGCAGAAACAGCAAAAAAGAAACCCATATCCATCAGAGGAGGATGGCACGGGAAGCTTCAGCAACAAAAGTTGAAGATGGAAGCAGGAGCAGCGGGAGTAGAAACGGCAAGAAACCCATCTCCCACCTGTATGTACTTGCAAAGCGCAACGCCAGTCTGTGCCTCGATCAACTGCTGCTGACTCTGCTGGTGCTGCTTGTGCTCCTGTTTGGAGGCAGCTTGAGCAGCAACGAGGTCATCAAACGCTGCAGCATAATCTTGCGGTGTATCTGCATCTCTTTCGGAGGGTTTAAAACTCAGAAATTCTGACAGGCTGCTGCTGCTTCTGCTGCTGTTGCTGCTGCCGCCAGATGCAGATGGTCCTTGCGCACCTGCGGGAGCAAACGCAGTCGGGCTGTATTAGGCTCATAGACTTCATCGCCATTTGGCATTGTTGATTCTGATGTTGTTCCTGCTGCTGTTGTTGTTGCTGCTGTTGTCGTTTCTGCTGCCAACGCTGAGCAACAGCAAGCATTACTGCCCACGGAGCCCCCCGCCGTTTCATGCGCAGCAGCAGCTAACACTATATGAAGTAGCAGCAACCGTGGCAGTAACAACAGCGGCAGCGGCAACAGTAACAACAACGACAGAAGCAGAAGCAACTGCAGAAGCAGATGCTGCACCTGTTAATAGTGCCTCAATCTGGCGGCGCTGCTCTTCCGACGTTGTGGGGGCAAACTCCAAGGAGGGCCCGCCTGCTTCGTCTGCTGCTGTTGCTGCTGCTTTTTCTTCCCTGCATGCATTTAAAGCAGCAGCAGCAAATACGTCAGCACAGCAGCCAGCAACAGCAGCACCCGCAGCAACACAAGCACCCATACAAAAGAAACAAATACCTCAAAAGCAACCGCCTCAGAAATGGCATCAGCAGCTACACAGACGGCGACGAAAACACTGAAAAGGCTGTAGAGTTGGCAGAGTAGCCGTAGCAGCAGCAGCAGTAGCAGCAGCATACCCAGCAGCATCACTATCAGTATCAGCAAAACCAGCATCTACTGCTGCTGTTTGTACTGCTACAGCAGCACAGGAGCAGCAGCAGGAGCAACAGCAGCAGCAGCAAGATGGTTATGGACTGACAGCTCTATTTCGTTTGCTTCTTGTTGCAGTTGTTCAAATCTGCTGTAGTCTGTGCTGCACCGCAAAACCCTCTTTTGCTGCTCAAGTTTTTCTTTGCTTTTTTCTATCCAAGCTGCTAAGCTGTCGCCTTGCTGTTGCTGGGTCTGCTGCTGCAGCTGCGTCTGCTGCTGCTGGGCCCACTGGAAGGCTTTGAGGGCAGAAGCGTACTGCTGCTGCCCATACAAGGCACGCGCTGCTCTAAACCATCCCTGCATCAACAGCATCAACAGCAGGAGGAGCAGCAGGAGTCGCAAAATTGCCACAGGCAAAGGAGAACCCCGGAAGGACAAGTACACACAAAAGGGATAGCAAACGGTGAAGCAAAAAACAAAAGATACAAAAGGGGAGACAACAGCGGAGACAAAGACACACAAAAAAAACAATGAAAATGACACTGTGAGACAGGAAGAGACACAACGAAGGGGGGCTGTGGGGAGGGGGCAAGCAAACCTGCTGTCAGCAGCGTGCATGCAGCAACAGCAACGAGAGTAGCAGCACCAGCAGCAACAACAGCAGCAGCAGCGGCAGAGACACCAATCTGTCAACATTAGCAGCGGCAGCACCGGCGCCGACGGCTTGCAGCAGCAGCGGCAGCAGCAGCAGCAGCAGCAGCAGCAGCAGCAGCAGCAGCAGCAGCAGCAACAGAACCAATAGCACAACGAACAACAGCAACAGAACCAATACCAACAGCAGCAGCACCAATGGCACCAACAGCAGCAGCAGCAGGTACAGCAGCAGCAACAGCAACAGGAGAAGCAACAGAATGTATTGACACCTTTGGCCATTTGGGGTTGAGACGAATGCATTCTCTTGCTGCTTCAAGGGCCTCCTCATATCGATTAAGACAAGAAAAGCATGCGCTACGATTAGAATATAGTTGCTGTAGCTGATTACGCCACTCCTCCTCTTGCTGTTGCTGCTGCTGCTGCTGTTGTTGCTGTTGGTGCCGTTGCTTCTGCTTCTGTTTTTGCTGCGTTGGCTGCTGCTGGTTAGGATTCAAGCACCTGTAGCCTGTGATGGCTTCTTGGTAGTGGTAAAGAGCCTCTGCATACTTTCCTGTTCTGTAATAAAACAGCAGCAACAGCAACAGCAGCAGCAGCAGCAGCAGCAAAAGCAAAAGCAACGGCAGCGGTGCTGGATCTACACCTGCATTGCTGTTGGAGCGAGTTTCTTTGGGAACAGCGGGCTGAGTATGCAGGGTTTAGGGTTTAGGGTTTAGGGTTTAGGACCTGAAGCATTTGTTGCCTATTTCTTTGGTGGTTTGTAGGGCCTGCTGCACATGAGGGGAGGTTAAAGAGCCAATGATCTTCTGCGCCGCTGCTGTGTCCCCTGCTTGTATAGCAGCGACAGCTTTTTGTGCTGCTTCTTCCATCTTGAGGGCCTGCCAGCTGGCAGACTTGTGCTGCTGCTGTTGTTGGTGGTGTTGATGTGCTGCTGCTGCTGCTGCTGCTGCGCTGGACAGACGACGCCTACTGTGGGAGACGGAGGAGAGGGAACAGCGACGTAGAAGTACAAGCTTGAAAGGCAAAACAAGGTAGGGAAGTTAATTTAATAAGTACAAATAATAGAGCAGACAAAGCAAAGCACACTCTGCTGCTGCTGCTGCTAAGGAGGGGACGAGCCCAGGGAGAGCAGCGGCTGCAGCAGGTAGCTGCTGCCGCCTTCCGCCTGATATTATTTTTAAATATATTATTTAATTTAAGTTAAATATTATTTAAAGGAAAATAGGGGTAAAAAGAAAAACAATAGGCAAAAGAGACAAGGCGAAAGAGACAGAAAGGACAGCAGCAGCTGGAGCAGCAGCAGGGATGCTGCTGGGGGGTCGTCTAGTCTTGCACGACTATTGTGTGCAGCAGCAGAAACAGCAACTTCTTTCCCATCTATTTCAGTTAATTTAGAAAAATATTAATTAGTAATACAATTAAAGTAATAATAATAAATTAAAAAGGGGAAGAATTAAGGTATAGATACTGCGGCACGCTGCAGGCAATGCTGCCGCTGCCGACTGCTCCTGCTCGGAGGGCCGCAACTGCTGCTGCTGCTGCTGTTGGAGCAGCAGCAGCAGCTGTGTGTGTGTGTGTGTGTGTGTGCGTGTGTGTCTGTGTGAGTGCTGGGGTTGTGCTTTTTGGCATATTTCTCCCTATTAAACATTTTTTTATAAAATTAAGATTAAAATAACTCGTTTGTTTTGTTTATTTGTCCTAACGTGCAGGGAGGAAGAGGGAAGCCCCGCCTGTAGCAGCAGCAGCAGCACAGCTGCTGCAGCTGCTGCAGTGCTGCCGACAGACAGCGCCAGAACAAGCCGATGATGCAGTGTGTTGCTGCTGCCGCTGGTGCTGCTCAACGCTTTATATTTTGTTAATATTGAATTATTTAATTTATTTTTGGGTCTATGTGCAGCACAAAGATTGCAAACAACACAGACAGTCATCCTCCTACTTGCTGCTGCTGCCATGCCTTCCTGCTGCTGCGCAGCTGCTGCTCTTTGCTGCTGCTGCTGCTCACCTTTTGCTGCTACAGCAGTAGCGGCAAAACCACTTAGTATATTGAAATCCTTTTTTTCTTTATTATAAAGTTCTTCTTTATTCTATTACAATTATTTTTTCAGTAAAAGGGCAACACTTGCAAAACAAAACAGCAGCAGCAGCAGCAGCACGCACGCGCCCAGGTCACGGTCGGCAGCAGCAGCAGCAAAGCAGCAGCAAAGCAGCAACAAAGCAGCAAGGCAGCATCAAAGCAGCGAAGCAGCAGCAGTAAAGCAGCATCAGCAAAGCAAAAATCGTCTTTTTTTATTTGCCTTCCCGTTTTGTCATTTTTGTTCTCATATAAGGAGCTCCTCTTGGCTGCCCGCCACCCGATCCTCCGTAGCCGCCGCAGCAGCAGTAGCAGCCAGCTGCAGCAGCGGCAGCCGCGGCAGCAGCAGCCGCAGCAGCCGCAGAAACAGCAGCAACACCCCCGCAACAGCTAGTTCTGGCTCCACCATTTCTTCTTCTTAGCATTTTAGGTATTTGTGCAAAGCAACAGATTCCTTAAGACGCTTCTTCACGCTGCACCGGATTCTTACTCCCTAGAGCAACAGCAGCAACAGCCGCAGCAGCAACAGCAGAAGCAGCAACAGCTAGCTGAAGCACAAAAAGCAGCAGAAGCAGCTGAAGCAGCAGCACTTACGAAGCAGTCAAAATGGCAGACCCTCAAGAGCTTCCTTTAATGGGCCTAAGTTTTTACCACAGCCAATCTCCCTTCCTTTCTTGTGAGCAGCAGCAGCAGCAGCAAGAACAAGAGCAGCAACCGCAACAGCAACAGCAGCAGCAGCACGACCCGGTTGATCTGCTTCTTTGCGGATGCCCTCCTAACTCGGCTCTCCGGGCTCTTTCTCAGGGTGCTTGGGATCGGCAGCTACAGCTGCAGCAAGATCCGCTGCATCAGCAGCACTGGGAGCAGCGGCAGCCGGAGCAACAGCAGCAGCAGCCGCTGCAGCAGCAGCCGCTGCAGCATCAGCAACACATGATGACCCAGCAGCTGAAGGGGCAGGCTCTTAGACGCCCCTTAGTTGATTGCCCAACAGATTGGGGCCCCCCAATGACTGCAACGTCATGCTCTCATACACCGAACGAGCAACAACTGCACCAGCCGCAGCAGCAACAGCAACAGCAACAGCAGCGGCTGCAACAGCTGCAACAGCAGCAGCAGCAGCAACAGCCGGGGTCCTTCCTGCTGGAGTGGGAACAGCAGGCCCTTTTTCAGGAGCACATGCTCCACAACAGATATCAAGAGATTGTAATGGGCCCACAGCAGCAGGAGGAGCAGCAGCAGCAACTGCAGCAGCAGCAGCAGCAGCCACAGCAGCAGCCACAGCAGCAGCAGCAGCCGGCACAGGCGCAAACTGAATCTATTGGGGAGCTGCTACAGTGGAAGTTCCATGCCTGTGACCTCGGGAAAGCGCAGCAGCAGCAACAAGATCAGCAGCAGCAGCATGATCATCAGCAGCACGATACAGGTGGAGCGATGTGCTGCTGCTGTTCTCCTTTCTTGCCGGTGCCTACACCGGAGCGATTCCGGGTGCAGCAGCAGCAGCGGCTGCAGCAGCAACGCAGCAGAAGAGAGCAGCTGCAGCAGCAAACTAGAGAAATGCTGGCAACATTTGGACCTGGTATTGGAGGCCTTCGCGTTGAGGTCCCGTTGCAGCTTCCTGCAGCAGAAGGACTCACCCAGCAGCAGCAGCAGCAGCAACAGCAGCAGGAGAAGAAGAAGCAGCAGCAACTTGCGGAAAAACAGCACCAGCAGCTGGCAGCTCAGAAGCAACAGAAGCAGCAGCAGCAAAAGCAACAGAAGCAGCAGCAGCAGAAGCAGCAGCAGCAGCAACATGGAAGAAAGAGACATCAGCAGCAGCATCAGCATCAGCAGCAGCACAACGCCATGCCTCCTAGCAGCCCTATAGCTGCCTTCGGCGATCATCCAGTAGAGGAGACTCCGGTGCAGCACAGCAGCAACAGCGTGCTGCAGCAGCTCATCCAGAAGCAGCAGCAGCAACTGCAGAACCAGCAGCAGCAGACACTCCCACCAAACGAACTTTTCTACTGCCCCGGATGCCGCAATGGGGGGTTCATATGCACTTGTCCAGGTGTGGATGTACAGCAGCAACGTTGGCAGCAGCGGTGGCAGCCACAGCAGCAGCAGGATATCCGCGACCATCAGCAGCAGCAGAAGGAGCAGCAGGAGCAGCTGCAAGCAAAGCAGCAGCAAGACGGGCAGCAGCAGCAACAGATAGGCGAGACAGTGCAACCAATATTCTGGCCCTTCGACACGTATCCAATAGATACGTTGCTGCAGCGGCGACTGCAACACCACCAGCAGCAGCAGCTGCAGCAGCAGCAGCAGCAACCGCAGCAGCAGCAGCCACGCGATGGCTGCTGGAGCGGTTCCTTATACATAGATGGCCTTACGAAGGGGCCTCAGGCTCGCAGCCCTTCCCCAAGATTGCTGCAGCAGCAGCAAATGCCTCTGTACCATGAGCTGCAGCAGAATCAGCCGCTGCAGAGCCAACTGCAGCAGCCGCAGCCATGGGTGATTCCCGACCCAGAGGACCATGATGCAGCAGCGTGGGCCTTGGCTCTCCAAAGGCAGCGCCAAGCGGAGCAGGAGCAGGAGCAGGAGCAGCAGCAGCAACCGCAGCAAGAACGGCAGCAAAAGCAAACAAGGAAGCAGCAGCAAAAGCTCCAGCCATGCATAAAAATGCTGCAGGAACTGTTGCAGCCGCAGCAGCCTTCTCCGTGCCCTACAGCAGATGCCGCTCCTTCTCTGCAAACGGAAATCCACACAGCAGAGCAGCAAGAGCAGCAAGAGCAGCAAGAGCAGCAAGAACAGCAAGAGCAGCGAGGGCAGCAAGATCAGCAAGAGCAGCAAGATAAACAAGATCAACAAGAGCCACAAGAGCAACAACCGCAGCAGCAGCAGCACCAGGGGCCCCACTGGATGCCAGAGCACCCTCATTGGCTGCCCAAATACGAGCCTCATCCAGACTGGTTTATACTGCAGCAGCAGAAGCAGCAGCGGGATTGGGAGGTACAGTGGCAGAAGCAGCAGCGGGATTGGGAGGTACAGTGGCGGCAGCAGCAGCGGGAATGGCAGCAGCAGCAGCAGCAGACAACCGGGCAGGACGGTTGGGTCGTAAACATGGAGCAGCAGCAGACGGGGCAAGATGGTTGGTTCCCAAACATGCACCAGCAGCAGACCGGGCAGGACGGTTGGGTCCCAAACATGCAGCAGCAGCAGCAGCAGACTGGGCGGGACGGTTGGGATCTAAACATTCAGCAGCAGGAGGAGGAGCAGCCCTTGGAGCAGCAGCAGCAGCAGCACCAAGTCTCCTCACCCTGGGGCGAGATCCCTCCCCGGGCCGAAGCAGCAACGGAGGTGCTGCAGTCTCCTCGTCAGCCTGTGCTGCTGGAGGATCGGGTGGGCGCAGCAGCAAAAGTAGCAGCAGCAGCAGCAGTTGCTGCGGCTGCCCTTGGCAGCAGTGCCAACATCTACCTGCCCTTCGATACAGTGCCAGAGGCGGGGGATAAGGTAGATGCACAGCAGAAGCAGCAGCAGGAGCACCGACATCAGTGGGAAGAGCAGCAGCTGCAGCTGCCGCAGCAGAAGCACGAAGGGGATGAACAGCGCCAGCAGCAGCAGCAACCTGAGGAGGAGCAGCAGCCTAATGACGCAGCACAAGGGGGGCCATCAGCGGAAGGCAGGAATGCTGGCATTGCTGCTTGCAGCCTCGGCGGGGGCAGCAGCAGCAACAGCAGGAGCAGCAGCAGCAAGGAGGCACTGGATCAAGCTGCCGAGTTGTGTTGGGGGGAGCCGCAAGCTCAGTGGCAGCGTCCGTACGTGGAGAGGCAGAAGCTGCTGCTGCCCCAGCAGCAGGAGGAACAGCAGCAGGAACAGCAGCAGGAGCAGCAGCAGGAGCAGCAGCAGCCCCTGCTGCAGGTTTCTCTCTCGTCTGGTGTGTCTGCAGAAGAAGGCCTCCGTACTCAAAGGAGCTTACCATCAGCAGCAAGACTGCATGCATTTATTGGTGTATTAAAGGATCGCCACAAGCAGCAGCGGCAGCTGCTGCTGCAGTTCCTCAACAGAGAACGAGAGGCCGCAGCAACGGCAGCTTGTCCTCTCCCTGCTGCTGCTGTTGCTGCTGCAGCTGCTGCTGCAGCGGCAGCAGCTGCTGCTGTACACGCATCCGACCAGCCAGCAGGAGCTCGTGGAGCATCCCCTTTCGTCCCCAGCAGCAGTGAGACTCAGATAGACTCAGCAGCAGCAGCAGCAGCAACAGCAGGAACTTTAACAAAAGAAAACCCATTCACAACTGGGCCAGAAGAACCCACGTCGTTACTAACAAGCCACCAGCCAGCAATAGGAGGAGGGCTTGCTGCTGCTGCTGCTGCTGTTGAACCTGCTGTTTCTGCTACGGTGCCTGCTGCGGGTGGAGCAGGAGATTCTATGGTGCTGCTCCGACTGTTAGCAGCGCAGCGGCGGCAGCTGCAACAGCAGCAAGAATTGCTGCAGAGACAGCGGCTGCATATATCGCACCTGGAGCAGCAGCAGCAGCAACAGCAACAGCATTTGCTGCTGCTCGAGGAAGAACTGCTGCTGAAACAGCAGCAACAACCGCAGCAGCAAGCTACCACTGACGATTCCCTCAAATGCAGCCACCTCAAAAGGCAGCAGCAGCAGCAGCAGCAGCACTTGGAGTCGCGGGTGCAGTTGTTGCAACTGCAGCTCGAGCTGGTACAGCAGCAGATGTCCATGCTGCTACAGCAGCAGAGCAGCAGCACCAACGGGACGAGCATCGCAACAAACCTTCCTGAAGGTGGGCATATGGGGTCTTCCGTGCTGCAGCAGGAGGTGCAGCAGCTCCTGCAGCAGGAAGAAAAGCAGCAGCAAGTGCTGCTGTTGCTGGAGCAACAGGAGATGCTTCAGCAGCATGGTGTGGCCCATCTGCTGCCTCTGAGCGTTTTTGAGCAGCTGCTATCTGTGCAGCAGCCACACGAGCAGCAGCAGCAGCAGCAGCAGCAGCAGATGCTGCTGCGGCAGCTGCTGCAGATGAAGTGGCTGGAACGCTTTAAGAACATACACCGGGAGATAGGTAGCCACACTGCGAAGGAGCAGCAGCAGCAGCAACAGCAGCAGCAGCAACAACAAGTGCAGTTGCATGCGGGGCTGGAACGACAGCTACAGCAGCAAGAAGAGCAGCTGGTGCTGCTAGAGCAACGGCAGCAGCAGGAGCTGCTGCTGTTGGAACGGCGAGACCGACAATGGGAGGAGCAGCGGCAGCTTCTTGACAAGCGGCAGCAGCAGCTGGAGGAACAGCAGCAGCAGCTGCTGTTGTTCCAGCAGCAAAAGCAGCGGCAGTGGGAGGAGGAGAAGCAGCAGGAAGCGCAGAGGCAGCAGCAGCTCGTGCTGCAGCAGGAGCAGCAGCACAGACGAGGTATGCAGCAGCGAGAAGAGCTCTATACACTCCGGCAGCTGCTCTTTGAGCAGATGCAGCAGCTGCTGATGCAAGCAAATGCTACCCCAACAAGGGGGTTTAAGCACAAGCAGCAGCAGCAGCAGCAGCAGCACGGACGGGCTCTTCTGCAACTGCTGCTGCAGCAAGAGGAGCAGAAACGTTCGCGATGGACGCAGCTAGCGGAGCAGCAGCAGTTGGTGCAGCAGCAATCCCCTCAGAAGCAGCAGCATCGGTTTGCTGCTGTTCCTATGGCAGAGGATGGAGGGCATGCACATGCAGGGCACCAGCAAAACATCATCAGCAGCAGCGGGCGTGATCCAGCTGCTGTTGCTGCTCTACAGACAGCAGCAGCTGCTGCTGTCTGTACAGCTGCTGCTGCCAAGAGCGTAGCTCTCGCTGCATCAGAAAGTGCAGCAACAGCAGCAATTGCTGCAAAACAAGCCGCTGCTGCTGCTGCTGAAATTTCCAGTGACTACAACAGCAACCGCTATGAATCTGACAAGAGCAGCACAGGCAGCAGCGACAGCGGCAACAGCAGCAGCGACAGCAGCAAGAGCAGCAACAGCAGCACCGACAGCAGCAACAGCAGCAACAGCAGCAGAAGCAGCAGCAATTGGCTGCCTCCCCCCGTTATCAACACGGACTCAATGCACACTTCAGACTTGAGCGTAGCGCAGGAGGCAGAGAAAACTGCTGCTGCTGCTGCTGCTATAAACATCAGCATCCACCGGCAGCAAGAGCAGCAGCATCAGCAGCGGCAGCAGCAGGAGCAGGATCGCAGGCGCCGGAAGCAGCAGCGCCGAGAGCAACAGCAGCGCCGGCAGCAGGAGGTAGAGGAACTGCAGCAGCAAGAAGCTGAAGAGTCCGACGATGAGGGTTCAACTACTAATGACACTGCATCAACACCTGCAGCACCAACGGCAGCAGCACAAGCAGCAGCAGCAGCAGCACAAGCAGCAGCAACACGGCCACAAGGCAGGCCCCTCAACCATACCAGCGCCAACTTGCTGCTAATCCTCGCCAATGAACGGCAACGAAAACATGAACAAGAGCAGCAGCAGCAGCAGCAGCTGTTGCAGCAGAAGCAGCAGCAAGAGGACCAGGAGGAACAGGAGGAGGACGAGGAAGAAGAGGAGGAAGAAGAAGAGGAGGAAGAAGAAGAAGAAGAGGAAGAGGAAGAGGAGGAGGAAGAGGAAGAGGAGGAAGAGGAAGAGAAGCAGCTGCTGTTACAGCAGCAGCAGCAGCAACAGCAGCAGCAGCGTCGACGAGAAGAACACAAAATCGATGATGATGAAGATGACGAAGAAGACGAAGAAGACGAAGAAGACGAGGAAGAAGAAGAAGAGGAAGAGGAGGAGGAGGAGGAGGAGGAAGAAGAAGAAGAAGAAGAAGAAGGAGAAGAAGAAGAGAACGAATCATCATTTTATGCTGGTGCAGCATATTGTGATTATGAAAGCAGAGAAGAAGAAATTGATGAGCAGCAGATACAGCAGCAAAAGCAACAAGACCAGCAGCAACTGCAGCAGATGCTGCAGAGAGAGAGCACCAATAATAGAGATCTTCCTTACGGAGGCTCTGAAGGAGAAGCCAACTGGCCGCAGCAGCAGCAGCAGCAGCAGCCGGGAGTCCCCCCGTTGCAGCAGCAGGGACAACAGCGAAGGCTGCATGAGCAGCAGGAGCTGCTGCAGGCCATGCACAAGGAGCAGCAGGAGAAGTTGCTGCAGCAGCAGCTCGGTGAGAGGGAAAAGCTAGAACAGCAGCAGCAGCGTCGGGCGAATCAGCTGCAGCTGCTGCTGCTGGTACGTAACAGCAGCAACAGAAATGACTCCCGTTCAAACGCCCAGCCTACAACACCTCGCCGTGAGGAAGCTGCTACCCAGCAGCAGCAGCAGCAGCAGCACCAGCAGCAGCAGCCGTGGTTTCAGGTTGGAACTGACGCGCAAAGCTACAACGCCAGCAGATACGCTGCAGCAGATGCTGTCGACAACAGGCAGCAGGTGCAGCAACAGCAGCAGCAGCAGCGGGGTTGGTTCAGAGAGCTTTCGCTGTCGCCGCACAGCACTGACCGGCCAATACTCAGCAAAGCCGTGCAGCTCTCACGCGGCTAGCTAGCTAGCTAGCTATATAGCTATATAGCTAGCTAGCTGTATACCTAGCTAGCTATATAGCTAGCTACTTAAGTAGATCGACAGATAGCCAAATGGCTAGTCAGGCAACTAGCTAGCTAGCTTAGCCAGCTATATATATAGCTAAGTGGCTAGTCGAGCAGCTAGCTAGCTAAATACGTAAACAGCTGATCGAGCGGCTAGCTAGCTAGCGAAGAAGCTAGCTGGACAGCTAGCCGCAGCAAGCGGGAGGCGCTGCTGCTGAATAGCAGCAGCAGCAGCAGCAACACCAGCGACTGTCTGCCAAAGAGCCGTTGCACTGGTGTTGCAGTAGCAACAGCAGCAGCAGCGAGAGCAGCAGCAGCAGCTGCTGCTGCTAACTTTTCAGCTCTCCTGCTGAGAGGCTTTTTTATGTCTGTGTAAGCCAACTGTCAATCAAATATTGCGAGTATGCAGCAGCAGCAACAACATTACCAGCAGCAGCAACAGCAGCAACAGCAACAGCAGCAGCAGCAACAGCAGCATGTGATAGAAGAATGTAAGTAACCAGTTGTAAAACGGAATTAGCTACAAGACAGGTATGCAAAAGAGCAAGCCGCAAACGGCTAGCTAGTTAGCTAGTTAGCTAGTTAGCTAGCTAGCTAGGGGAAGGCCCTTGAAGAAGAGACAGCAGTTGGCTGTCGTGGCAGACCCTAAGAGGGAGCAACAAGGCTGCTGCTGCTGCTGCTGCTGCTGGCAGAAAAAAGCAGTGGCTACGGCCGTCATATGCTGCTGCTGCTGCTGCTGCTGCTGCTAAGACAAGGAACACCCTGTCGCAGGAGCAGTTGACGCACACGGATCAAAGCAGCAGCAGCAGCAGCTACAGCAGCAACGCAAGCATCCAGTATGCTGTTATTGCTGCTATTGTTGGCGGTGCTCCTGCTGCTGCTGCTGCAGAATGGGGCTGTGCAAAAAGCATGCAGCAGCAAGAGAAACAACAGCTGCAGCAAATAGGTGCACCATGTGTCTACAACTCGATGGGCTTTTGGGCTGTCCCCGTCCCTCCTGCTGCTGCTGCTGCTGCTGCTGCAGTTGCTGCTGCTGCATCTGCTGTTTGTTTGTTTGCATGCGTATCTTGTAGAGTAAACTCATAAGCTACGAGGACATCAGCAGGAGATGTTGCTCGAGCAGCAAGGAGACACATGTCCTGCAGCAGCTGCCTAACCCTTGGTCCCCTAAATGTCTGCAGACACTGCAGCAGCAGCTGCTGCTGCATTGGCTCCAGCTCCTGCAGCGGCGACCTCTTGCTGCTGCTGCTACTGCTGCTGCAGATGATGCTCCCGCTGCTGCCCGTTCTCACGATGCTGCTACTGCCATCCATGCCGCTAATACTACTACCACCACTACCACTACTACCGCTGCTGCTGCTGCTGCTGCTGCTGCTGCTGCTATCGTTTAACCAGGCAGAGACACACAGCAGCAACGTACTATTAAACATTTGCCCCCAAGCAGCAAATAACTTCCATAGGACACCTAAGCTCTCTATACCCCACACCCCTAAGGAGCTTAGGAGTGCTGGCAGCAAATGCTGCAGCTGCCTCTCCATCTGCTGCTGCTGCTGCTTCGGGCAGCAGCAGCAGCATATATGCAGATAACTTAAACATTTTTTTGCTACATCTGCATCATCTCCTTTTAATATTAATGCACACAGCAGCAAAGAATCCTCGTAAGTACGACTCCCAAAGAAACCTCCCTCTGCTGCTGCTGCTGCTGCTGCTGCTGCTGCTTCTGCTGGTTGCTGCTGCTGTTGCTGCCGCTCCTGCTGCTGCAGCAGCAGCTGCTGGTGCTGCTGGCCTGAAGCCGAGGCAAGGGCAGAGAGGAACTCAAGAAGAGGGATGTATGCATCTGTCATGTCTTGTGGCAGCTGCCTGCTGAGGTGTATATACAGCTCAACAGCAGCAGCACCATCGCTAGCTACTCGCTGCAGCACGAGCTGCTGCAGCGGGCGGTTTGCTGCTGTTATGCGCAGCAGATCGGATAGCAGCACAACGCAGCAGCCCTGTAGCGCCACAGATGCTGCAACAGCTCTAGCATGATGTTGCTGCTGCAGTGCTTGCTGCTGTTGCAGCTGCTGTTGCTGTTGCTGCTGTTGCTGCTGCTGCAGCTGCTGCAGCGAAGCAGCAGCAGCAGACAGACACGACTCCACCAATGCTATTACAGCACCCCACATGTCTTGTGCTTCCTCCCTGCAGCCTAAGACTGCCAGCAGCAAGCGTAGACATCTAAGAGCGCGTACGAATAGGACACCTCCTGTCTCTGTTTGCTGCTGCTGCTGCTGCTGCAGCTGCTGCAGTTGCTGCTGCTGGTAATGATGATAATAATATAACTCTGGCTTCTGCTGCTGCTGCTGCCGTGGCTTCAGCTCCAGCAGCACAGAGAAGGATAACCTCTCTCCCCCTCCGCATGCACGCGGTAGTGCTGCTGCATTGTTTAGCAGCACATCTAGTATTAGCTGCAGCAGATGTGGCCACAAGGGGGTATTCTTATCTGCAGCAGCAGCAGCAGCATGCTGTTGTTGTTGTTGTTGTTGCTGCAGGGAGCACCCAGATCCGTGCTGCTGAAGAAACTCCTGCTGCTCTGATGGTGACCTCAGCAGCAGCAGCACGAGACAATCGCTTGCTGCGCTTGAGTCGCTGCTGCCAGCAGCAGCAGCAGCTGCTGCTGTTGCTGCTGCAGGGCACCTTGAAACTTCCACCTTCCCTGAGTATAGCGCAGCAGCGCAGCAATCTAATCGAGCCAGCAGTCTTGCTGCTTGCTGCTGCCTGTTGCTGCTGCTGCTGCTGCTACGGATGCCATCTGCTGTTGGCTGCAGCAGCTGACAGAAGAGGGAGGCCATCTCATGGGGAGGGAAGTGCTGCAGCAACTTAACAACAGCTGCATGCAGGGTGCCATCAACCTGTGGCTGCTGCTGCGGTGCAGCAGCAGCAACAAACTGATGAAACTCTTGCAGTTGCTGCAGCCGCCTGCTAGCGAGCAGCGCGGGGTCTGTTTCTGCTGCTGCTGCAGAAGCAGCAGCAGCAGCAGCATTAGCGGCATTAGCAGCTGCAGCTGCTGCCTCTTTCAGCTCAGGGTCCGACCACTGGAACCCCAACTGCTGCTGCTGCTGCTGCTGCTGCTGTTGCTGCTGCTGCTGCAGATCTATTGCATCCTGCAGCAGCGGGAAGCCTAGATGGTGTCCTCCCCATGTAGTGAGCTGCAGCAGCGCCTCGGACAGCAGCACGGGCTGCAGCAGCAGCAAACTGGTGATGCAGCGAACAGCAGCAACCCAGATAGCTGAGAGCAGCGGGCTGCTGCAGCAAAAAGAAGAAGAAAGGGAAGAAGACATTTCCTCCGTAAAGTGTATAGCCACCTTACCTAGCAGCAGCGCAGCAGCAGCAGCAACAGCACGCTGCTGCGGCAACCGATCAAGGGACAGCAGCACAGCAGCAAAAGGTTGGGGTATACCATTAAGTGTCTCTACAAGGGAATCAAGCAGCAGCAGCAAGCACTGCAGTCTGCTGCAGTCTTGCTGCTCTATTGCATGCATTAGCAGCGCAGCAAGCAGCAGCAGGAACTCTAGTGCTTGCTGCTGACTGCATGCCTCGGACAGCAGCAGCAAATCAGCTAATACATCTCCTGCTGCCTCCATGAATGCAGCCCATTCCCCTCCATCATCTTGCTGCCAGAAGCTGCTGCTGCTGCTGCTGCTGCCATGCTGCAGCAGACTAGATACACAACAAGGAGCAGCAGCAGCAATTAGCTGCTGCAGCAGCTCCTGCTGCACTAACCCGTCACGCCGCTGCTCCTTTACCTGACCCCAGAAGCCGGATATCCTTATCCATGTAGATGGATTTAGGCGCCACAGCAGCAGCAGCAACCTTCCTGCTGCTGCTGCTGCTGGCTGCAGCAGCAACTGTGGCTGACCCTCCACTAATGTTAATAATACACCACCCCAACGTACTAATAATGCTGTCTTGCTGCTCCGTGCCTCGTATATCTGCTGCTGCTGCTGCTGCTGCTGCTGCTGCTGCTGTTGCTGCTGCTGCTGCTGCAGGATTTCCTGTACTTCGTCAGCTAACATATCAAAGACACGCAGCAGCTGCTGCAGCAGCAGCAGCTCTTCTCTGCTAGCACCAGCAAATGGTTGTTGCTGTTTGCTGCTGCTGCTGCTGCTGCTGCTGCTGCTGCTGTTACTATCATCAATTGTTCCTGCTGCAGTTGCCTGTACACCCCAGAGACCCATAAATGCAGGCAGCCGCTGCAGCGCAGCAACTAAACAATCTGTTGTTGCTGCTGCTTCCTTAAATATAAATAAGGAGGAAGATAATGATAAACAAAGAGCAGCAGCAGCAGCACAAACTTCCCTCGTGTCTGCTGCATCTAACCATACACTTAATAACTGTAATGATGCTTCCCCACATTTAGCAGCAGAAAGGACACGACAGCCAAACAGCAGCACAGAAGGTCTAGCAGCAGAAAGTGTCTTAGCAAAAAAACCATCAAAATATCTTTTGCTGCCACGGGAGGGGACATCTGCTGCTCTTGCTGCAGCAGGAAATGCTGCTGCTGCTGCTACAGATACCCATAGACACCAATCTAAATTCATGTTGTTGCTGCTGTTGCTGCTGTTGCTGCTGTTGCTGCCGCTGCATGCAAGTTGCTGCTGCTGCTGCTGCTGCTGTTGCTGCTGCTGCTCTGTATCACTGTTGCGAGTGCCAAAATACATTATCTCCGCTAAAGGGCCCCACAGCTGCTGCTGCTGCTGCTGCTGCTCCTCATCCTGCTGCTGCTGCTGCTCCTCATCGTCCTGCTGCTGCCGCTGCTGCAGATCGCATATCCTTTGGAAGGCAAGAGCAGCAAGACAATGGCCAAGTCTTCCCCCTACGGCGCACCATAGATGCTCCTGCTGCTGCTGCTGCTGCTGCTGCTGCTGCTGCATGCGCATAATACAATCAAAGAGTGCAGCAGCAAGCTCATCCTTGTGCTGCTGCGGCAATGACCATCCCTCGTTATCTATCTTCCATGCCAGTGTCTGTGCTCCTACTAGCTGCAGCTGCTGCTGCTGCTGCAGCAGCAGCAGACGGGATACACCCCAAGCAGCAGCAGATCGCTGGAACTCTAACAGCCAATTGTTTGCTGCTGCTTTCTTCTTAGGGTCAGGGTCGGTGTACAGACACTCCAGTTGCTGCTGCAGCAGCAGCAGCAACTTCTCATGATCCTGCCCATCAACACCTGCTGCTGCTGCTGCTGCTGCTGCTGCTGCTGCTTCGGAGGATGCTGCTCCTCCTGCTGACGAAGGGCAGCAACTTGATGGACCGCCTTGGGAGGGATCCATCGCGAGGGAGGGAAGCAGGCCGGCTGCAGCTGCTGCTGCTGCCGTTACACCTGCTGCTGCTGCTGCTGCTGATGCTGTCGCTGCTGCTGCTGCTGATGCTGCAGCTGCTGCTGCTGTTGATGATGCCGCAGCATAAGCCTCCACACAAGGGGAGGTGTCGAGCAGCCGAACCTGCAGAAGTCCCTTGGAGCCAGGCCTAAACCCTAAACCCTAAGCCCCAAACCCTAAACCCTAAACCCTAAACCCTAAAACCTCATTGAGTCTGAAGAAGAAAGCCGCTGGCGGCTTTATCACACTTTTCTTCAGGCCTTTTTCGATCGAGAAGTCGCAGCAGCAGCAGCAGCAACAGCATGCACGCAGCAGCAGCAGCAGCAGCAGCAGCAGCAGCAGCAGCCCCAAGAGCACAAGACTAAAGATATAAATAACTAATAGACAAAAGATAAATAAATAAAACTTTTTATTTATTTAATTAATAAAAACACAGGCGCCCCCTTATTGAGTCTTCTTGCTGCCTTTTTTACTACTGTTCCTGCTGCTGCTGCTGCTGCAGCAGCTGCTGCTACAGCTACCCGTTGTGCTGCAGAAGCGAGCCCCCACCGTTTCGCCCAGAGTTGCTGCAGCAAAAAAGCAGCAACAGTTGGAGAACTGCAGCAGCAGCAGCAGCAGCAGAACCAACACAGGCCAAGACAGCAGCAGCAGCAGCTGCAGCAACAGCAGCTGCTGCCCTCCAGTGGAGACTGCGTCAGCTACTGGGTCTTTGGCCTGGGCTTTCTACCACACATAAGAAGCACCAGCAGCAGCAGCACAGCAGCAACAGCAGCAGCAGCAGCAGCATTTGCAGCGCGTGTTTTACCTAACCATTGCATTAGTACACACAACAAGCGCAGCATCAACAGCAACAACAGCAGCAACAGCAACAGCAGCAGCAACGGCAGTAGCAGCGACAGCAACAGCAGCAAGGACGGGAGAACTTTAGGTGCGTGTGCTCCTTCGGCAGCAGCATTGGAAGCAGCAGCAGCAGCAGCAGCAATATCCAAAGGTGCAACAGCAGCAGGTGTAGCTGCTGCAGTAGCTACTGCAGCAGCAGCTGCCCTAAAAGCAGCGTAGGAGCAGCAGAATGTAAGAGCTGCTGCGGCAGCAGCAGCACAAGTAGCAAACAAAGCAGCAGCAGCAGCAGCAGCAGCAGATGCATCATTTTTACCACCATCATCAGCAGCAGCATAAGAAACGGGAGGAACAACAGCAGCAGCAACAGCAGCAGCAACAGCAGCAGCAGCATATACACCACTAGCATTAGCTCAACCTCCATCATCAGAAGCAGCAGCAGCAGCAGCAGCAGCAGCAGCAAGAGCAGCAGCAGCAGCAACAGGAAGGATGAGTTTAGTTCGGTATATAAGACCTGTTGTATCGGGTATACGTGGTTGTTGGGGCAGCAGCAGCAGCAGCAGCAGCAGCAGGATAAGCAGCAACAAGAATTATAGATTTCTTGCTGCTGTTTGCTGCTGCTCTTTGTGTGTATGGAGTTTTTCTCAACATGTACCATCAGGGCATGTTGCTCTTATCTGCAGCAGGAAAGATGGTCTGCTGCTGCTGCTGCTGCTCCTGTTGCTGCTGCTGCTCCTGTTGATGCTGCTGCTTCTGTTGCTGTTGCTGTTGCTGCTACTGC